CTGAGGATATTTTACAGTGAAATTGATAGAGCTACCCAAAATTATGCAGACAAAAGAAAAGAAAAGATGACAAAGATGGATTTTAATCTAAACAAAAACAAATACGGGGGCTTAGAGACATGATGAGTTCTTGTTTAATGAGTGCTCATTTAGGGTCCATGGCATCACTTGACATTATCCCTAATCCATTATTGCAATCAGGACTACAGCGCCTGCCAACATTTACAAGCATATTCCCACTATTATTAGAGACATGAAAATTAAAGCACCTCTTGTGTACGCCACAAGATGTGTTTATCTTTGTGTGTATTTAAAAGCATGTTTAAAAAAGTTATAAATATAAATTTAATGCATTAATTATCGTTAATAGTGTTAAAATAGATGTATATTCATACGTATTCAAATTAACCTGAATTTAAACCTACTATTCAAATAGATGTATATCCAAGTTTAGAACTGATGAGAGGTTGTTTGGGAGTGGAATTTTTTTTTTTTTGAAGATATTTATTTTATGATAAATAGATAATATATAATTAGCAAAAAAAAATAAAAAATAAAATATATATGTATAACATTTAGTACTTCTACCATTATTTCTTCCTTTATCAAATATTAATAAAATGTATCTTAAAAAAAATGTCGTGAAAACATTTAAAAAAAAACTGATTTGATAAATTTTCTATTTAATTACAGTGTTACCATGAGAGGATTGTCTATAAATCAATTGCAACAAACTATTGACTTTAACTCAAACTTGATGGAAAGCGATTGACCTAGTTATTAATTTACCCTCTTAAAACTTTTGAAAGGCCTCAAAATGTATAGTATACAAAAGGTCGCCCTTTAGATGATGCTGATTTTTTTTCTGCCTTTCCTTTGCGCTGATATAACGGATAATTGGATAGTATTTCTAACCATTGTCTTTGCATTTATAAAACGATTTTTTCTCTAAGTATATGTTAAAATGATAAAAATTTATTAAGAACTTTAATATTTAATGCTATTATTACAATAAAAATTGTAATATTTTGTTATTTTTAATAAAATCTTATTATACAGATTTTTATTGATGCGTTGGAAAAACTGTTTATAAAAGCATATAAATATTTTGAAAAACATATAAAATATTAAATTATTTTACTAGTAATAAAAAATAAATTGAAATTTCAATATAAGGACTCAAAATTTACAATTTTAAAAGTTGTTTCATATGATGAATATTATTTCAATGATAATTTATAAAACGGAGTATTGTTTAAAATAATTAAAGCACTATATTTTTATATAAAAGACTACAGGACATAAATTATAAAATAAAGAAAATGAATATATAAAAAATAAGAATAAAATTATATCATCTTTTAAGAATATAATAGAGGTTATTTCAATTTTTTGTCACTCAAAAGATACTTTAGAACTGTATTATTGTGGTCTGGCGATTAAGTTCAAAACTGGTGACCAACTGAATTTCACGAGTGGAGAGTGAGACATGCCCCAAGGACTTCTTTTTAACCAGTTCGTTGATATTTGTTTCAATTCAATGATCAGCACTGCTTCTATTATCCGATATTTGACTGTCATTTAAAAATAAATCAAGGAAAATAATTTTCTAATAAAATATGACAATAATGTTCTACTTGATATTGATTTTATTAAAATTATGTTATATATACATAATATTTTTTAAATGATTGTATAATTATTGTTTATTTTTTAATTTTAAATATTTATATATAATTATATAGTTTAAATTTATATTTTTTATATTCTTAAAATGAGAAATATTTTTATCATATATATTTTATGGTAAATCTAATCAATACTAAAAGTTAATCAAGGGTAATTCAACATATTATTTGTGTTTTATATTTTAATCATGACAGTGATTTTACTCCGTTTAAATATGATTGTAAGAGTTTTATTATTTACTGATCTTTCTTAATTCGAATAAGATTCTCTCTGCCGTGAATATTACAAGAATGATGCTAAATTTTACTTTTAATAAAATTGCTGAAGATATCATTTTAAACGAATGAGGCGGTCTGCATGAAATCTTCTTTAATTACTTCATATAAAACGCCTTTTTTTCTTTATCATGTACCAAAGAACTTTTTCTTTTTCTTCTGTTGGATCCAAGCATGCCTGAAGAAGTGACCCCAAGCTGTAGCAGCAAACCGAAAAAGTGAGAGTAAGGAGAAACTATGACGCATACAGAGTGCATATATATATGCATTAGCCATGTTGGTTCTTTCATGCATCTTCCATTTTCATTAATGTAATTGTTATATATTTGACATTGATACATATCTTATTGTGTGCATCTGTCTCATCATGTAGCCGAGCGATCCAATTGGATTTTGCAATGGAACAATGTTGTAGAGTGTCGAATCATCGTTTGGGGGGTTAACATATACATGGGATAATTGATCCGAATATACTTTCTCAACCCCATTCCTGCAGCATTGACAATCAATTGCACCTAATCCGAATTTAATCGTTACGCTGAAACAAGAGTGAAAAATAAACACTAATTGATGTGGGGTTTCCTGTGCTCAACAGTAAGAGCCATGGTGATAAAGATCCTAAATTTCATCATATAGTTGAGACCGTATAAAGATCAAATCAGAAATGCAAATGATGAAGCTAAAGGAAAACCGTAGCAGCTTTGTTTCCACTTTGCCCACATTGTTTATTCTCTTTTATCCCTGGTTGATGATTGTGGCTACTTTCATTATACTAACATCTAATCATACAGCACATAGTGCGCTTTCACTGTGCCCTTGGATGGGGACCCAAAACCCCACATTGGAAGGTGGCTCTCCTTAAATGGATAAGTGATTTTTCCTTCTATCTTTAACTTCGATTCAATGTGAATATATGGCATCATCACGCTAGAGATGCATTATTTGTGGTCTAGTGGAAGATAATAAATATTACCAATGTATCTTAAAAAGCAAGATCATTAATTACTGTAGCTAATTATTTTTTTAAACCCCACACTTAAAAAAAAAATGCAAATTGTCTCCAAATGACATCATCTTGTCACCATGGAGCACAAACATCTTTTGTAATGCATGCCCCCTCTCTATTTGTGGAAATATTACTCATAGGTTAAAATCAATAACCATGTCATAATCTCCCACTGAACAAGAATGGTCATAACCAGTTAAGCATGAGTGAATTTTTTTTTACGTTGAATAAAAATCTATAATTTAATAATATTAAGTTTTTGACTTGAATGCTATATTTAAATCTATTTATATAGTTTATTAATGACTTGTTGATGGAAATCCTTCCCATATTTTAGCTCTCTTAATAATGTATCAGACTTTTTGTTTTTCAAGTAATTAATGAGTTCATACACGTCAATATATACACCAGTCGCTAACTAATTACTCGAATTTTATTTTATTTTTCTTCCGCCTCTCATCCCTTTAAGGTTTTATAGTACTCAATTATTGTGTATGCTTTTGCTTCTCTCAGTTCCCGATCTGCAAATCAAGGTAAAGGTCCCCACTCTACCGTGATGAGGAAACAACGACATTGATTCTCTGAACAGGAAGTCTATGACGACAATCAACAGAGGACCATCCTAAGATTTCGTAGCATATAATTGTAAGAACCAAACAATAACGTCGACAAATTGATTGGCTCGGTTGAAAGTTTAACTGTTTTCGATCAAATTAAGTGAACTGGTTAAAAATGAAAAATAATCAGTTTGAATGAATGGGTGATTATCGTAAAAGCATGGCATTTACGTCGTCTTTGGATGCATGTAATGACAATTAATAGTTACAATATTCAATAGGTCACGGAATTAGATAGGCCTAATATCGCACTATATTTATGGGGCATAGTTTTCTATATATATATATATATATATAAACTCCATTATATTACATATTCTAAGTGAACATTTAAGAAGGTATTTATTTTAAAATATTAATGATTTAAGATCTAGTTTATTTTAAATTAGTTAACACATATTGACTTAATTACTCATTTACCAAAGTCATATACTTTCCAAAAATATAAGTTTAGGTACTTCAATATACCAGTCAATATTTATTAAAAACACATGAAAAGCCAGTAGTGATTGCGGTCGAAAGAAACATTGGCAACGGTGATAAGGAATAATGGCAATAGTCGAAGGTCACCAACCATGGCAGTGGTTAGAAGCTATTGAATGTTAATGCAGTGATTTAAAGAGCACGTAAGAGACAGTAATAATGAATTAACGAGTAACAAAATATGAAACATTGGTTTTAACTTTTCTTTTTGGACCTTTTAATTATGATTCTAACTAGCATTTAGTACGTAGATATGAATAAGACAAAATATCTTAATTAATTAAAATTAAATTATGCAATAACAATTTCTCATCTTTATCAAGGTTTGCAAAAGAGAAAAGATTGAACCATTAAGAAATGACCAAGGACAGAACGAAAAAAAAAGGAGAAAATTCCATTTTTTTTTGTAGATAAAGAAATTCCCTAGGCCTTGATCACTAGTCATTTGATGGAAGAGGAAAGAATCAGTTCCGACAGAGGACCCACGGTAGCATAACATTTAAGTGGAACCCAAGAAAAAAAAAAGATAAAACTTAAACTTAGGACTACATATATTCTCTCATTAAAATTAGAGTTCTATCTTAATAATACATACTAATTTTTGTCATCAACATACTGATATTTAATTTTAACTTTTATTATACATATTTTGAAAATAAAATTTTAATTAAATTAAAGATATGATTAGAGAAAAATAAAATCCCGCCACCAAAACCAAGTGATGGAGCAATTAGCAAGTCTTGAAGGGTACCTTTACACTACCACCACACCTAACCTGCAAGTTACAACTTACAACAACAAAACAGGGCCAAGTCCGTGACCCAATTCACAAAAGTCAATAAGCCACTCTTATAAATACCCTGCCACGCCACTCTTCTTTTGCAACTACTTTCACATTGCCTTCTTAACCTTGTTTCTCTCTACCCATTAACAAAACTTCTTAATCAACTGTAATAAAATGAGAAGCATTTCCACTACAAGTTCAATAGCACCCACCACCACGTCATCATTGGCAAGTGCTCAACACTCCTCCTCATGGCACTCTCCGGTGCCGTACTTGTTCGGAGGACTAGCTGCGATGCTGGGTCTCATAGCGTTTGCGCTATTGATCTTGGCTTGCTCCTATTGGAAACTCTCTGGTCAGTTACAGAATGAAGAAAACGGACAGAGAGAGTTAGAGAGCGTGAATACTGGTGACTCTTCAAAGAAGGAATCTGTTAAGGTTTATGAGGAGAAGATTCTGGTCATTATGGCTGGAGATGAGAAACCCACATTCTTGGCCACCCCTGCTTGCTCCAATTCTTCGTCTTTTGCACATGGAGTCGCCAACCATTTTGACCAAAACCTCGAAAACCACGTCGTTTGTCAGAAATCAGAGAAAGAAACGGAAAACCATCTTCAACCCCCGCAAGAAGAAACGCCACAACAAAACCAGCTTCAGTAAAAAAAAAAAAAAGGTATTTAATTTCTTCATGATTTTGTCGTAATTTTTGTGTTTTGGTTGGTTTTGAAACTTTGGTTTGTGTTGTACTGTTCGGGAATTGTAAATTTAAGCGGAGATGAAATAGAATGGAGGGAGTTGCATAGTGTTAAGCTTGAGTAGTACTCTTAAATTCGATTCTTCCATTTTCGACATTGTTGTAATTGTAAGTGAGCAACACGGACATGGGATTCCAAAGATATATGCGAGCTATTGTCGCCATGGCTGTCCACGTCATTTTTCTATGCACAGAAACAAAAAACTAAAAGCTTGATGACATCTTTGCTAATCATTTTAGAGTCTTGCCCCCAAAGACCCTGCTCGTCAAAAAATAATTTACAAATAATAACGACTAAGCTGGTAATTTTTATGAAGGACTTGGGAAAATAATTTTCTAACACTCCACTATAATGTGAAAAGGAAAAAAAATGACAAGTAATGTGATAAAAAAAATAAAAAAAAATTATTTATGTTATTGTATTTTTATTTAAAAATGACTTAAATATATAATTAGTCTCTGTAAATATCACACATTTTGTAATAAATTCTTATAGAATTTATTTGTTAGGATTTAGTTTATTAAATATTAAATAGTTATAATATAATTTTTAGCATTAACTTACTTCTATTAGACGGTAAATTGACTTAAAATCAGTTTAATATTTTCACATAATATGTTATTTCTTTTAATTTTATAATATTTTATTATTTAAAATTAATATTTATAAACATATTTTTAATATATATATAAAAGTCAAATCCTTTTTGTACTTTACTCTCCTTCTTTCCCTCCCTCCTCCACACTCTAACGTAAATTAAATTCTTTAGTCCCAATTATTTTTTATTTTCAAATAATTTACATAAACTTCTTTCACTTTTTTTTATCAATCAAAATCCAAATGTATTATAAATATGAAAAATGTGTTTAGGTGAAAAAGTTATAGGAAAGGAGAAGATTAAAAAACTTTTTTATAAATATTCAAAAAAATATTTATAAATATTAATTTTAAATATTAAAAATTATAAAATCAAATAACATGAAGAGTGGGGAGAGAAAGGTTGCAAAAAAGAAGAAAAGAAAGGAGAAGAGTAAATCACTTTTTGTATGGAGAGAGAGATTGTAGAAAAGGAGAAAGATAAATGACCTTTTAGTAAATATTAAAAATGTGTTTAATAACTCATTTATAAATAAATATTATAAAGTTAAATAAAATAACATGCTGTGTGTGCTAAGTTGATATTATTGACCAACTCAAATATTAACAAATTTTTTTATAAAAATTTATTATAAAATGTAAAAAATAATTAGTACTAATTTATGTTCAAAAATTTTAATAGATGATGTAATGCGCGTCAAAATAGTAATAGAGAGAAAAAAATAATGTAATTAAATGAATATCATAATTGGATATTTAGTTTAAATAATAATTATTATTTAAATTAAATATCAAATTATATAGTTCATGTAAATTTATTTTTTGAAAAACGAATTTAGGTAGTATTTAGCTTTATGTTTCTCTCCCTAAAAGGCAAAATTAAAAAAGTATATGAGAAGACAGCCTAAATATAATTTTTTTATATAACAACGTATCCTTTTACTTGACAATTGATTCCTTGTAAAATTAAAAAAAAAATATTATAATATTTACTAATAAAGTTTTTTTAGTACATAATCAAGAATCAAACCTCTATCAACATGTCCAAAAGACTCAACTATTTATAAATTTTGTTAAATTTTATGAGTGCTTAAATATGTTTTAAGCTTTTACATTATATATATATATATATATATATTATTTGAAATATTTTTCCTATTTTTATTTTTGACTTTTATTGTTGCCCCCGTTATTAACTTGCCTTTGGATAATTGCTGACTTGACAAAATAAATATCCAGCTAATTAACATTTGTTACATATACAAACTAATCATATATCTTACAAAAGTTATGAATAAATCTTCATATGCTGGAACTCAACGAACTAAAATGTAATTGTATTTTTTGGTCTCTTAAAGAAAAAGGGGAAAAAAAAAGACACTGCAACAAGGGGGAGGAGGGTGCATGAAGAAAGTAAGGGTTAATTAAAGATGAAATGTGGGGAATATAACTTTATTCAAATTTTGTTGCCTATAGATAGAGGCAAAAAAAGACATGTAGAGAGTGTATCGTGGACATGACCTATAAACAACTCAAACGACATTTTTATGCTTCAATTGCACCATAGATTCGATACTTCCTTCTCATTTGTCTCAACATAAAGGCATAAATCCAAGCAATTGCTTCAAATTTCAAGGTTGAAAAAGATCCATGGAACTTAATCCTATAGTGTCGATTTTTTATTTGAATGGAAACGAAGGGGACAAAATGGGTAATTTGAGTCTCATTGTTAATGTTCACTGGAATTATATAAAAAAAATTATCACTAATTACTATCTTTTCGAACAATAACTTATTAATCACTCTGTAAATGGACAGTAGAAACTGAGTCATGTTATATAAAAGCAAAAATAACTTTGTACATTCTGATAATTTTCATATTATACGTAGTTCTTCCTTTTTCTTTTTTTGAAATTATTCATTCTTTTATATCATTTTTGTATTTTACTTTTTAGCTTCATTAGTTCATATCACTTCATTTTAACCACTTACCATATTTTTATATATTTTAATATTTCTCTTGTTCTACCCTTTTCTCTTAAAGAGTGTTTGAAAGAGTTTAAGATGAATTTATAAAAGCAGCTTATAATTTTTATAAATTTTTAAGCTATTTTAATAAAATTTATGACCAAATATATTACATAAACTCTTATGTAAAATTTTATTAAATAAATGTTAATTAAATTATGTTTCAAAATACACTCTTTAAAGTTTAAATTGGGTATGGTTGCTTTAATCCCGTTTCTTAAAAGGGTATCAGATAACATAACTGAAGCCGTTGCCCCTTTTTTTTTGGTCTTTTTGGTCAATGATCTCGTTGGATTGAGAAGTTCAAAAACTGCCACTGAAAAAAAAAGTATCCACTACATAATAGGCCCATATTAAATGGACCATTTTATGCTTTGTAAAACTGTTTTTATTGTAATATCTCTGCTTTTGGGTAAGGCATTCTGCCACTATTAGTATTGAATTCAATTTATCTAAAATGAAAAAAATATAAAGTAGGAAAATAAGATTTTTTCTTACATTAAAAAATTATTTAAATTTAAATTAATATTAAATAAACCCTAATTTTGGAGAAGTTTTTGGAGGGCTTTGATTTGAGTACATGATATCCATTTTGTATGAAAATAATGAATATTTAGAAGAGTTGGTAGTGAAATGAGAAAAGAACTGAGGAGGTGGCACGATAACAGTGTCAGGCCTAGCCACAGGACAGAAGTGGGACCCAGAAAGAAAAGGACAATGCGTGGAAGGTATTGGAATAACCCAAAACCCTTGGTTTCATCCCAACCCCTACATTTTGTACTCAGCATGCATTTGGCTAAGGCTCCTCCACGTGGCACTCTTCCATTCGCCACAGCGCAGATCTCCATGGTCCCACCAGATAGACTTGTTTCACATAACCACGCTTCCTTCCCAGCCCCAAATCACACACACTCTTTCTTTTTCTAAGTTGGACTTTGGACGAAGCCATCACCACCCATGGCTTCCAAGCTATGCGACTCTTGCAAATCAGCCACTGCCACTCTCTATTGCCGCCCTGACTCCGCCTTTCTCTGCGCCGCCTGCGACTCCAAAGTCCACGCCGCCAACAAACTCGCTTCTCGTCACCCTCGCGTCTCTCTCTGCGAAGTCTGCGAGCAAGCCCCCGCTCACGTCACCTGCAAAGCCGACGCCGCCGCTCTCTGCCTCGCCTGCGACCGCGACATCCACTCCGCTAACCCCCTCGCCAGCCGCCACGAACGCCTTCCTGTTACGCCGTTCTTTGAGTCCGTACACTCCGTCAAATCGTCCTCGCCGATTAACTTCCTCGACGACCACCGCTTCTTCTCCGACGCGGATGCTGACGTCAGTACCGAAGAAGCTGAGGCTGCTTCCTGGTTGCTCCCTACTCCGAAGACGGATCTGAACTCTTCTCAGTACTTGTTCTCTGAATCCGAACCTGTTCCTTACATAGATCTGGATTATGGTTGCGTCGATCCGAAAGCAGATCAGAAAAGCTCCGCCACCACCGACGGTGTTGTTCCGGTGCAAAGCAACTTCGAGCCTTTCGCCTACGGTTACAAGTACAACACGACTCTGTCGCAGTCGCAGTCGCAGTCGCAGTCACAGATAAGCCATAGTGTAAGGCTAAGAATGATTTACAATTCTCGATCTGAACTTAACCTGAGTTTTTTTCTTCTTAAATTTCGTTTCATTTCGTCGTATTAGAATCGAACACGCATAACGTGAATTTGTCTGTTCTTGGGATTGTTGATTATTCAGGTATCGTCGTCGTCCATGGAGGTTGGAGTTGTACCGGACGGGAACACTATGTCGGAGATATCGAACTGCAGCTACAGCAAGGTAGCGGCGGTGACAGTGACGGCGCAGTTCTCGGCGGCGGATAGGGAAGCGAGGGTGTTGAGGTACAGGGAGAAGAGGAAGAACCGAAAGTTCGAGAAGACGATTCGCTACGCTTCTAGAAAAGCGTATGCGGAAACCAGGCCAAGGATCAAGGGCAGGTTCGCGAAACGCTCCGACGTCGACCCTCTTGCTGGATACGGCGTCGTTCCGTCGTGTTGATTTGGCTAATGTTATTGTGATAATATATGATGCGATACTGTTGCTTACTTTCTTATGCTTGCTTTCTTTTTGCTGTATATATACTACTCTCCTTTTTTGGTTTGGATTATGCAATGTAAAGTTGCAAACCCTTGCCGTCGATCGATTTTGTAGTGTGTTGGCTGATAATTTATGGTTTGGTAGCTTATTATTTGGCTTTTGTTAACTGTAAGGATGAAAAAGTAACGAGTCGATGGCAACAGCTCTTCCTTTACGGCTATGGCTGCTAATGCTATGCAGATTTGTCACTGTCTTAGCGTATCGAAATCTGGAACGCTATTGGCATCGAACGGGTGATTAGATGCTTTTTTTAATCAGAAATCATATTTAAATCCTAATTTTAATCGACTAATCTCTTTAAAATTATTATTAACTCCCTTTGCGTTCCGAGTTGTCGGGATATCGCTCTCGCAATTATTTCATTATGACGCGTGAGGGAAAGAATGAGGCGAATGTGCTGTTCCCTGTCAAGAATCTTGTTTCAGAGAACTATATTGTTAACTGTTATTCTCAAGAATTAGAAAATAAAATGTTTTAGTTGATAATCATGGAGTCAATGGTCAACAATATTAAATGATATTTTTTTCCAGTCACTATTTTAACAAGCTATAGAAAATTTTAATTTTGCGTTAAATTTAATGGATTTTTTTTATGTAATTGTATCATTTATAATATTGGTCAAATGGGGCCAATTTTGTTTGGTTTTATGCAATATTTAAGTACCAGAGTATTTAAAGGGTTTTTTAATGTTATTTTTTATTTACATAAATTATAAATCCATGGTCAAAACCCCATGTTGAACATATATGGGTTATTTTTAATCAATACCTATACGATGTCTCTTTTTAATCAATTTTAAAACTATTTATCATGTGTTTTATTTTCGTCATTGAATCATTTAACAAAAGTTTACCAAGAATAAATGTTTTTATTTTCCACCTAACGCGGATATAGAACATGTATCAATTTATAAATCAATACGTTTTTAAGAAAGTGTTCTTAAAAGGTAGTGTTATTTGTCTAAACCTAACTTAACCAAAAGTTATTTAACTTTAAAAGGAAATTTTGGTTGCATACGATTTGGTTTGTTCCTAAAAAGTTTGGGTGTCTTAATTCTCAGAACAATGCCTTCTATTACATCATTGGATGTTTTATTTCGATTTCGAAAGATTTCTGGCACCTCCTAAATGGATATTATATTTTATTTCGAAAGATTTGTGTCACAATGTAGCTAATTTGTAGATAGATAATTATTGTAGTCAACAGAGTGGCGTATGCAGATTTGCTATTGGATTAATGTATCATATTCTCGAATGCTATTGGCATTGGACGTGTGATTGATAGTTTTTGTATTTTTTTTCAATTACGAATCATACTTAAAAATCCTATATATTTCTAATCACTTTCAAAAAAAAATATTTTTGATTATTAATCCAAGTCTAGTTTAGGGAAACAATTTTACCAACTATTCCTTTTAACTATCAATAAATATAATGCTTTTACAATAAACAATAATAAATAATACTATACTTTTTTTTAAAGTTCACTTTAAAACTGTTGGGAAGAAAATTATTTGCACATTAAATTCAATGTTTGTATCATTGAGATAAAACTTGGTTGTTATTATATTATAAATATTATTTAATAAATATTAAAATTTTACCTTAATAATGTACATTAACCTTTGATACTGATTTGTTAATATTTAATGTCAACCTTATTATATATATTATATTATTAAATAAAAGTTTACTTCTAGTTATAGAATAATATGACAGTACCTAAAATCTTTGGATAGCTATTAATGGCGGGCGAGACACGATTAAATGGTTTTTTAATCACATTATATTCAAATTGTATCTCTAATTTCTTGAAATACTTATTTTTATTATTAACCCCTTTTGCTTTTTGACCTATCCGATATCCCCTTGCACGATGTTATGTGAGTGATATATCAGAGTATGCATAATTTGAATAGATTCTAAGAAATTAAGAACCTATATTTTAATCAATGGTAAATAAAATCTCACCTTACACTTTCCTTCGTTTAATTATTTCATGATCAAGTGTGCAGAAATATTTTTAACGTATACTTTCAATGGATTAGACAGATTCAAGGGACATTGTAAAGAGACGAGGGTTCTTTTTTTGTCTCACTACTGTATAACAATTATAAAAAAAAATCATGTGCTTAGCATGTGTGGGATTTTGTTAATAGAAACTGAATTCAACCATTAACCCCTTCTAGCTCTCGTGTTTGCCGAGGACAAATGGGCTCATCGAAAAATTCAAGTCCAGTTCAAATTCTAAAGTTGGGTATATCAATTTGATATCACGAGTGAATGAATATACACAAGGGAAAAAAGATCAGTGTTTCTTATAATTATATCACTGGATACAAAGCCAAAATTCACGTAGATAGATAAAGAGTGTTGCATGGAATTGAAATAACTAACTCTACGGAAATTAGATGAACAAAAAGAACCGTATTTATATGCAGCAGGTGCAATGAGAACGCTGGCCACACACTCCTAACACAAATCATTCTTTTTCCTAGCTACCAAATAGAGGCTGAAATATGGAGGGGAGAAAGTGAACAGCTTAATGCAAAAGTACCATAACAAGTTGGAATTTATTTCCAACTCTTGCATGATACACCATCTACTAGATTGTGCTTATAATTAACTATAAACCGATTTTTACAAGTCTCCATCTTTGGATCCACAACTCATCTATGCACAAACCTTCTACTGAAGGATGATCATCCAGAGGTACTATGAGAAGAAGCACCTTGATTCATCAAGAAACGAACAACAACACATGTGATATTGTCAGCACTACCTCTTTGATATGCTTCTTGCATCAGCCTCTTTGCTGCCTCCTCGGCATTCTCAATTGCTTTAATCATAGAAACAGCTTCCTGAAGAAAGCATAAAATTTTAGGTGAGAAAGAAAAATAGGACTTCATATGACTCATCATTTTGGGTTTTGCTTTATCTTTTTTGCCCCATTTCCCCCCTTCTTTTATTTATGATGAAGATTCACTTTGGTCATCAATGAGAAGAAATGAATGTAAGTACAAACCTCATTTGAGACAACATCCCATAGCCCGTCACTGGCCAAAATAAGAAACTCAAGGGAGCTGTCAACCTTTTCTTCCTGCAAAACCACAAACATATTTAGCTTAAATATACAAAAGAAAGAGACAAGGCAAATAGGATATAAAGAATAAAGAAGATCAATCATGACAGGGCACATCTCTTTTCCATTTGGTTTGAGGCATACTGTTGTTCACTAAAAGAAACTATAAAATGCTACTGTGCAAGTTTAATTGTAGAATTGGAGTTACAAGGTTTACCACTTCATCGTACTGTTTCACCGGCATATGTTGTGACAAATTCAAAACACTATGCTGTAAACCAGTGTGCAAACAATTACAAATGCATGCATGATCATATAATATGTTCATGCAAGTCTATTACCTCTCACTTTATAGGAAGTTGATAGTTCCAGAAACAGTGACAAACCCATTGCAGGAAGCTCTTTCTATATTGCCTATATTTTTCATTTTCAAGTAAAATCTATCCTTGGTTCAATTTTAATCAACATTTAAAAATAAATCAGATTACTGAATATCACTTTCTATTCACACAATGTGAACCATACACTTAACTGTCCCACCCTGTGCAAGCACAGGTTGAGATGAATCTAAAACTACATGAAAGTGAAATATCCAAGAATGGATGTCACTATCAATAGTAGACACACCTGGATTTCTGGATCAGCAACAACATACTGCTTCAGGAGTCTATCACCAAATGCACGGGAAACAGCAAGAACACCTCCAACTCTCCAAGTTCCTGTAAATGTAATGTTAATTTATCAATAGTGATAAGCAAGATAAACGTTTTTAAGTTAAATAAAAAAATCTAACTACATGATGACCTTACCAGCCCACATGACAAAGCCTCCTGCATCTTCAATCCTTTGCCTCTCATCAGTTTGATCTGGCTTGTGATCTCGAGAAACAGCAATGGCTAGAAGAAACCACAATCAGATGAAAAATATTAAGTAATCATTCAATGTAAGAAGGGTGAAACAACTCTCTCACACCAGATGCACAAGAACTTCCCATACAAGCATACACAACCATTTCTTTACCAGCACTACATTACACACTTAAAAACAAATGATTGGCTTTTATGTTTTTATCAATAATAAATGATATCAAGGTAGCCTTTCACAAAAAATTCAAAAGGATAGACAAGAATTCTCAGTAGTGTGCAGTTGAAATTTAAAAGAAAAAAACAAAACATTCACACGCACACTATGACTGTATAAGAATGTGTGCAATGAAATTAAGTAATACTTAATTGAATTATAAATTGTACAATAATACAAACTACGTCAATAGACAAATTATATTACAATACAGTTAACAATTAACTGCACACATCTAAGAACAGGAATAATACTATATATATGTATAAAGCTAGCACACATACCATTACCACCTCTGCATATAACAGCTCTAGAATCCCCAACATTTGCAACAAGCAATCGGTCACCAACTAAAATGGCAGTCGAAGCAGTTGATCCTGCATCTCTGTTATGACTATTTTCTGATTTCAGAAATTCAGAATCGGTATGGTTATACGCATCAGCTGTAGAAAAGGAGTTTGACAGGAAAACCAAAAAATTATTCTCTGGAATTAGCAAATTGGAGGACATCAGGCGTGGGGATCATGCAGTGACAGGTAGGAGATAACATACCTATTGCTGATTTGGTGTCAGAAATAAATTTTGGGTGACTGATCAAATTACTGAACAGGTTTTTCTTGACATACTCGGCAGCACGAACACCACCATGACCTGAAAAAGCATTATAAACAAGAAACTTGCAGCTACTTCTGTTTTTCTGAGTAGATAAGAATACTATCAAGCAAGCATAGGTTATATATATAGGTAGTTATATATATAGGTATAGCCAATAGGAAATAAATTCTACGTTCTTAAATTTCAGAGGAAAGCAAAACTGCTGCCACATAAAGATATACCTTATGCTTATAATTGCTCATGCATGGGAATAAACAATGGTTCTTAACTCACAATAGGGAATACAACAAAGAGAAATTGGGTTTCAAGAAGAGAAGGAGAACCATCCGGAAATTATTCCATAAAAAAGATTGTATAGTGGCAACCTTTAAAGAGGGTGTGCAGAAAGTGAGAAAATAGTACCATAGCCAAACAGACTAATCAAACCATCCCCACAATAAGATTGACATAGGGTCAAAGGTGAGAGAGACCACAATACTAAACAAATCTAAAATTTCCTCTTGTTTTTTGTATATTTGAGAAAATAGAAGCACAAAGCACATAAGACTGAAAATGGAGGCAAAAATAAAAAAGCTAGCTATCAATTGTATATTATAAGTGCCTAATTACACAAGCATCTGCGTATAGCAGCAGCAATAAGTAAAACTGAAAAATTAGTTTCTCAATACTTTAAGAAAAAGAAAATCTATAAAGGAGAAAAAATTAAAATTAAAATACTAATAGGAGTAACATGCATCATGAGTTCTACATGCAATATTTTAGCATATTTTTCTATCCATGAATGTGACCAGAAGATGGAGGCAAGAGAAAGATGTAAATATACCATCAAAAACTCCGAAAAGGCCAACGATTTCACCATCGACACCATCAATTCTTGTTTCATAAAAATCTTCCATTGAAGATCTCTTGCCAGGGCAGCTAGCATACCCGTAGCTGAATTTGCCATTATGACTATAAACACAAACCATAACAAATTGTGTCACGATCATCTCATGCTGTCTCATTCCTATCTTTTTTTTTTTTCAATTAGGAAATACCACATACAGGAAGAAAAGAGGCCTTGTCAAAGAAATTTGTTGTACAATAAATAAATCATAATCACAAACATATGAAAACAAGAATCATACATACCAGAGTTATGAATATGCAAATCAAAACCACAACCATCAAATACGTATAAAAGCAAGAACAGGAGAAAAATAAATGAAACAAAACAAAAAATAACCCACTTATTGGCATCGAGAAAGATGGACAAGTAAAAAAGGAAATTAACCTGAGACCCCCACCGCTGACAAGTGCTTCATCAGCAGCATGAACCTGGCTAGAAGAGGACAAAACTGAATTGAGATAGCCCATATTACAACTAGAATATTCTCGAAACCAGATACTATTTCTTTGACCAAAGTGAAGAAACAAATCCAATATTGCGTATTCTTTCTACCCAACGGTTCCAAAGTGATCATAACATTAATGGGTCATTCTGAAATCACTCAGTTTCAAGTTTAAACCTGCATACAAAACACCCAAGGAAGAAAGTTGATTGCTTTCACAAGAATTAACAAAATTTGCACAAAAAGATACAAACTTTGTACATAGATATTGTAATTGATACGGCTATAAGCGTAATCCATGGTTGAACAAGAGTTTGGGAAGAGTTTCTAACAAGAGAGGGAGGGAGAGAGAGAGAGAGAGTACCTAAGAAAGGGAAGAGAAAAGAAATTTCATGATAGAGAGAGAGAGTTGAGACACAGGGTATTCTATTCTGTTAAATTTTAGTTCAAGGCAATTCATTGTTTGTTCAACAATTGCGATGTTCAACCATATATCATAATCTTCTCGAAAATTAAATGCACATTTTCTTTGAGAAAAGAAAAAGGAAAAAGAAACCCCGGGTCAATAAGAATTAACCAAAGAATGGAAAGTCTATTAAAAAAATATAAATTGATTGTGTATTAATATTATTTTATTTTTGATGATTCATTCGAAGCTCAAAGGTTGTTTGGTGATTCATGAAATAATCATTATCATCTATTCTATTCATTCATCGTATACTAAAAATATTTGCATAGCGTTGCATACGCGTCGCGAAGGACGAGCGAAGCTTTAGGTGGGACCTAGTCAATGCCAAAAATAACACTGTTTCTAATGATACTGTTACTCACGGCGGTGATGACACGTGTCACCCATTTGCTGTTCATGTACAATGGGACACACGCCTCTTAGCCTGAGCTGGGTCACATTCTAACAATTCCCTTGACCTTGAACAAGAGAAGATATAACTATGATGTTTTTCCTTGTTATCATGTTTTCATGTTTCTTAGATTTTCGTTTTACCCCATTGAACTTGAATGAAGACTATTGCTGTTGGGATTTATGTTCTATGACTTTGTTGCCATTTTGTGTACGATTATTTTTGTGTGTTGGACACAGCTTTCCTATACCTTTCTAGTACGAAGACTTGTGAAAGTATTAATATTCAACGATGAATTTGGAATTTGATTACAAGGAATCCTGTAACCAGAAATGTAGGAATCTTTGAGTTGAACAGATACCATATTAATAGGTGCTTGGGCTAACCTAATTTGACATTTTCCTACTTTGTCATTGATGTTGATTGAAAGCTAGTATTTCATTAAATGCAAGTTTTTTTTTCCTCTAAATTTTTATAAGAATTAATAACATGTTAAAACATCATTAGACCTATAGGTCTGGCTTAATTGATAGGACTAAAAACAACTACGTGCATGAACAAAATGAGACTAGTCACGGAATCATCTTACAGTATATACATATTACACTTTTAAGAAATGTGAACTATTTTTTCTGTGCAAACGTTTATTTTGTAGTAGAAAACTCCCCAAAATTTTGATAAACTATGAAACTACCAAATAGAATACTGAATCTAAGGAGAATTATCCACGGGTGTATTATGTGAGATAATGATATCCTAAAAGCGTAAAAGTATAAATTTGTATGAAACAAAAAATAATAATTTAAAATTAAAAGTTATTAGCAGTTTACTATTCCATAAAATCTAATATCTCATTTGACAATTTCAGAGTTCACCTAACCAAACCAAGAATTTAAAAATAGTAGGAAAGAGTTTTACACCTTTCGTTAAACTTAATTTCTCATCTGACATTTTCCAGAGTTTACCAAGACTTTATATCTCACAAGACAAACTTAATGTACTCCGTAAAAATGAACCGAGCTTCCAAAATAAATTAGACTCTTTTAAAGTGAATAACTACTTTAAAAAATAGAATATAAAAATTAATGAAAAATATAATGAATATATTTTAATTTTATAATTGATTCTACATATAAAAATTAATTAGAAGGTTCAAGCTAATGCATGTTACTCAATAAACTTTTAGAATCCAATGCAAATAAGGTTAACGGTAAATTAACTACTCAACTATTACTAATTAGTCGTCATGTAGATTCAAACGATTTTGAAAAATGTATATTTTTTATTTTTTTAAAATATATTTTATTTTTTTAAATTTTTTTTGTATATACATAAAACACTTAAAAAGAGAGATAAAAAAATATCAATAGAAAAGCTATTTACAAGAAAATTTATCTGACAGTAGCAACAATACTAATAAGTATAGAGACACACAATTTAGCACAACATACTTTTTTTATTGCCCTATACATTATTATTATTATTATTATTATTATTATAAAAAGAAGAAAAAAAGAGTTATGAAACTCATAAGAAAAAAAATTGTTTCTTTGTTGTTTATGACTTGTCAAGTCATAATATTTAATTTTATTTTTTAACTTTATTTTATTGGTCCACAACAATAAAAAAAAAAGAACGACGGAAAGAAGAAATCATTATTAAACACCAAAAAACTATTATTTTTATATTGTTTATAGTTTATAACAAGATTTAATTTAATTTTTTTACTTTATTCTATTGACTTACAAAAATAAAAGGAAAAATAAAAGAAAAAAAGAGAGGGAAAAAAATCACTATCAGACCTTAAAAATATTCTTTTATTGTTTATGTCACGATATTTAATTTTTTAATTTATTCTATTAATGCACACAAATAAAGAAAAAAAAATAATGAATAAGGAAGGAAAAAAAGAATAAAAGAAAAATCAATATCAGACATTACAAAAATTAACATAAAAAAAGGAATAATTCTTACTTGATCACTCTTCTTTTTGTTGTTCCTTCAATCTTTAGGTTTCTGTGTTGGTTGCTCTCCTTTTTAATTTTCTGGTTTGGAAACAATATATGAAAAGTTTTTCTCAATGCTTTTCTCCATCAGATTTTCCACTATCTAATCTACTTATTTAACCTCCTAAAAAGGTTTCAAACTATCTATAATTTTTTGAATTTCCAGATTTGAAATTTTGAATTTGTTTTATTTTTGTTATTATTATTGTTTTGTTTGAAAACATTTACAAATACTATGATACGCAAAAATCAATCTTATTTTTACATTATTAAAATTATTAACAATTTATTAGTGCAACAATTCAATTTTTTAATAGTAATGTATCATGAAAGCTTTAAATGTGGTAGTTGTCTTGTAAAGATTAAAACAACCAAATTTCCTAATTTCCCTCTTTAAAAAAAAAAAAAAAGCGCACGCGTAATTTAAAATGGCAGAACGTCAACGCAAAATAATATCAAATTTTCTTTGTGAACTGTCAAAAAATCTGAAAGATATAAAATTTGGAAAGCATGTATGACAAGTGTTAATGTAAAAAAATGGAATCTGAATGCTAAGAATAATAGAATATGTTGAGGAAACATTCGCTCATTTCTAATCCGCGAATGTAAACTGCTATATTTCTATCTCAATCTGACAATTTATGAAGAAGTTTTGAAAAATAGAGCCAAAAAGCTACCCGTAATTTGTGGTTAGAATGTAAAGCTAAAGCTGAAATTATGTCTAAAGCAAATTTGTGAACCTCGGGCTTCACTGCTATCCGAATAAGCATTGTTGTCCACTCCCCTGGTGCCAACTTCACCACCTCACAAAGGTATCGAAAGCCTTTTCCAATCCTAGCGAGGATAGCACGCTCCTGCAACTCACAAGAATGAAAAACTTAGACGTGTTTGCAACTCCATGAGCAAAATTGTTTAGTTTTAGAAATTCAATATAGCACTCATGAGAAGAGATGCATAAAACCGACCCTAAAATCTGCCCCTCTTCAACAAAACTTTTATCGACTCGACCCTACTAGCAACTTAACGGAAGAGAGACAGGGGGGGAAGACAGTGAAGGAAAAATTAAATTTTTTGTTTGGTTTGCGAAAGAAAAAGCAAATAAAAATTAATTTAATGTAATATCATGTCATATATATATATATATATCTTCATTGTAAGTGTTTCTGCGTATTCCTTGGACAGCCCACTTTATTCTTCTGAAATCAAGAGAACTGGAAAATCTTCAGCGCCCGTTAATGATGGAAGAGACGAGAAGGAGATGAGGGGGGTGCCTCGAAACGATGACAAAGTTGTAAGTTACCAACTCAGTATGGTAACAATGACGTTGGATCTCTCGCAACGCACTACCTACTCCTTAATGGATCACCCAGTCTCCCACTCAAGTGTCAGCGTTGGATCTGTTAGTTTTGACTTCTAAATTATGTAATCAAAACTCAAGACAATAAAAATAATCAAGATATTTAAAATTTGTTTAATTGAAGTTGTAGTCCTATTTTCTACTCTAAACTTAAAATAAAAGTACTCTCTTATCAAGATATTTAGGATTTTAATTTTGATTTTAAAAAAAGGCAGGATATATTATCTGTTTACGGTACAATGAAATATTTGGGTTTCTATGTTTGAAACATACTATTTTCTGAATTTGTTTATATATATATATATATATATATATAGAGAGAGAGAGAGAGAGAGAGAGAGAGATTTTACACCATTTGTCATAATTGCGACATATACTGTAAATTTTAAAATGTGTCACCGTGTCCATTCCTCTCTCGTGTTATCGACGTACTTCCCAGTTCCCACCCTCCAAACCTCCCCCCAAAAAAAAATCAAAGGATAGACCAAAACATGAGAGGAATAAGATTTTGGCTCTTCATTTTTTCCCTCCTCTTCCTCTAATCTTCTAAAATAAACAAAGGATTCCCTCCCCTCCATTCTCTTACAACCAAACAACAGGCAAGCAATCTATAAGAACAGCACACATCAGAGTTCAATGACTACATGCTCTCATCCTTATTGTTGAAGTCCCATCAAATAAAAGTTTATAAAGATTAAAACAATACTCTCCTTACGAGCTAACTTTTGGAGTTGATTTAGGCTTAACTCAAATTCAACACTTTTCAAGGCCCCTTTTGGTCAGCAATTGAGAACACCACTCTCCAAACTACAATTTACACCACTGTCCCAGCACTATATAACATGTGTACCATTCCACCACCTAACTCCTGCCACATACATCCTATTTCGGCAACTTCATCTACAATCACACATGCCCACCTCGTCACCACTGCAACCTCAGTTCTAAAATCTTGTTCTAACTTATAATTCCTCTAAATGAAAAAATCCACTTTACTTCTCCCCATGTTGCCTTGAACGAACTATCTTCATCAACACAATCTACACACTTCACCATAGAGTGATCAGTAGCAAGGGAGACACAGTAAATGCGAGCATTTCACAGCCATAAATCCATAGATACAGGGGAATGCATCAACAAACTATCAGCATCAACACCATCCACACACTTCACCAAAGAGTGGTCAGTGGCAAGAAGGGGCACAGTAAATGTTCTCAACAGCCATAAATACATAAGGATCTATTGGGAGTGGCAACCTCTTTGCCTTTATTGGGTTGTTAGTAGGCTTTTAGGGTTTAGAGTTTGGACCAAACATATTTAGTAGGAGAAGCACCCATCCTACTTTATTCAGTAACCTAAATTACTGGATACTTTAATTATTTTACTGTGTTATTAAATGAAAAAGATGGGTTTTCTTTGTCCAATTAAATGTGCAAAACCTTCATGGAATGTGAGGAGGTTAGAAACTAGGCATTCAGTATTCCCTAGTCCCCTAGGGACACATACACGTGTAGAAAATAAACAACAAAAGACAAACCTCAAATAGTAATGTCCTCTGGCCTTGAGGATTCTCATTTAATACGCAATCAATCACTTCATCTTGCAGAAATGCATCAGCTGCTTCTACTATATCCCGAAGAAGGAAAAGGCGCACTCTAAGACCCTTGTCAGATAATATGAATAATAGAAGATCTTCAGTGGAATCAACAACAGCATGCGTGTCAAATAATTTCCAAACAGAAGAATTTGAAAACTTTTCAGAACTAAGCTCTCCAGTTATCTCAGAGGCTTGTTCAGATATTGCTGCTACCTGAAACAAGAGTGACATCCATATTACATATAATCCAGAGTTGTAAATAATTTAATCATAAGAGTTTTCATATTTGAAGGAAGAAATGAATGGGATCTGCATTTGCAATGCTACATAAATTTACTAGAAAGGGTTTGAAATTTGAAATCTAATAAAGCATGTTTACTTCTCAGGAAAAACAACATAGTTCCACCCGTAAATTAATATAGAAATGCTGACAACATAAACCCTTTTCAACACACTCCATTATTCGGTGAAGATGTGAATCCTGCTCACTCCCTGTTCAGTGGGGCTCCATTCCCCATTTAATGGGATCCAATTGTATTTCACCCATTAATAGCATATTGGAAAAAGTGTTGAGAGAGTACTGCAATCATTTCTTAAATTAATAATGTGATTCACTCTAGGCGGCAACTGAAAATCGATCCATATAGTGATATAGGATTTCAAACTTTCAAGTGCAAGAGCACAAATAAAGTAGCCTATAAATTTAATGTTAAATAGCAATTCCTTCTATTTGGAGAAGTTATGATTACATGATACAGATTAGGTAAATATTAATACTTCAACCTAGTGAATTTCATTTTAAAGTTGTCAGCTTATTTTAAGCAATACTGGAATGAACATATCCACATAACAATTAAATGTATGGGCCCATACCAGACGTTCTAGCCGGTTCCACCTTATGGATCCATTGTTACGAATGAGAAGTTCTCTCAAAATTCTTCTCATATCAGGACTTGGGTCAGCTATAAGTCTGCCAATGACAAAAGGATATGCACTCTCAATGACTTTAAAATCAGGATCCAGAACTTTAGCTGTGCCTTCTAGTGATCCCAATGCTCTTATCACAAGAGCATAGTCTGGTGGGAGGGAGAAGTTAAATTCATACATGACATCGTATAGTTGGTTCATAATTCCCTGAAATCCAAAGCAAGATTGAACTTTGAAATACAAAAGACCATGATAACCTGTCATTGTGCTACAGATATATATAAAAAGAAAGGCCTTGCTGTGGACATTATCAGAAACTGATCTATGAAATACTAACTTAGGAAATAACTTTAAGCTTTGAAGTCCAGCACCAAGAATTAAAGCAAGGAAAAATTTTACAGCAATGCGTGACGTTGATGTCATCAGCCAGATGGTAAGTTGTCAAACCATCAAAAGTCTAAAAAAACAAAATGATGGATCTGTGCTAGTTGCATAGTTTGTTACATCTCTCTCTCTCTCTCTCTGGGTATGCGTGTGCATGTACCCTCACAGTAGAAAATTTATTCAAGGTCAAAGAAAAAAGGCACAAGAACATAAAATGATATACCTTCTAAAATATAACAATAAAACAACTTAATCCTAAAGTAGAGGTTGAAAAGAGGATAAAAGACTACTTAATCATAAATTATCCTTGAAAATTCATCCATTCCTATCTAACAAGCACCAAACAAAGGCGGCATAAATTGTGCACTGCCAGTATTTCCCCCCAAAGCCTCTTCATTGACATACCTCTTAATTGACATATTTGAAATGCTCAAAACTCTGCTTTGGAATATTAAGGCTAATGAACCAAATATCAGCACCAGTTACAGATATTACAGAGCAAATAATCAATCTTAAGAAGCAGTATAAAACACAAAACAAACCTGGAAATCTTGAGATTCACTGGTCCGATCAGCAAATGATGCTTGCAGTGCATCAGAAACTGAATGTATATCAACCCCTTCAGGAATGAATCCCAAAGAAAGAAAGTCATTTGCCAAGCTCAGAGAGTCACGATTAACAAAGTGCACAATCTGAAAGGAAGAAAAATTTAGTAAGACATGCAGAGGACAAAAGGAAATTATGTATCTCTACTAGAAAGTATATTTAAAACAAGTAATATTTAAACATTTATTGCACCATTTGAATTAGTCCAATCCGGTAATGCCTTGGAATATCCCCCATCATTCCAAAGTCAAAATAGGCAAGTGATCCATCATTTATTGCAACAAGGTTTCCAGGATGAGGGTCAGCGTGGAAATAACCAACCTCAAGCAGTTGCCTCAAAGAGCAGTATAAACCCTACAAAGCCATAAGGAAGAGGCAAGGGCATCGTTCACAATGTTTAGCATCTAAAGTAACCATCATGCATTTAATATGTAGCCATGAGATAACAAAACTGTGCATTTAATACACAAAAGCATGCAAGCATACTAAGTCAAATATATGCACATATACACAGAGACAGGCACACAACAGCATACAAGAGAGAATAATATATGCAAACAGTCAAAGCATATGATCAAGAAAACTTACGTGCTTTATACCTGGTCAATGAGTTCCCTTCTGTTCAAATAAGCTTTATTCAAGCCAGTTTCATCCGTAAGCTTAATTCCATCTATCCACTCCATAGTCAGCACAGTGGGGCATGTATAGTCCCAATAAATTTTTGGAGCTTTAATGGACATCGTTCTTTTGTGTTTGACCCCACCTGCATTTTTTTGTATCAATGTATCTATTAATTACCATCTCTTCAAAATGAGTCACAAATCTAAATTGCAGGCTAAGGAACTAAGCATCATTTGATCCAGTTTAGAGGCAAAAATGTTCAGTTTTATAACTTAACACAAGCACACTGCCCTGTCCTTTGGGGAACAACTATCCGCTCAAGACATAAGCAAGGATCATCATGTTTAAACTGATCTCAAACTAAAAATTATAGTTTCAGGGAAAGTCTCTCAAGTAACAACGTACATTATCTGATAAAGCATTGAGCAGTATCTAAAATTTGAATTAGGGATTAAAATACATGTCTGAATTATGGCCGTCAAAATTATCATAAAAGAAAACTGCAATTAGCATTTTTCAAACAGATATTGAACTTACTTGCAGACACACAGTAGAGAGAAGCAAAGCGCTCAGCATTTTTTCCCTCAAGGACATAATCAATTTCATCAAACATGTGCCTTACCTGTTTCATTAATTTAAAATGACTAACACATAGAGCAATTGTAATGTAAACTAACTGTAACAGTCTCCATAATAGTCGGCTGGTGTAATTCTCAGACATACAAGTAAAATATTATATTTCTGAAGTGGGTTACAGATGTCAGTTTGCCAATGTCAGGTGAAAAATAGGTCATATAAAAAGCAGATGAGATTTTTGTTCTCTTGAGTAAAGGAACTTACCATTTCATTTACTGCCACTAAAAGATCTTTGCGAGCCTTGGCAAACCGTTTTAATTGTCCCCCAATCATATGGAATAACAAAGCATCAAGGGTCAATGAAAGTGACATACCAGGCCTCTGTACTTTTACAGCTACCAGCTCTCCAGAATGCAGGTGAGCTGCAACACTTGAAGCAACAAAAGTAAACACTTCAATCTTCCTCAAATATGTAAAAATTACTCTAAAATTCCAAATTTAAGAATGTGAAGCCAAACAAATTTGAAATATTCAAATAAAATAAAATCTAAGCTATTTTTTCTGCAACTAACCTTTATATACTTGCCCTAAGGATGCTGCTGCAATAGGTGCAGGAGTGATGTCACTAAAAATTTCATCAATAGAAACACCCAGTTGGTTTTCAATAGATCTGATTGCAACATCAGTTGGAAATGGAGGTATTTGATCCTAGCATGAATAAAAAATTATAGGGGTTTATCAATACAGGATGACAGAAAACAAGAGCACCACAATAATCAATAGATGCAACTGCAGTAATTGACTACATGCCCCGAACTATAAAGGAAGACATCACCATACCTGTAACTTAGCAAGTTCTTGACAATATACTGTAGGTAGTATGTCAGGCCTGGTGCTCAATGCCTGCCCAAGCTGTAATCATGAGTAGATTACGTCAGATAAAAGGACCATACTAATAAATTTAATATAAGTTAAATTTAATTGTTGCTCCATTCGGTATATATCCATAATGACAATGTGGGAAGGAAGGAGAACAGAAAAGCTTCCTATTTATATTCAAGTGCTTCCACATAAGAAAAAGATGAAACCTTTTTTGAAAAATAATTAAAAAAAAAAAAACACAGCTTACCTTAGTTAAGGCATAAGAATTGAAAGCAAGATTATTGCATTTATATGGTGAAGGTAAAAGTGGATAAAGGCAAATGATATGTCTTCAATCAAAACAAATGATAGGAAAAAACAATATTATGATCCAAGAAATGAATAAAATGCCCTTGAAAAAGTCATCAAGTTGTTTACACTAAAAACCAGACAAAATTTATTTGAGAGTTAAGAGCAGAAATTTGTATGAGAAAGAGAAAATAATGCTAACATGAAGTGCATATCTGAAACGAACACCAGCACAGAACATAAAGCAGAAACTTATATGAGAAACTTGCCTTTATGTAGAAAGGACCCAATCGTATTAGAGTTTCACGAAACTGCAAAAAATTGCATAGACATCACTGTTCATTCCTGTCAGTTTTTTCCCTAACAAGTATTAAAAAAATGAATCCACACTCTATTTCTGGAAGAATTGTCAACAGAAGAAATATAAGTCATTTGGTAATTCCAATAGTGCTTAAATATATGACTGGTACTTGAAAACATATTACAAACAAAATGAATAGAGACTTCTTTCATATTGCCAACCCATTCATCAGAATAAAACTGATACATGGCTACAATTTTCTTTTAAAAAATATCACAACAGTCAAATTGACATTCTTCATTTTCTATGAAATCCATCAAGTATCAAAGGAATAAAAGGTCAGAAAGTTAATGATAGAAAAAAAAAACTGTTATGTCAAACTGACCAACTAACACCAACACTAAATGACAGAAAAAAACATACAACATAACAGGGATGCACATATATTCTTCCATGTTAATGAAAACAAAAATAACAGCATAAAATTGATTTGGTAATACAGCATTTATCTCAATAACAATCAAGCCTTTCTCCTGCTAGATGGAATCAATTACATGGATTAAGTAAACAACGTCATAATTTTCTATTGTGAATCATGTCTAAAGTAAACATTGACCACTAAATCCTTCTTAATGGTTTTTCCTACAGTCATTCCTGGTCTCTCTCTACCACCAGTGATAGGAATATCTTCCTTCTAATCCATCCCCCTTATTGGGGCTTATATATGTCTTCTCTACACATGTCCAAATGGGCAACATCACACTACATTTCTCTATCATTTTGCAGGATGGACCTAAGATACTTGAACCATGTGACTTGTGGTAAAGTATGCTTTCCAGTTTCACGTCTAAGCTACAATTGATGCCCCTTCTACTAAAGTCACATTCCATATATTCCATATTACTTCTACTTAAATGAAAGTCATCAGCTTCCATAGCTTGTCTCCACAGTCCACATCTCTAACTTACCATTTATTTCCTCTCTAGACTCTAGCCAAAATCATATTATATACAAAAAAACTTTTGTCTCACAACAACGGAGTTTATTAATGCCCAAGAACAAATACATTTATAATTGAGACAATCACAATGATTGATCCATAAGGCTAACCATAATTTGCATATTAAGTTGAGTTGAGTGACAAAAGAAGTGGCTGCAGTATTTTTTCACTAAACTCATTGTGTTACTTAGGATCCCATTTCACTTTCTTTTCTTTCCCCAACTTCTAAAAGGTTTCCAATAAAGAAGCTGACCTGATAGTTCTAGTTCAATGGTTTAACTGGTTTAAATCCTCGCTAACATCAAGACATTTACTAAAGTTCTCATTAAGTGATTAAACCTGTGTTCAGTGTCCAGCGATTAATTCTCGATCATATACACATAATAGAGATAAACCTATCGCCTCAAACCAAAAAAAAATCCGCGTTTGTTCCCTAAGTGTATTTGTAAAAGTGCATGAAAAGCATTGACAAAAGATAGTCTATTACCATAACAGCACGTTTTTCAATGTCATGAACGAACAACCGCCATATCGATAGCCTTAACACATGAAACGAAATAATTGCCGCTCTGTACAGAGCCAAAAAGGGGCCGAATCGGTATATAGCATTGAAACTCTTAGAGCTATAAGTTCCAAGAGCATGTCCGAATTTATTTTCCAACGATTCCCTCCTCATTCTCGCATACTCAGCAGAAGGTGTTTCACCATGCACGCTAGTGAAACCGGTTGAATATCTACACCAGCATCCCCAAACAACAAAAATTTGAAGATCATAAAACATGAAATAGACTAAAAAAACGATTTCATATTAATTGGATCAAGTAGAAAGAGGCAAATCAACTTACGAATTTCGGTGCAATAAGTACGACAAAGACCGGCAATCCAACGGCACGCATTTTCGTAAGATAATTTCAGTGAAACTCTCATGATGCAAATCTGCGCAAAAATAGAACTCTCACTACAATAAAAGCAACATTAACCTAACCGCTATTTAATTATAATTAATGTCAGCAAGTATAATTAAATAGAATAAAAAACGAAAAGACATTGGAAAATTTCTAGGGTGTAGTGATTAGAGGAAATAAACAAGGTATTTGGAAGTAAGAGAACCAGTACATGCGGACGAAGGAATGGCGGCGCGGTGACGGTAGAGAGCGGCGAAGGCATTCCTCGTCATTGATATGTGGAGCAAACAAGTTTAGGGAAAATCATGGGAATACGTTGAACACCATCTGTTTGAAAAAATGGGAAGCTGCAACCAATGAGCCATTGATTTGATCAATGTGTAGCAGCTTTGAGTGTGTACTTCCTCTCGCGAAGCTAAAACAAGAGGAAACTGCCACGTCTCGTGTAATGTTAGTAAGTACTAGACAGTTGGCAGTGGCACCAATTTTGGAGAACGCGAACCGTCCTCTTGGATTTGGATTGGAGTTTGGTGACTAACACTACACGTTTTTCAGGGCCCTAATGCCTTATGAATTCTTTTGTCTGTAAAAAGGAAAATGCGTGATGAAATCCTTTCCCGCATCTTAATAGGCCCGAATTAATTTATTTCATATTATATAATTCAGCTAAGCTTTTCTTCAAATTATTTTCATTATATGTATTTAAAATGAACATAAACATAAACATGGGCTGAGTAATAAATTAATGAGAAGTTGTTCTTTTTTAACGATGTGTATCTAAGAAGTTTAAATTTTAAAAAGAACTACATTTAAAATTTAATGAAGGATAATACAATGAAATTAATATAATGTCTTGAAAATTCAATCTTAGTTTAAATAAAATAATATAAATTGATGACCTGATTGGCGTTGAGATACCTAAAAGTAAAAAATATATAAAACAACTAAAAAACAAGTAAATAAAATATAATCAAATAATATTCTAAACACCTTAATTTTTATACAAAAGTAAATTGAAATACAATAATCTTTTTAAGAAATATGTAAATGTTTAAAATTCAATTGTGAGTGACATATTCATATATGTGAAATACGAAAATAGTAAGAAATGCAGCATCTTTACTGTTAAAATTATTCAAGTATATTTCTTTCTCCAATAAAAAAAATTATATTATTTTCTTAAATTCGGAACCTCTGAGGGGTTGAGTTCGGCTGGGGTTTTCTTTCCTTGGTCGGCAAGACAATTGATTGGAAAGGGAAAATTAAATAAAATAATCGTGCAATCGGGGTTCGAAGTTAAACGAGACCTTGAGTGTTTCTCTTGCTTGCGTTTTGGAATCTCAGTGTAGAATGGCACGCGAACAAAATTCATCGACATGGATCCTCGATGCAGTACCTTTGTTAGTGGTTATTCTAATAGCAGTTCATGTCTTCGCCATGGTAATTTTACTCCCCACTTTCTTCTTTTTCTTCTTCCTCATTTCCCTTACCTCTATTCTCTATTCACTGCATGTTTATTGGATTTATTGCAGGTATATTGGATTTATAGATTAGCCACCCAGAAACAGCCGCAGCAGAGGAAAAAGGCTCACTGAAAGAGAAGGTTGGGGATTGGTGAACCCTAATTGACCTCATAGGATTTTGTTAGCTGCTATAGAGTCTCGTTGCTCTTCTCCATAGTCAGTCTTATTAATCTTGATTTTATAGGCTCTCATAAATGATGACGCTTGCAGCATTTACAATTTGAATTAGTGCAAAATGGATTGATTTGAACTTTGAAGTTTAAATTCATATACATAGCCTCCTAGTGTTGCTTCATGTCATTATTCTACACTTGTTTATATTGTTGGGATTTTAATTTATGGTGTCATGTAGAGCATGTTTTGAATTTTGCAAATTTGTTGGTTATTTACTCGTGAAGTTCCTGTGTGATGTACACCGCTGCGTTCTGATTGCTCAGAAACAAATAAATTTATACAATTCAGTATCTTTTTACTGATTAAATTACTCTTGAGAAGATTAGTTTTGACTTTTAAATAAGTTTTTTTTTTAGACTGCTCCATGGTTAACTAATATAATTTCCTGTAAATGTTCTTTCTTGCCTAACCTCTAATTTTCCCAGCACGTATATGATCGCATGAGCATGTTGGGAGCAGTGAAATGGATTATATGGTTCCATCTTTAGTGCCTGATACTTTTTAAGCTTGCATGTCGTGTATTGTTTATTGATATGAACTTATGAAGTGTGCATAGTGGAAAGGGAAATCCCAAACTGTAGTCAGGGTATACTAAGAGATGATATGAAGTTTAAAATAGAATTTGATGTTATATATAATAACAATAGCTCAGTGTGTCTCAAGTATGTTTTGGGTGGGCAAACTTTTCTCCGATAAAAGAAGGAAATTTTATTGAAGCGAAAGAGTACATTCATGGGGGATGTGCATTTTGTATTTTTGCCTTGTGTAGAGTACTGAAGGTTCCCTATTTGTGCTATTTCCATGCATTTGGAATTTGTGTTAAATGTTGCGTTGGAGATGATGATACAGCCCACAAAATATTTTTGTATGCACTCTGAACTTTAGGAATGAGACTCATGGGTGTTTCAATTCTGAGTACTATTGGACGTTGTTTGCCACCATGCAATTCCAAAGGTAATGGTTTCTATTGTCCCAAAAGGAAATAAACAACGTGGAATATAGTCAATCTGCAACTGAACTTATGAATTTTTTAGTTTATGCTTTAAGTATTGGAGTTCCAGATTGTGTTTACAGGAATAGTCTGCCTCTAGTTACCATCATTTGCAGTTTTTGGGGATTTGAATGAAGAATGTTTCAACAACCATAGCTTTAAGATTTACATAACATATCTTTGTGACATTAGATATGTCTTAGATTGTATTATAAAGAGGTAACTTGACCCATCTGCACAACTCCAGATCAACCTGAAGTTGTCATTTTTCTGTTGTGTATATCCTGAGCACTAGTTTGGCCATGTTTTCTTTTATGGACAACTAAGGCAGTACTAGATCACTTATTGAATTGAAATTTGGGACATTAAGGTGTTTTTGGGTTGAGAATACGCTCTGTTTTCAATTTCCGGTTTTCATTAATAAATACAAAAATATCACCGTTATTTTGTTTCTTGGATTCTAAGATTTGTACTAATTTTCACCACTTATATAAATCTTTGAAAATAAAAAAACAAAGCAAACACAATGGGACATTTTTGTAATTGGTGAAAATAGAAAAACATTTTTTTTCAAGCCTATGAAGTACTAAAATTGAAGGTCTGTCCAGCAAATAATTTTTTTGTAAAATTTATCCTATCGAAAGGACGGTAACATGTAGTTTACCTTACCAACCAGGGACGAAGGAATTTTTGCTGCTGACTGCTTTGGGAAATTCGCAATGATTGGAAGCAGCAATCAATAAAAATTTTGGTCATCTTCCTCCAGGCCTTCTTAGATTGTTGGAATGGAACAGATCTTAGTAGGGAAACTTGACCGCATGCTGCTGTGCGGGGTGCCTTACATGTATTTTGGGGTGTATAATGTGCTTTTATGTGTCTGCTCGAGTTATTTGCCCGGGTTTATCTCCAGACGATTTTCCTACTTTACGAACTAGACTAAACTTGACAAAATGCATTGATAGATGTACCCACAAAAGAAAATGTAGAGAGATAGATAATTCTTATTTTTCGTTAAACGGGATGAGGAGCAGAGCAAATAGTGCAAATTTCTGATCTATCTATTTGTTTATTATATATTTATGTTGTTCATGGGTACGAGAAAAGGAAGATTTGGGAGAGAAATAGAATCTCTCTATTTCTCTCCGCACGCCCACGCCCCACCCGAAAAAAAAATGACACTCCTACTGGTCTTTATCGTTACGCAAAGTATGTGTGCTTAAGTGGAAACAGTATTTATCAAGCCATGTTGATATTTCCTATGCCAGTCACATGTATCTTGATTGGTAAAAGGGAAGCAGCAATAGAAATCGAAACTATATACCAATGCTGTAGATTTGTCGATATGACTCAGTCTCTTGATTAGAAACCCAACAAGAGGATAGTCGAATATTAACATTTGACACCTTGTTTACCAGCACGGGGTAATGGGTTCTGTAGATAGCAATAATCCCAAACCATCCAAGCAGTGAGGAAAAACAGAAGGTAACTTGGTCTGATTCATTTGTAGAAGGTCGGAAGTATGGGGCGTGTCTAGTATCCAGCGTCTACAGTACATCTTTTTAAGGAAACCCACGTTTTTAAGGGAAAGGCCAAACCAAAACGCAGTTAGTTTTACTAAGTTGTCATACAGTGATGAGTATCTTCATTGTTAAATAGCAATTGTCGCGATGATAAACTCTCGAAGTCTTAGCTGTTCTTGTATCCAACGTAGCGCTGTTCCTTGTGTGCCTCTGATAAACACTAAAACTTCATTACAGTTTCTACAGTTACAAGCATGATCTATTTCAATTTATGATATAAAATTTTATTTTTATCTCTGACTTTTTAAAATATTATAAAATGGCATTTATTTTATCACACTTCGTAAATCGAAAACTAAAGTACAAAATTTACGATGTTAAAAAACTGTTTTAAGTATTAAAGTACAAGTTCAGTCGTTTCGATAAATAAAAAAACGAATTTCTTAATCCTTTAAATTTTGTTATGATATAGGGGTTATATGAAAAACAAAAAGAAGGGTCGACAAAAAAGCTTTTCGTAATGACGTGATACTTAGCTGGTTGGTTTGTCAATGGGTGGCTGGATGGCAGTGAGAGTAAGCGCAGGTGAAGTGCCACGTCAACCTGATCTAATAAAGTATTGTGATGAAGTGTGGATGGATGGAACGAAGGGGGAAAATTTGATGATGGAGTCTGGAGTGGGTTCATGTGAATCATATTTCATGTACTTTCCGTCCTTCTACTCATACGTGTCGTTATCCTGCAGAGTCAAAACCCTCCCTTTAATTCTTCAATTACATTCTTGTCCATCCATTTCTCCTGAAACTACCACAACCCCAAACATACCATCAAAATATTGATGCAATACAGCTTGAGTTACAATTTTAGTGTAAATATATGATAGTATTAAATACTTTTATATTATTATTTTATTATAGATTATCGTGTTAATAAATATTTTTATTTTTATATTAATTAATTTAAAAATATATACCATGTTTTTAAATTCTCATTTCCTATTTTTTTATATATTATTTTTAGTCTATCTTACTGATATAATATAATTAAAAGTTGAAACTTAAACATGATAACTGCTAAAATGCTGAATGTTGGTGGTAAAATATCATGCTGGGTGAAAGACCGTGATGTATGCCCTTTCCCACTAATGGGTACTGTTGACTTCAGCGAAGGAGCCTGGTGCATGAATCCAGGCACTGTATTGACAACAATAAAATTATGAAATAATTTATTTATACACATTCTTTTATATTTCGTATTTTCTTTTAACTATGAAAAAATATTTTTAAAGATGATACATGAATAAAAAATCCCTACAATTATTGAGATTGATTCTTTATTTAATACCTTTAATGTACTTGTTCATAAAAGGTATTATAATACACGGGTATTCCCTTTTTCACACGAAGAATGGACGATCTAGTTCTGTGATGTGTGATTTTTTGTAGATGCATTGTGCGTACATTTAACATTTCCCATATATTAGCTAGGTAAAGAATATATATATATATATTTTAAGATATTTATCTAACATCAATAATTGTGTTTATTCAAAGATCAAAGTCACACTTCCACTATCTTCTTAAATAAACTAATCATCGATAAAAAAAAAAGCAACCGCATTGTTTACGGATAATAGTTATTTTGAAGATTTGTTACAGCTTAAAACTTCTAAATATTTAAAAAGTAGTTGTTCCTATTGACAAACAAATACGTGTAGATAATCAATTTTGATTATGGATAACGTGTACGTATTTAATAAATTTAAATAATTAATATATTTATTAAATATATTGATAACTCTTAGAAGAAAATAGTAAATATTATTCAAAATTTAATGCAACTTGTTATTATTTTTATAAAATATTAATTTGTATTTTTTTATTTTTATTTTTTAATCCTCGTATATATGTTCAGTCCCTTTTTTTTATAGTATTTATCTATACTTATTTATATATTTTTAGTTTCTTAACGTTTTATAGTATACAGACAAAAACTAAACAAAAAAGGCAAAGAAAGTAGGAGCTAAAAATAGTTATTAAGACTAAAATAAAAATGGGAAAATAAAAACCAAAAACAAGGGTATAAATTTAAAACAAAACAAAAAAGTAAAGACTTAAAAATTATTTAAACTTTTCTTTTTCAATTTAGAAAAATAATTAATCATTTTAAATTCAGAAAAGATTCTTACAGAACGTCGACCCTATATGATTAAGTACATATTTAATTTAATTTATAAAATTACATTTATTGATTTTTCTGATCTTTATGATAGACTTTTTATAACACAAATGTTTATTTTCTTATATATATATATATATATATATATATATATAATAGTGTATTAATTATTTATAAAATTCGATAACTTTACTTACAGAAGCGCAGTAGAGAACAAAAAATAAAATAAAAATGGGCGAGCGAGCGAGCGCGTTGTGTCCGTGTAACTTAGGTGAGTGGGTTCACATCATAGAGTAGCCATTCTCGTAGATTCCACGAAACGCGAGGGTATTTCGGTACTTTCGGGTCTCCATTTTCCATAAAATCCTTGATTCTATTAACACCATAACAACACATTCAGAATGCCTTCAACAGTAGAGAGAGTAGCAATAGCAAAACTTGCTTTGTGAGAAGTGAACACAAAAACCCAAACCGAACCGAACGAAATGAGCGCGTGCATCCAAATCCAGTACCCATAACAAACAAAACAACAAAACCCCGTTCCCATGTGCCCCACCAATGACGATTCCCGGAGCTCCACCTCCGCCGATTCCTCCCACTGGACCTCCGACGCCATCAACGGCGGATCTCTCCGCCCCGTCGATCTGGACTCCGGCACCAACGGCTGGGCCTCACCTCCCGGCGACCTCTTCCACCTCCGCTCCCAAACCTACTTCTCGAAACGACAAAAATCCCCCGCCGGTGACTACCTCCTCTCGCCGGCCGGCATGGACTGGCTCAAATCCACCGCCAAACTCGACAACGTCCTAGCTCGGCCCGATAACCGCGTGGCCCAGGCCATTCGGCAGGCCCAAGCCCAAGGCAAGTCCTTAAAGAGCTTCATCTTCGCCGTAAACCTTCAAGTCCCAGGGAAAGAGCACCACAGCGCGGTGTTCTACTTCGCAACCGACGATCCGGTCCCGTCCGGTTCGCTCCTTGGACGGTTCATCGAAGGTGACGACAGTTTCAGAAACCAACGGTTCAAGTTGGTGAACCGAATCGTGAAGGGACCGTGGATAGTGAAGAAAGCGGTGGGAAATTACAGCGCGTGCTTATTGGGAAAAGCTCTGACGTGTAACTACCATAGAGGACCTAACTACTTCGAGATTGACGTTGACATTGGTAGCAGTGCCATCGCCAACGCTATCTTGCGCCTTGCATTGGGATATGTGACCAGCGTAAGCATCGATATGGGGTTCGTTGTGGAGGCGCAGACGGAGGAGGAGTTGCCGGAGAGGTTGATCGGAGCGGTTAGGGTTTGCCAGATGGAGATGTCCTCCGCCACCGTCGTGGATGCGCCAAACGCGCCGCGTGGTAACAAGGTCAATCATCATAATAATCTCACTGGTAACGAGGACTAAAAAGTAAGAAAAATTAAATATATTATTTATTTTCTTTTAATTTAAGAAAAATGTTTAGATAATTTCAGCAACTGCTGCATCCTCATTCACATTCTCGGTGTAATTTAGGCTCTTTTTTTGGGGAGTAATAAATATTCACCTTAATTTCGGTTCGTTGGTGTTATTATTATCGATTTGCGAGCATAACACTCTTCAGTATATTTTTATTGATTAAAAAGGCAACGCATTTGTTTTTTTAAATTGATCAATAAAGAACATAGTTGAAGAGTGGCTTTAGAATAATATAATATTAACCAGTTTGATCATCTTGAAAACATTAAAAAAATTAATAATTAAGAAATTTATGGGTTTTTAGTGTTTAGACTTATTCTACCAAAAAACATTATTTTGGTTATAATTTTGTTTTGTCTAATTTGAGAATTAGAAGTAGTGAAAAAAATGACAGAAAAAAAGTTGGGTAGAGAGGGAGGGATGAGAAAAGAATTAGATTATTAGTGCATTGTGCAGGTTGGCTTTACAGCAAAATTTATTATGTGTGTGGGATGAAGGAGAAAAAGAGAGCCTTGGTTGGTGAATGGAAACGCACATGCTGTGGAAAAGTTGCATAAAAGTAAACTTTGCTTTGCTTGTGAGATTTGAAATGTAGACCGCAAGGCATGTTGGACATTCCTTAGTAGTGTTGAAGCTACCATGTTATTGGGCTGTGCTGCTTCTCCCCCTAATCTGCTAAATGTTTTTAGTTGGATAACAATACTCTCCCTTCACTTAGTTATTTAATCTTTGCATACTTCTTATATTAGATATTTAATTATAAGTACCAAGGGTTTAGTTGTTGGACCTAACACCAAAAATATTACTAGAGTTACAAATGAATAAAACAATAAAATTAGAATAATTTTTTCTTTATTTTATATTCAATATATATTAAAATAATAAATTAAATATATTGTATTATTCTCTTCTTCTTCTTTTCATCTAATTTAATTCGAATTTGACTTGAGTCACACACCTAGAAATAATTGATAAGTTTATTACCAAATTTTTTTTATATACACAGATACAACCTTACTTAAGCGATATTAAGTGGCTTGTTATTAAGATCGAGCTCCTTTTGTTATATTATTATCTTCTAATTTAATTCCGGACAGAATTTACCCTAATGAGAAATATAAGATAAGGTTATAGGTAAGAGATATTATATTCCATTGATTAAACAAATATAAAGAGAGGGAATCATATAGCGTATAGTCTAGGTATAGGTAGATAACAAAAACAGAAAGTTATTAAAAAATTTACGATAAATAATATTTTAAAGAATTTAATTTTTGTCAAATAATTTAATTATTTACCTAATATAATGATATTGTAATATATGTAGTCAATCCATAAGGCTGAATTGTTATTATTGATTAAATAAATGTGAAAAATAACACATTGTAAGAAGAATTATCATATTTTTTTTATCATGTTCACTAAAGAGATATGAAAGAAATGTGTAAAGGTATTTGATATTAGTTAAGAATATGATAAAAATATATTTTTATAAAGTTTGTATAATTTTTTCGTAATATAACATTTGAGATCTATTTATACTTAATTTGTTTTTAATAGAATTGACATTATTTTCAGTAGCTATAATTTTGCATCAAAAATTGATTAATGAAAACACTTTCTATTGATCATTACAAATACAACGCAGGGGCGGTTTGGTTTGATTCTTCCAGAACATGGATACACAAAGGTGTTAATAATGAGAATCAAACAACAAATAAAACATACTTTTTTTGGTGTCGTGTTAAGAATCATCAATTGGACGATAACATTGAGAGATGTTGGGATTGTGGGACAGCGACGATTACTTATATTTTATTCTTTGCGCGTTGTCATGTTCAGAAAAATGTAACTTTAAAAGCGCTTTTGTTTTCAAAGCTAGAATGAATAGAAAGCCGGATGTTCGGTTCGGTGCAGAATATAAATTAGAAGTATTAGAAGAGTTTCATTATAGCATGAATCTTGATTATCTTAGATGTATCATTCATTTTGTATGTTTCCAATTTTATAATGACTACCCAATGCATGATCAACAATAATAATCGCATTTTTTTATTGGCCGGATGTATTGCAGTTTGGTACAGTGGTTCAAGGACCTTAGACACAGCAAACGGCATTAAAAATAAAATTCAGGAAAATGTTCTTTTTCAAAATTATGTTGAAATCAACCTGTCACTACAGTGGAAGCCCTTTTCTCAAACTAGGTAACCTTTAGCTAATTATATCAAAGAATCCGCATATTAACACTTGGTTGACGAAGAAGGATTTTGCGCAATCTGATTCCATTTTTATTCCCTTCTTTTGATCGACTTAAAAAAAGAAAATACTTGGCCAACAGAAAATCAATAACAAAATCATTTAATGCAACATGTTCACTTAGGCTGAGGAAGAGACACTGGATACCCAATTTTGATGGGCGCCCAAATTCAATTACTCTAATTTTCTGAAACTCGCAGAGCTATTTAATCTCCCTCTTCTGACATGGTTGGTACAGTTAGATCTCTAAAACATCTTGATAAGAATTTAATTTTTTTAGTAGTGTGTATTAAAAAAACTTTATAAAGCCAACGATCTTTCGAACCGTAATCATCCGTCATTTAAACTACTTCTCACCACTTTTATACTGCAAGGTTTTTAAATTTCACTGGGTCGGGCAGATTCGACCCACTTACATTGTTACATTTAAATCATTAAGATTTTAAAAAATAAAATAAAATACTTTTTAATGGATTGGTGACTTTCTTTTTTTTAATAATGAATGTTAAATGGACCAACAATGTTAATTTTCAAGACCCATTTGATGCTGATGGCCAAGAGACTTGGATATAAATAAGATAAGAATATGACAAACTTTTATTATATTTAATATTTCATAAAACTTAATAAAAAGAATGATATGACAAAAATATCATTTTATCTATATTTACTAAATTAATTTTAATTGTTTTACTCTGTATAAGTTATTTTTAATTTATAGAAAATATATAAATAATATAATATATCTTTAAAATTAAAAATATATAAAAATAAAAAGGAAAGAGAGAAAGAGAGAAGTAATAACATAAATTAAGAGTAATTTGAGAAAAATAATTACTATCATTTTCTAAAGGGGTATTAGGGTTGAGTTAGTTTGCCTGAATTGACTCTAAAGGGGTATTAGAGTTTAAAGATTGTTTAAGTAAATGGTTTTAAAAAATTATGAACATAATTTTTTGTTCTTATCATTTTTTTAGTAATTAATTTGAGCTTGTATTTCCTTGCTTAAAAAATAATATAATATTTATTTTAAAAAATAATAAAAAGTAACTTATAAATCTGATAAGTTACTATCGATTTATCAAAATAAATTATTATTAATTTATTTCAATAAATCTTAACATTTAATTTATAACAAATTATAGTTTAAAAAAATTATCAAATAAATTCTTAAATCAGCACTTGTCAAAAAAACACAGCCACGCTACCCTCCATTGTGGCCACTTTTCCTTTTTATTATATATGCTTGATTTCTTTCACATTCGGATAGAACATTTCAAAACTACACAACCTGTTTTACTTTGTGTTTCTATAAAAAGCCGCACTGCTTCACTGGTTGTTGCTGAGTAGCCACTGAACTGGAATTGTTCACTAGTTGTAAAGACTAAAACGAAAGCAGTTAAACATGAATTTATTGATGCCACAAACAGAGGGTACCCAAACCCTTCCATTCATAAAGTTATCGTAACAATGTCCTAAATATATAAAAGTCTAAAGTTTTACAGAAGTAGAACAAATATTTTTTATTAATCAAAATTACTAATTATAAATGTTTAAAATCAACACTGAAAATTAATATTAACAAAGCTAGTAGAAAAATGGTCATTTAAATTTCAACCTAGAGTTCTTTTATATAATCTAAAAAATGGTAATTTAATATACATACAACATAACTACATGGGTGGAAAATCCATAGTCTATTGAACGCGTATCAGTGTAATAACTTGATATAAAATGTTGGCCGCAAGTCAATACTAATTGAGCATGTTAACTGCAACAACAATTCACAAATTAGAAATCTCGGTTTCCACGTCATCAACTTTTGGGCCCTCTTCATCATCATCATCCACGTCATCAATGGGAATGTCCTCGTTGTCATAACCAATGCCTAGATGTATACAAAATATGAAAGTTACTAAAAAGAAAAAATATATAGTAATATATGTCAACAATACCACAACGATGCTATTAAAGAAATTGCCGCCAATTCAAACAAGTTTTAAGCGCTTAAACCTTTTCATATAATGCAAATGTAACCAAGCAAGCAGCTGCAAATGCAATGTTGTTTAAGTAGTTTTATTCTGCTTAAAATCAGCACTGTGTATTTAATAAATCTCTCTCAAAGGGCCCAGTTTAGGCAAAATTGGCGAAACAACTCATCCAACTTATTTTGCAGAAGCCAATGAAGACATGCTCTTTAAGAAGTCATTTTTAATTTCGAGGGGAAAAAATGTCACAATAGGCGGAATCAAGCAACACCACAAGGTTATACCATCTCTCGGTTGGGCTTTTGCCCTTTTGTCAGCCAAAAATAAACAGAGCACTGACAAGGGTAACGACCAGTTAAGGACAGTGATAAGCAAAGAAAGACTAGTTAACCTAGGGAGATTTTAACTATAAGTAAATCTTTCATTTCCTTTTTGTTATAATTATTATAATTATAGAGAGTGCGGCTGGGACAGAGCATGGTAATGCTAGTTATATTAATAGACTAAGGGACTGTGATTTTAGTCTGCAGAGATGCCAACCCACGAGGATATATCATCTTCCCTACAGGAATTCTAAAATAATCACAGGCCTCCAATTTGTTTAGAGCAAGGTCAGTATCTGGTTCCATGTCAAATTTTTGCTATAGGCATCGCATGTTTCTATCTTAGAATGACATCATGATTAATAATTTCATAAAAACTATAAAATCAGGAAGGGATAGCTAAAGTTAAGAGAATAGCAAGTCAAATAAGATTTCAACAATGTTGATGACAAAGTTCAGACATGTCCAAAAATTGACTTTGACTGATGTCCCCTAGCCTCCATGTATTCTTCTACTGATTTCTCCTCAATCTCTCTTCGCATTTTATATAAAAATGGATTTGCTTCCCATCTATGGGCATTATTAAAAAGAAGGCTATACATTACCTCTTTGAATTGAAGGGGAACAATGAGGTGACAAGTCTTTTGCTTCAGGATTGCTATCAAGAAGATATGGAAGTTCTAGAAGCTGCAAAAGAGATTCTGTCTGAGGATTTCTGGAATTCACTGCAAATAAATAAATAAAACAGATAGAAATAAAATAAAATTAACACTTCCACAGTTACATTTTAAACATAAAAGGTGTAAATACAAGAGATCAAAAGGATAAAAGAGTGCACTCGCATGTTGACATTCCCTTGGTAAAGTAACTCTTCATTACAATTAATTTAAGATGTGATTGGCAACTGAACATTCATTTGAAAGGAAAACTTTATATTTTGAATTAGGGCGTATCTACTGAAATACTGTACATGAAACTTTTTCAATTGACATATGTAATATAAGAGATTGGACGACACAATAGTCTACACTGCCTAATCATCTAACACAAATCTAAGACATGCATGCATATGAGCATCAAATTAACCAAAACACTTAAAGTGATCATGATCATGACCATGACTTTATCAAGAGTACAGGCTGAAAAAATCATAATTTGTTTGCAGTGTAAGCTTTGCAATGGAAAATAAAGAAGCACCTGCAAAAGCACCATCAAAATTGGATTGTGAAGGATCATAACATGGAGCTGTTCTAACAAATTCGAAAGGTTTGCACCCCCTCTCCTGTAGTCTCCTTCTAACCCATTCATGGCAATCTTTCATTTCAAAATTTACACCTCTGTCAGAAAGAGCAAACAGCATTAATTTTTTATTTATTTTTTATTTGTTCGGGGAGAGAAAAGGGAAGGACTAAAAATTTTTTTCACAAGAATTCAAATCCTAAATGTTAATTAAGGTATTTTCACATGCACATACACACCTGAAATCAGCATATTTGGTAGTCAGAGGGATGATGGAGTTGAACCTCCGTGTTATTGCTAACCATTCTTCATCATACTGAATCTCATAAGGTCCTGCATCTGATTCAATTTCCACAATCTAAAAGCACAGAAAATGCCATGATTGTAATCACTATCTCAAACAGTAATCACAGGTGATTAACTCTGCTCATTATGATGGTACAGTGCACCTATACCTGTAAGAAATCACGCCCAGCAATACATTTATCCAGTGCAAGGAATTTTGTCAGTGGGCCTCCCTCCCCATGTTGAACTAGAGCAGCAAACTTGCAGTGTAAGTGGGCTGAAAACCAATAATGCGGTTTCAGTTTTTCTAGAAGCTGACCAGCAGGTTTACTCCCAAGTCTTTTTTCCTCTATCTGGCAAAATTATGAGCTACAAAAATGAGATATAATTATGTTATAGACACTTACAGCATAATTAAGAACCAAATTAAATACATGCTGTCAAAGACTCTATCTACATGGCTGCTCCAAAAATTATAATTTGTATAATGGCTTCACATTCCCTCTAACAAACTTATCTTTGTTATTTATTTAAAAAAGTGAGACTAGTATCCAAGCTTAACTCTTAGCCTTATCAACATTGCTGAATCCTTAATCAAAACAAAAATACATGTAAACATGTGTTCCGTATACATGATACATAAAATGATTACTTATCTCACCTCTTTCCTAAAAAAATGCTTGCGCCGAACAAGCTCCTCCCAATCCCCATAATCAGTGATTCTCAGCGGCCAATCGTGCGAAAGAAAAATATCGATAGGTTCCTCGACTTGCATAAGTTTATGAACATCGTATTCTCGAACATGATACACAGACCTAACGGTACTCTGGTCATAGGGAGGCCTCTCAAAGTGTCCTGCTCAAACACACAACCTAGCATCATTCTGTAACTATAACACAAAAATCCCATTCAGATTCAATACTCTTCAGCAACTCACAATTCGTAAACAAATACTCAACCTAAATTATAGTGACGAGCATTATAAATTCCAGAGAGACCACCAATTCGAATATTCCCAAACTTCACCACTCCAGCAACTCCCAAGAAGTAGATATTAGGAGCAGCCCAACCTCCATAGTACCTACAATGAAATCATAATCAATGCCCTAAATCACATTGCGACAATTAACAGCGAGAAACACAAAAAGTGAAATAAACTCACAGTTCCCACAAATAATTGGATGCTTCGTGATTGCCACCGATGAAAATGGTGGGATAAGGGGCAACCTCTAATCCAGAATAGTACTTCCAGAAGGAATTCATGGAGCGATAGCGGTGGGGAACGTTCAAACTCTTCAAATCGTGCTCGTTCCTCACAGCTTGAAAATCGCCGCAGCAAAGGAGGAGATCGATTTTCGTGTTTTGGGATTTCTCAAGATGTTGAAGAGTTCTGTAAACATTTTCCAGATCGCCGTGCATGCACCCTTCCACCGCTATCTTCATCCTTCCTCACTTCGATGACCGGAAACCCCTATATCAAAACCCTAATATAATTTACAGTCATTTTTATCGTCCATTTTCTCATTTCTCATATTTCATATTTCTTTTTCTTGTCGTTGGAATGATATTTCTTATTATTTATTATTCTCTTCGATTTTCAATAACACTCTTTCAAAAAAAAATTCGTGGTTCTAAATAAGATTTTTTTTATAATATTATTTTCTGTATATTTGTTTTAATAAATTTATTTTTTAAATACTATTAATTAATGTTATTATATAGTATTAAACTTTTAGAATTTTATTATTAAAATTTTAAAAAACAACACCTTAATTATTTCTAAAGTTTTGTAATATGCGTAATTTAATCCAGAAAACCTTATAAATAGGACAGAAAAGTATTAGACTTTTATTTGAATTTGTAACAAAAAAAAATTATTCGGAGAAAATTTAACTTTAAATTTATACATTTTCTTCGAGTTTTTCTATTAATTAAAAAAAACCAAATTATAAATAAAAAATACTTATTTTTATTTTTTAAAATTCTATATCGTTTGGGTTAAAGTTTTAGTCTATTTAGACTGTTTGTTTCTGGCTTAATCTAATATAACCAAAATTTTGAAATTAAAATCAACTAATAATTTTAATTTTTGTAATATGCTAGAATCAATTCCCAGAACTTTCAACTGAAACCCAAGCTAACCTTTAATTGAACAAGTTACAGCTAGATCAAAAAACTAATTTGTTCCATAAAAATTATGTATTAAAGGAAAGCAATAATAAACTAGATGTTGAGAATATGAAACACTTCTTTATTATAATTTTAAAGAATAATTATTAAATTAGCTTCTTAAAAATTAAATTAATCTCCCTTGCAAACACATTCAAAGGAGATCTAGCGGTTTTTCTAACATACTATTAGGATAATAAAGTTAAATATTGACACTGTCCAACGTTTCGCAAAGTTTCGTAAGTCGATAAATGGAGTTAACGGAGAATTGCATAACGTTGATTATCTGTAAGATTTTCTTTTAGGTTCTCATTGTTAATAAACGGAGCAAGGGTATTATAACACATTTTTAATAAAAACAAACAAATAAACTTAATTATATTTTTAATCAAATATAAGTACGAGTTGGTTCTGGGTAATTTTAAATACTTATATTAAGTGATGAATTTCAAAATTAAAATTTTTATTTAATGTTTGTATAAATTAATAAAATATTATATTTTATTAATTATTGAATAAAATTCAAAAATTTAATTTAAAAATTTAATGTAAAATAATTAAAATTTAAAAAATTATCCGTAAAGATAAAATTACAATTAAGTGAAAATTTTAAAAGTTTTTAATTGGTGCTTTTAAGACACCGATTAATATTTTATCTTATGTTTAATGCAACAAAGTAAGTTATTGTGGCCAGAAAGGACTCGGGAAACGTGCAACAGCAACACCCATCCACGTGTCTGTTACCAACACTCTCTTTTCTTCTTCTCTTCTGATTCCTGGTTTCCAATCACTTTAACTATGGCGTTGGTTAATCCATTTCTCTCCCCCACTCGAACTTCACTGCCGTTGCGCATTTCCATTCCCCCATCAAACCAACTACTACGTTGGACTCTGTGTTCTGTGTCATCATCAACAACAAGAACGAAACACTTGAGGTGTGGTGCCACTGCAGATATCAAAACAGCACCTTTAATTGACGGGGAAGAAGATGGGAAGGTTCTTGTGGGTCCTACCAGCGAGGAGAGTGTGGTTGCAGACTATGACTGGACACAGGAATGGTACCCTCTGTACCTCACTAAGAATGTGCCCCAAGATGCACCCCTCGCTCTCACTGTCTTTCACAAGCAACTCGTGTTGTTTAGGGATGCCAATGCCATCTTTCGATGTTACGAAGATCGCTGCCCCCACAGGTCAGGCTCACTCACCGGCACTGCTCTTGATCATAGTTATCATAAAATATTCAACATGCATACATAATTATGTATATTTTAGTATATTTGAATTTAATTTGAAATTTGTGAAGCAACCTTGCATTCTTAGTTAAAATGGGATGGGAGTTCAAAATATATGCTCAATGAGATAAAGATGCCTGCAAATTTGGTAGTCTACGCAATTCTGATTTGGTATTTGTTATATAATGCTGGACCTTATCTTTCTGTTACATTCTGTATGATCCAGGTTAGCGAAACTATCAGAGGGCCAGTTGATTGATGGAAGGCTTGAGTGCCTGTACCATGGATGGCAATTTGAAGGGGAGGGCAAATGTGTGAAGATACCTCAGGTTATAGTTATACTTGGCTGAAGCAAATGTGCATATATTTGCTTCTGAGGTTAAGGTCACATGATATTAATCATTCTTTCTTCTGTTTTCAACAGCTTCCTGCTGATGCAAAAATCCCTCGGTCTGCATGTGTAAGAACATATGAAGTGAGGGACTCTCAAGGTGTTATTTGGGTGTGGATGTCCCTAAAGACACCTCCAAATGTCAATAAAATACCTTGGTTTGAGAACTTTGCAAGGCCAGGGTTTCAAGATATTTCAACAATTCATGAACTCCCATACGATCACTCTATTCTTCTGGAGAACCTGATGGATCCTGCCCATGTGCCAATCTCACATGATAGAACAGATTGGACTGCAAAAAGAGAGGATGCGCAGCCGCTATGTTTTGAGGTGACCGAAAGAACTGATAGAGGGTTTGCAGGCTGGTGGGGCAGGGAGAAAGATGGCTCTATGCTTAACTTCTTAAGATTTGAGGCTCCTTGTGTTCTACAAAACAATAGGGAAATTGTTGATAAAAATGGTGAAAAAAACTACTTCAGTGGTCTGTTTCTTTGTAGACCAACTGGACAAGGGAAATCCATGGTGATAGTGAGGTTTGGATCAACAAAAAGATCTCCACTAGTAAAGCTGTTTCCTGAATGGTACTTCCATCAGAATGCAGGGAAGGTATTTGAGCAAGACATGGGATTCTTATCATCCCAAAATGAAACTCTTTTGAGAGAGAAAGCTCCAACAAAGGAACTATACCTGAATCTAAAATCATCAGACACATGGGTTGCTGAATACAGGAAGTGGGTGGACAAAGTGGGGCATGGGATGCCATATCATTTTGGTCATAGCACTATTTCCTTACCCAAAGAGCCTGCTGTGGTCGAACATGCTCCTGCTGGACTCATTGCAGGATTATCCGCTTCCTCACCTGCCAAAGGGGGCATTGGAACAATGCATGCCCCTAATTTAGCCAATAGATATTTTAGGCATGTAATACATTGCAAAGAATGTAGTACTGTGGTAAAGGCTTTCCAAAGTTGGAAAAATGCCCTTTCAGCTGTGGCTGTTGCATTGGCTGCATTGGCTATTCTGGTATCTGGTAGACAGTGGAAATTACTCCTACTGGTATCTGCGTCTCTATGCTCTGTTGGAGTCTATGCTTGCTCAACAGCAATTGCAATGAACACAACAAATTTTATCAGGACACATAGGAGATTGTGAGGTACTAGTTGTAAAGTAGTCGTTTTTAAATGAATGCATTTAGTTTGTCTAGTGACTACCGAGTTATAATACTCACTGTGACTAGGTAATCGTTTGGAATTTTTTTTTTTTAAATAATCTCAATGTTGATTTTGTAAAATTAATTTGGTTAATGAGTTTAACATAAAAATAAAATCATTTTTGTCTGAAAACTTCTATTTCAAAAATAAGTTCATAATAAATACAAAATTTCCCGCCTAATACAAATGTTGTATTATTCATTTGGTTTAGTGCCATGTTTTTGAGGTACACCTGGTTTTTGTTCACTGTAACTAAACACAAATGTAATACAACATGACGTTTATTTGAGACGTTTAGACTCACTAATAGTTCTATGACGTCTAATCCTCATTCCCCTGTTATTCAAGCCAAACAACGAAAAGAAAAAATATTCTTCGTATTGATTATTTAACAAAGGGATCAAACGGGGAGGGCATGGTTCCGGAGAAAACCCTAAATCTACTTTTTCCCCTTTCTTTTAAACGTGAATTTGCTGTATTTTGGGCTGCAAATAGATCAAGAGGGATTTATACATTGATAATGTTAGAAAGACAAAATAAATATTTGTAGGTGAACCAAATGATTTTTGTTGCTAAATTAACCTCTACAAAATTAAACGTTTACATGTTGAAATAGAATCACCTGTATCAGGGTTTCAAAATTGCTCCATATTTCATTTTGTAAAACAATGACACTTATACAACTAAATAACAAAAAGAATAAGAACTGATTGCTTCTAGTTATATGTCAGTGTTTGTTAAAAAATGAGTCTGGACAATATTGTTCAATGAATAAGCAATCTGCGAGTTGAAGAGGCCGGTGCATCTGCCAGACACACGTGAAACTAGGTATAATATAACTACAATTCACACTTAGAAGCCATGGCTCCATCATTTGAGTAGTAGATTGGCTACTAGGAAGTAGGAGGTTCTCCCAACCACTTTGCACGAAAGCCTGTTCCGCGACAATCAGAGCAGCACATTGATCCCTAAATATTAACATATTCAACACAAAATAAGTCCTTAGTATATTGGTATGCTAAGAGTGTACAGGGAAAACAATTTTAGGCAGGGCAACAGTATAGGTGAACTGAATTGGCGTTAACTTTCCACATAAACATACCTTTCCAGCGCAAATAACACAGCTAGTGTTTCTGGACGGGACTTCACAAAGCATGTTATCACCAAGAATAAAAAAACCAGTACCCCCACACCATTTGCATTCTATATGCCCCTTTGACTTGCAGGATGAACACACAATTGGCCTTGGTTGCTGAAAGCATCAGAAATATCTAAGTAACCAGGGAGCAGCACGGAAATATCAAATGTAATCTAATTTTAGAGTTAGACTACTTTATCAAGTATTCTACTAAAGAGCAGGAATATGAGAAGAATTTTAAAGTAGTTGACCATGAATCCTCTTTTATTCCAAAATATCTATTTGTTTGAACAATTTTTCCAATGTGTCTAAGGCCACATAATAAGAAATCAATAAAAAGAAAGATTTTATTAAAAAAATATAGCATTTAATATTCTAAATATATATTGTATAATGTGATTTTCCTTTTGTTGCTTCTTCTGCCACAAGAGTACACAATAAATGATGATATAAAATAGAAGTTGCAGAGATTTCTACTATTAACGGATTCAAAGTCATAACAGATGCAACCTATTACATTAGAGGCTAGTTTGTTTGAGGTAGAATATGATGAATCCAACGCTATGCCCACGATCAGTCAAAATTTCCAGATAGTAAGAATTAATGAAAATGGAAAACCCTAAAGCTCGATAGAATAGAAAGAAAGTGAGAGAAAGGGGTTAGAACCTGAGAAATTAACCAGGCTCGTTCTATGCGCTTAGCGAAATCAGCGGAAGAGTCCAACATAGAAACCCGAACGCGTAGTCGTTGGCCACAATTTCTACTTCCAATTGCATTACGATTTGGTGAGAACAACAAACTCTTTCTCCCAATTGCTTTAGGAATCATCGCACACCCACTACTACAACATACGCACCAACCCATTTTCTTTCCCTTCCATACACTGCTTCCTCTTGTGATTTTTCTATAAAAACAAAAGCGAGATATCTATGCAGATGGAGAACCCAAAACCAACTTTGATATTCCCACTCTAATTACAACTTATTTTAGTAGAAAATATTTGTTTTTTAAACACCTTAATTTCTATTATTTGTTTTGGTTAAAATATAATTTATATATTTTTATAAATTATTATTTTTAATTTTGTTAGTTGAGGAAGTCCATTGAGTGTCAGTTATTTATTTAAACCTAATTAAATAAACTAAAAACAATAGTTCCTATAAGAGTAAAAAAGCCTTCTAAAATTACACGTTTGCTTCGTATGAGATTTTTCTTTCGGTATGTTTGGTGTCGTTATCATATTATCTGTCTTCAACTTTTCAGGCCTGTGCCTTGTTTTTTAGGATGATGCTTTTCCTGGTATCAACTATACAGGGCCCATGGCCCATGGGTAATCTTTAGGCCCAATATCCAAGCATTGATTTCGCTCTTTTGTTACCGCCAAATTTGGTGTGAACTTAGTCTAAATTTTGGAATAATTAATTTTTTAAAAAAATTGGTATTAAAATTATTCATTTGATAAGAATTGAGGTTGAAAAACTAATTTATGTTTGGAGAAATGTTTTACTTTTAAAAAACAAAGCTCATTTTAATTATGCTTGTTATTTGAAGGGATCAGTAATTGGCGCACCTGCAAGAACAAGAAAGAGATTGCATTCCATGGCTCAAGTTGGAATATGAAGTTTTATGTACATAAATTTTAGTGGTCGAAACCAAAAAGTTTAAATTCACCTAAAGTCAATAAATTTTTATAATTTTTTGAATTTTTAGCAAGTTTAGTCCGTAATGATATTGATTAAATCGAGCTAAATAAAGTTTAACTTTAATTCATACTCAACTTTTGAATTTCAAGCTTTATATTTCATCAGACGAATTTGAATCAGTTCAATTGTGCAAATTCATATCGTCAACTTTAAGGTAAAGTTAAAAAAATATTATAAATAAAATTAATAAACAATATTATTTACTAAAAAAATATAAATTTCAATATTATTTATTTTATTATATACCTTCGCATATATATTAACTTGAGCAAACGAGGGCACGGAAATTATTTCTATCCATATCCTTGTTCTCTGTTTAGGGAATTTTGTTTCTATATTCAATCCCCACTTTCCCACAAGCTATAGTGGGAAACAACAACAATATAATTTCTTAAATAACAAATAAGAAGTATATTTATAAATTTGAGTATAGTTATATAAAAATATAAATAAATATGTTAGATTATATAAAAATATTAATAAGTCATTTTAAAATATTGTTATTTTAAAATATTCAAAAAAGTTTAATTACAATGATAAACTAACAAACTAAACGATCGTTGAGCGGAACATGTAAAATAAAAGTATTTAACATGATTTTATTATATAAAAGTCTATGTCATAAATTTTATCGTCAATTTTTTTTGGTTATAAATTAAAATATTTTTTGTAAAAGCACTTTTAAATATATTTTGAACTCAGTTTGATAAACTAAAGAAATTTCCTCTATGCTGTAGTCCAAAAACTTCTCTTTCAAAATATAGGACCTTATTAAATAAATTATCTTTATTCTCATGCAACTTGTAATATTCAAAAAACAAATTTGTGGATGTTACTCAACAAGCACGACATGGAATAATCTAAAGATGGTCTATCACGGTCCATTGATTATGAACCATAAGGTATAACTGTAAATAAATGGATAGAGAGAATTCTTGATTATCAGTGAAAATGAGAATGTTTACTATTGCTAGTTCATATATGAATAAAAAATTATGTTTTCACTATAACAAACTCAAACACTTTCCACAACTTTTGATTATGGTAAAATTTCGTTAATAGTAAAAAAGTTATTGACAATAATCCAACAGCTAATGGTATGCATATTTATGAAAGTTCTATGTTCGTTCAAACAACATCAGATCAGATAGCATGTTTGTATTTTTATGAATCATAACTATTTAAAAAAATTACTTATAAAATGATTTTACCGATTAGTTTACGTGTTCAATAATAAATTATAATTAATCTAGTTGACATTATAAGTTTATTATTATATTTAAAAAATCTCAAACTAATTATTTTAAATATGTTTATAGTAGTTCATTTTTAAAATGTCATTTTTATGTATCGCTAGCGTAATTATTTATTTTTTTAACTGAATTTGGGTACATTTTAATTAATTTTTATTGAAAATTTAAATTTTTTTCTAATTTTAGTATACAAAATACTTTTAAATTTTAAAAATAATCATGCAATAAAACACACTAAATTACTCAAATTTTATTATTATTCTTTAAAAACCTATATTTCACAAATTTAAGAGCCTATTTATTTTCAAATTATAAAAAATATTATTTTTTTAGATACTTATATAGAAAGAATGAAAATATCTTTTATTATTTTCATGAATACTTTTTTTAAATGATATATATAAAATATTTTATTAATAATTAATATCTTTTAAGTATTTAAATCAATAAGTACAACGTTGAATTAACAACTTTGCTATATTCTCTTAACAATTCTTGTACTATTTTATAAAATAAATATTAAATACAAATATTGATTTATTATTATATTGAAAATATAAAATATATTAAATATTTTTTAATAATTACAAATATTTGTAAGAATAACGAGTAAAAAAAATTTAAATTAAATGTTATATTAATTAAAAATAATATTATTTTTTAAAAATGCTTTATCACGCAAAAAAAAAATTTGTTGAGTAAATAAAAAATGGGTCTAAACATGAAAATAGTAACAAGTTACCAAAAAAAAGCATAATAATGATGAGAAAGTGGGAGGTAGGTGAGAGTGATTGAAGGTGGTGTGAATTGTGAAATAAGTAGTGAAAGATAAGCATTTTTGAAAGGTGAAAGAAAGAAGCATTTCATCATCTCATCTCAATCTCAATCTCATCAACGCTGCGAAGAGACAATGGAACTCACACCTCAGCAACTCAGCCAATACAACGGCACCGACCCCTCCAAGCCAATATACGTGGCGGTGAAGGGTCGCGTCTACGACGTCACCGCCGGGAAATCCTTCTACGGTCCCGGCGGTGCCTACGCCATGTTCGCCGGCAAAGATGCGAGCAGAGCTCTGGCGAAGATGAGCAAGAACGACGAAGACATCACTCCCTCCCTCGATGGCCTCTCTGACAAGGAGATCGGAGTTCTCAACGATTGGGAGAACAAGTTTCAAGCTAAGTACCCTGTGGTTGGTCGTGTTCTTAATTAGCTCCATTCTAATCGTGTCTTCGCACTCTCTGTTTCTGTTACTGTGATGTGAATCGCCACCCCCAGTCCCTCACCCTAATAATAAAACTACAGAAAGGGGATTTCTGTTTTCTGCATCTAATTCGCTCGTCGAAATGATAATAAAAACCCTAATTATGAATTCTTCACTTTTGCCATTTAGCTAGGTCTTGTTATCAGCGTTCCGGAGGATTGGTAATTTTCCGTTTGGAACCCTCGATTTTCAAGAATTCTCTTAGTTCATTTTAGACTTCGATAATTTTGTTTCAATTTGAATAATTTGGATAGATTTTTAAATAAGTATTTATAAAAGTTTTTTTTCATAAATAAAAAAATCTCATAGACTTGACTGTTTGGTTGGAGCCGAGGAAGGGGACCACGGATTTTAATAATTTTTTTTACGTTTAATTTAATATTTTGTGAGGAAGACATAGGAAGGGGAAGAAGATAACTCCCCTTTAAAAGTAGAGAATTTGGTGGGAAATTTTTTAAATAATCTGAAAAATATATTCTCATTTTATTTCCATTATTTGATTATTTTAAACACGTTAACTATTATAAATGTTTTTATATTATTGTTTCTAATTTTATATTAAATATTTTAAAAGAGTTTAAATAGTATAAGGCATTTCTCTATTCTACAATTAATAGACAAGAAAATATAAGCTTCTTATTAATTTATAGCGTGTTAGTTTTAAAATATTAATTTAGATCATAAAATTTACAGTTTAGTCTTTAATATTATATATATAAAAAATGTTATCATCGAATTTTAACAATTATTATTGAAATTAGTAATTTAGTGGTTTTGATTTCTAACTTTACAAACTAGACAATTTAATCCCTAAATTTGAAAAGTTTTATCAATCTAATTTTAAAATTGGACAACCGATTTTGTATTTTTATTTAAATAAAATTTTAAATAAAAATATAAAAATTTATTTAAGTGAAAATGTAAAATTTTGTTTGATTGAATTGGCACTAAAATGGGAAACAAAGTAAGCACTTGAGACGGGAACGAGAGGAATAAATTAAAAGATATGCATAGCAAACTTTTAACATGAAAAATCCTTCCACGTGAGAAGGGCTGTCGCATTTATACACACTTCAAAAATACACACAGATCTCTCTCACTTGCAAAATCTAGGGTTTATATGCAACGTGTGTTCATTTTAAAAAGGGCAATCAACTCATTGTATTAAAACATTGAAAACTTTCACTATGAAGAAATTTCAACACTGATATTAGAAATTAAAATGATTATTGCACACCTAAGTCATAAGTCAGTAAATATAACAACAATTTGATTTCTACGTTATAGATAAGAGTATTATATTGAGGAAGTGAAATATTCGTTAGAACTAGTCTTATCCATAACTTACCTTAAATATTTTTATATTATGATAATTTTACAAGTTGTTTATTTTTTTATTAATTTTGTTTTAAATTTTGAAAATAAAAGTTGTTACTTTATTTATTTTATTGCCTTATATAAATTTTTAAATTTTATACTAATATCGTTGTTTACATAAAATTTACAATACTTTATATGTTATTTTAAATAAATTATATTTTAAAATGATTATAATTTTATTAAATCATTGTTATTTTAATGTATATTATTTGTAGTTATAGAATTGAGTTAAAATATTTTTTAAATTAATGTTTTACATAAATTTATTAAATATATAATAAAACACATATACATTGTACAAGTGACTAATTAGAGATCACATTAACGAGTCATAGAGTTAGGTGTTAAAATAAATAATTTGACCTTTCTCGAATGTGGACCTTTTAGGTTTTAGATCCTTAATAAGGGTTCCTAATTTGTTTGTTTTAGGACTTTTAGCCTTTTTTAATGGTAATAATAATAATAATAATAATTACTATTCTTAAAAACTAAGAATATCTTTTATACTTTTAACAACTTAAATGGTTCATAACTATAATTCTGATAATTAATTTAGTAATTAATTCTTTAAAATATAAATAAATGTTGAAATAAATAATCTGTGTATGACGATGTATCTTCACGCATAATAAAACAGAATGAATAACTTTTTTAAACGAATTACTGTTTAACTAATAATTAATAGGCTATAACCAACTAGCTAGGCGCGACTAAATTATAGCATTAAAGAATAATAATTAATAAAGTTGTCATTGTGCGTAACCAATAAGTTTTATGGTTAGCGTAGTTGTAACTTATAACCAAACCACAGAGCAAGTGGCCGTTTATTATAATCAATTTGGAATCTATGGTCTTTGCATTGGTACAACCAAAAGGATAATTATACACCCTACTGTTTTTTTATTCGATTGTATGTTTAAAAATATAATAACCATAGATTAAGAATTTTGTAGTTAAAAGTATAATAATTTTTAAAAATTATATATTTACATGAAATTGTTATATTTTCAACAATATTAATTTTAACAAATGCTTAGAGTTGTGTTTAATGCTTTGTCGTCAATTTTCAGTAAACATTTCTCTATTTTATTTAATATTTAGTCATCAATTTTCACTGACCATTTTCTTATCTTTAAGAGTATATTATGTTACATAGAATATATTTACAACTTCACCAGCGGTATTTATTGAAATTTAAGCTGAAAATAAACATTAAACTAAAATAATCCATGTTAATTGATCAACACATTCATTAGTATTTGATATTATTTTTTTATAGATTAAATTGAAAACATTTTTCTGACAAAGAAATTGCATTTGTTTTTGTTTACAATTTATATAAAAAATATTAATTAATATCATTTTTATCTATATAAAATATCTATACTGTTTCAGTAATTTAAAGAGTAAAAAAAATTATTAATAAAAGAGTATATATATATATATAATTTTAATAAGCAACATGATCTTCTCTTACACTAGTATAAGTTTAAAAATTCTTACATTCAATCAGAACTTTTTATTTAACTTAAATCTAATGAGTTATAATTTATTATTTCATTAGCTATTAAATTTAAGCTAAATAAAAAATTTAAATTGAGTGTAAATTTTTTTAACTTATGTAAGAATATTTTTTTCCTTTTAATAATCATTAACAATAACCAAGTTGGAAGGAGGGAGACAGATAATATAATTAATTTAGGGAGACTTGGTCATCAATTCTTGTTGAACTCGTATTGATGCTTAACAACATACATTAGGTAGAATCTCTCACATGCGGGAAACATTGAATTCACATTGATGTCCACGTGTTCTTCCCTGATTGGATAAGTTTGTATGTTTAAAATGATGAGGTGGTACTTGATCTTAGCTTTCCTTCACACTCCCAGAAGCCGCCTTCACGATAGTAGGAACGAGATCTAATGTTGGCCCCACTTTAAGTACACCCAATGGCTTAATTTTTTAGGAAAATGTATTACTAACATCTTTTAAACTTTATTATAATGATACCGTACCAAAAAATAATGCTTATTACAACAATGTACACTTACCAAAGCAAAGATAAAGGGCTTACAAGGGAGGATTTTTGTTTAATTGGCCAAAACTGGGAAAGAATCAAAATATCAATTTGTTGTCTTAAAAGGCCAGTGCCGTTGAATTTGATCTACCCCTTAGTGACCATGTTGTTTTAAGATTTAGTATGCATTTGCAGTGGTAGATTCCTTGCAGATTTGTATGATCAAATTCAAAGTGATGTTATAAATAAGTTGCAGAACTGAGTGGAACCCAATTTCCTTTATCCTTATTTTTCTACTACCACTTGGTTCAGGTCAACGTTTCCTTTCCAAGATCCCTTCTTTTCTAACGGGGGGTTGTTATTGGACATTGACATCAGAAGCAAAATGAGTCCAAATCTGCAAGATTGCCAAGTTAAAAACTAGGAAATAACTTCAGTTTTGGGGGATTTTCTTTCAGCTAGTTGTGGAATTTGGTGCTACTATTTTGCTGTTTTAAATCTTTTATCACAAGAGTGAGTGATGCAAGAGGAGGAAAATTTGGAAGATCCCTCTGTGGAGGAGGAATATGAACCTAGAAAGGGAGTTTGTGAGTGTATGTGCATTCCTCTGCATTGGTTCAGCATGCTATCAAGGGAAACACATTGGAGCTTTGTGTTTGGAGTGATAATTGTTTATGGTGTAAGTCAGGGACTTGGTGGAGCTCTTTCTGCCGTTGGCACCAAGTATTACATGAAAGATATTCAAAAAGTGCAACCATCAGAAGCACAGGTTTGTGCAGGAATCACGTACATTCCTTGGATTGTTAAGCCTCTTTGGGGTCTTCTCACTGATGTTCTCCCTGTATATGGATATCGCAGGAGACCTTATTTTGTTTTTTCTGGTATGTGATTGATACGTAGTTCATTTCTTCTCTCATTACACATTACATATATTTCAACCCAATCTGCATTTTAGGTGGCAGTGGGAGTAAAGATTATTTGCTCATAATTTTAAATACTCTCCCCCCCCCTCTCCCTCCCTCAATATGTGTTTTTGGATTGCTGTCAGTTTAAATTAATTTAATTGGATTTAGTCGATACCTGCATATGTTACATGTGAGTTGTGACCATAGCAAGTGCATTGAGATGTTCTTGGACAGATATGTTGAAGGACTAAGAGTCATAGTCAACGACCATTTACTTGTGTTACTGTTCATTTCACTTTTTAGCATTTTCTTGATCTAGCATTGAGCGATATTAAAATGGTTTGGGGCTTGCAATTGTATATCTGAAAGCTGGAAAATATATGATAATGTATCATAATTTGGCCGCTATTTTGGCCTTCTTAAGCTGTTCAATGAACATTGATCAATGATTAGTGACTCAAAGTGCTTGATATAGGATTCTGTCTGTGAATAACATGCTCGCTGCATCCTTCTGTAATTTTGCATCAGTGAATAAGGTTCAACATGCAGGTGCATAGGGTCTAATGTCATTTTCTTCTCTTTGAGAACCAGCTGGAATAACCAGGAGTTACTAGTATACTCAAGAATCCAGTTTTCTACCTTGTTTCCAAGATTTCCAGATGAGATCAAGAAGAATTATGAGGACATTATATGAAACATTTACTTCTCTAGATCTTTTCTCTCCCAATTAGATTAACTCTTGACATATCATATCCTTAACCAGGAAGTGACGTGATGTAGCACATATATATGTGAAGCTGAATGTTTACTTTTACTAATTTTACAAAATGCATGAAATATGGGTACAGGTAAGCTTTTCTGTCAAACTTGGAAGGGTTGCAAAAAAGTGTGGTAACATAATTATCTTTGCGTTATATAAGTTTCTTTTGATGATTAACATTGTCCTTCCTTACTAATTTATGCTGCACGAAAGTATTGCTAAATGGTATGAAAAAATTCAGAAAAAATTGTTTCAATAACAGTAGCTTAACCTTTTAGCCTTTAATTTTGACAGGTTTCTTAGGAGTGATTGGCATGTTATTGTTATCCTTGCACGAAGATCTGCATCTTGTGTTGGCCCTTTTGTCATTGACAGCTGGAAGTGCTGGGGTGGCTATAGCTGACGTTACCATTGATGCCTGTGTGGCACAAAACAGCATCTCTCATCCTTCACTCGCTGCTGACATGCAAAGTTTATGTGCCTTCAGTAGTTCTGTTGGAGCATTATTAGGGTTCTCCATTAGTGGTATCTTTGTTCACCTTATAGGCCCTATGGTTAGCCTCGTTTTCATAAATGTGTTGATGTTTTTCTTGTCTTTTATGTACTTTATTAGTTATATTTTAAAGAGAGCTTTTTCCTCAGGGGGTGTTTGGTTTGATGACAATCCCAGCTGGACTTGTAGTTTTGGTTGGATTTCTGCTTGATGAGCCTCATGTGCCTAATTTTGCTTACAAACAGGTATACTTAAACCAATTTCATGCATTTCCATGATCCTAGCTAATACGTGCATAATCTGATATTCCATGTTGTGTCTAGGTGAACCAAAAGTTTGTTGATGCTACCAAGGCTATGTGGACCACATTGAAGAGTGCAGAAGTATGGAGGCCTTGTTTATACATGTATTTATCCATTGCGTTGAGTTTGAATATTCTTGAAGGAATGTTCTATTGGTATACAGACTCAAAGACTGGCCTATCTTTCTCTCAGGTATTTGCTTAGGACTTCTTGTAGATGACTGAAAAATGTGCTCCCTCGCAGGTTGCAATACATAGTACAGCCCCAAGATATTTTTTCCTGTACAATAAGTAATAGCATATTGTAACCTGATATAATATAAATGAGATAATAAATGAGATATAATAACATATCATGATTTGTGGCAAAATCACATTTTTTTAATATAATTCTAATAGCTTTTATTTGCCCCAAGGCCGAAATGAAAATTTTGTTAGCTATTTTCTTCTAGTCACACAAATCTTGTTAAATGGAAAAAGATGGTGTAGAATGGGAGTAATCTTTGTCATTCTTCTTTTTTCCATAGGAGAAGGTCGGTTTTATGTTTTCAATTGGTTCAGTTGGCTCCCTTTTTGGTGCAATACTATATCAGTATGCTTTAAAGGATTACACATTCAGAGACTTGCTCTTCTGGACTCAGTTACTTTATGGTGTGTCAGGCATGCTGGATCTGATTATGGTCATACGTTTGAACCTTAAGTTTGGTATACCGGATTATGTGTTTGTTATGGTTGTTGAAAGTGTAGCTCAAATGACTAATAGACTCAAGTGGATGCCTATGCTTGTACTCAGCTCAAAACTTTGCCCCTCAGGTATTGAAGGTACTTTTTTTGCATTACTAATGTCAATTGAAAATGCTGGAGTTCTCTCAGCATCATGGGGGGGAGGCTTTTTACTTCACATGCTAAGGATTACCAGAACCAAGTTTGATAATCTTTGGTTAGCCATTTTGATCAGGAATATTTTAAGGATCACTCCACTTAGCCTGTTGTTTTTGGTACCTAAAACTGATCCAAACTCTTCCATTCTTGCAAGTGAGAACTTGACTTCACAAGTGGCTATTAACACTTCAGAAACTGAGAATATTGAATTGGTCTCCCTTGTGAACAATGTTGATAGTAACTAGGCAAGTGACAAACGCTCTTCTAGATTCTCTATTTCAAATACACAAAAATTGCCAAGCCAATGTTGCTTTATATTGTTGAGGGATATGACAAGAATTTCAGGAAAGCTTCAAGTGACTTTGATTTTCAATTGTTGCATTTATATCAATTTTGCGGTCATATGTCGTTTTTCAATATCTAATGCTAGTAGTCAATTTTTTACATCTAACTTATGTAAGTAACACAAAATGTGCAATTTAGCTGCAGATAGTGAGTGAACAACCATTTTGTGATTAATTTTATGATTCTAAATTTTTTTGTTGTTTACGTTTCTACTTTCTAATATTTTCTTTTAATTCAACCGTATATATCTTAAAGATCGATATGCAACTTGTGATTTAAATTTTTTTTTGAAAAGAATGGATTTTCCTAGAAAAAAAATGATTTTTTAAGGAAAGATTGGTGATGGTTTGGACCTTTATTAAAAAAAAAGAAGGTAGTCTTGGTTAAATAATTTTTTTTAGTGAAAATAAAAATAAAACCTATCGATAATTTCTGCATCTCAATATAGATTAGTCTTTGATGGTTAGTTAGGGAAACCCTTAATGCATACCAAGATGTAAAGGTCTTAGAAAACTAGCATGAAAAATTTTAATAATGAAATTCAATTAAATAAACACCTTTTTTTACCCAAAAAAAAAAAAAAACACCATTTTTGCAAGGCACTATGCATGGCCTAAAATGCTAGATTAACAATAACATTTCGCTTTCTGACTCAAACGCTGAGGCTGGATAATAACAATCAACAAAACTGAGATTAAATTCAAATAAAAAAAATCATTTCAAAGTTAAAATCACACGCCAACCATTTAAAAAATTAAAAATATAATTAAGCCGAAGAAAAAAATAAAAAATTGTGCTTTGCAAAATTGGGCTGACAATCACTATAAGCATGTCTGAATAAAGAGCCCAAGCCCATCTTATTTCTGTATGTATAGCCAAACAAACTAAGGATGTGTGGGTTTCACCCCTTATTCCGGATTAGGGTTAAGCTTTCAACATTGCGCAAACTTGGACTCAACATCTCAACTTCTCAGTTGAGTCATACATCAACACCGCCACCGGTAAAAGCTCCAAACTTTTTTCACCCCTTTTAGCTTTCAAACTCGAAAGTTGTGTTTGTTTTTTGTTCGTTCGAAATGCGTGTTTGTGGGCATTGTTGTAATTCTCAAAATGGTTTTGGTTGGTAGTAAAATTTCATGTTGCTGACACTGACACACAACAACGTTGGTGTTTTGCAAGTCACAAACAATGAGTAACCAAAGTGCTTCTTCAAGCAATGGCAATGATCGTTCAAGGATGTATTGGACTCCATTGATGGAACGCTATTTCATTGACCTAATGTTAGAGCATTTGCAAAAGGGGAATAGGGTTGGCCACACTTTTAACAAGCAAGCTTGGACACACATGCTCACTACTTTCAATGCCATGTTTGGTTCTCAATATGACAAAGATGTCTTGAAAACTCGTTATACCAATTTGTGGAAGCAGTTTAATGATGTCAAGACGCTTCTTTCTCAGTTTGGTTTTTCTTGGGATGCTGCACGCCAAATGGTTGTGGCTAATGATCTTGTTTGGGATGCTTATGTCAAGTCTCACCCTGATGTTAGATGCTACAGAACAAAACCAGTGCTCAATTTTGATGATTTGTGCATGATATATGGTTACACTGTTGCTGATGGAAGATATAGTTTATCAAGCCATGATGTAAGCCTTCATGATCATGTGCTGGGTGAGTCTTGAGTGTTACTTCCAATTGCAGTGCATGCTTGTAATCTATATATTCTTGTTGGAATTAGATTGGATATGTAGTCTTCATTAACAAAATTGTTCTTCTGGTGGTTGTTGCAACTTTGACAAGTAAATTATTTATGCAACGATGATGAATGGGAGCTAATATTACGTATTCTGCAATTTGTAGGTGATGGAATAGGAAGCATTGCTGTGTCGAGTAATGAGCGTCCCAGGACAGATTGGACTGCATCAATGGACCAATTTTTTATAGAGCTTTTGCTTGATCAGTTGGGTAGAGGCAATAAAATGGATAGTGGATTCAATAAAAACGCTTGGACTGATATGCTAACCATGTTTAACGCCAAGTTTGGATGTCAACATGGTAAAAGGGTTTTAAAGAATCGGTTCAAGAAACTGTTGAAATGTTATTGTGATGTAACAAAACTTCTAAGACAAGGCTTTTTGTGGAATGAACAACAACAAATGCTTTCAGCTGACGATGACGTTTGGAATGCTTATGTCAAGGTATATGATCAAGAAGGCTGGGTAGAGTTAATGATGGCCGTATACATGATTTCTGGTGCTCACTGACTTAAAATTCTTGTAGGCTCATCCACATGCAAAAACATATAGATCAAGAATTTTACCAAATTATCGGGATTTAGAGTTAATATTCGGAAATGTGTCTGAAGATGAGATAAGTAATTTGCATCAGGAGAAAAATCATGAAGATGTCATGTCAGAAACAAATGCTGGTGAGTAACTACTAAAACTAATATTTTCCATCATCGCCTGTATAAATATTTCTTGGGCCTCTTTGCATGAAAAGACCATAAAATGTGTTTGGAATATGAGTTAAATTCTCAACTCCCAAGTGAGTTTTAGATCCCTTGTTGCAATTGTCATTTTGTCACTTAAGATGTATTTATTGCCTCAAAAAACAAAAGACATGCTTGGGATATAGATATTATAATATTTTAATTACTTGGAAACATGAATCTATGAATCTAATTATCAGATATGTACATAAAATTGAAATCCCTACATTTGAATCACAAACTGACATTGGAAAGTTGAATTTGCTATCCCCTTGTTTCAATTTCCATTTCTTGAATATCTACATTACATGTCATATTTGAGGCCTTAAGATATTTGGGGAACTGAGCAGTTACTCATGACCCTGTATCTTTCTGAAGTTGAAGGAAAAGGAAATCGCAATCCAAGCAGTACCGATCGTACTAGAACATATTGGACACCTCCAATGGATCGTTGCCTCATTGACTTGTTGTTAGAGCAGGTCAAACGTGGAAATAGACTAGGGCAGACATTCATTACCCAGGCTTGGAATGATATGGCTACCTCTTTCAATGAACGATTCAAATCTCATTATGACGAAGATGTACTAAAGAATCGTTACAAACATTTGAGGAAACAGTTCAATGATGTAGACCAGCTTCTTCGGCAAGGTGGATTTTCATGGGATGATTCAAGAGAAATGGTTGATGCTGAGGATCACGTTTGGGATGCTTATACAAAGGTGACCTATTTTGCCCTCCAATCAGATGTCTTAGCTTGTTTTGTGCTTAGGATAACATATAATTTATGCAGGCACATCCTGAAGCTCGATCACTTAGAGTTAAAACCTTGCCAGGCTATTGCAAATTGTGTGTTATATTTGGAGAGGAAAGTCCTGATACCAGATACTTCCGTTTATCTCATAATGCAGATCCCAATAGTGAATCCCCGGAGTTGATAACAGGTTTGTTTTTCACATTAATTACAATAATAAGGCATTCGTTTTTGGTTCTACACAATTCTCAGGTTAGCCATCTATACCCAACTTAAGACAGTAGATATTTAAAAGACCAAAATTTATCACCACTTCAATATCACAAAGTTGAAGGGCATTTCACAAATTACACCGAAAATTGAAATATTGAACTGGAAAATGAGTGCCTTATTATTTTCCTTAACCTCCACTAGCAACCAAGTACTCTTCTGTCATTGACTCATTTTTTCCTTTGTTCCCAGCCAATGGGATGCTCAAAATTCTGGACTAAATTGATTTAACCAGTTAAACCTACGGAACTTTTTCTATGTAGACAGAATGGAATGGATGGAAGACTTGCCATTTTTTTAACCTCATATCCCTTTTTTATTTTGATTTTTTTCTTGATGCATCAAACATAAAATAGAACTCCATGTCCTATTACATCCCATTTTAACATATCTACGAAACACACTATTATACTTTCATCGGAAGGTGACCAATGCTTGACATCTTGAAAAGTTCAATTGGGCCAATTGCATTGATATTTTTGGGATTCAAGTATTTTCCAGATAAACTTAGATGATATTATGTATTCTCATGGATATTTATATTTTGAAGGTGAACAAAAGAATGGCATTCTTCCAAATGTGGCTGGTTCTACAGTAGAGTGGACAGAATCGATGGAATGCTGTTTTGTTGACCTTATGATTGAGCAAATAAATAGAGGAAATAGGATTGGGAGTTTATTCAATGAGGAAGCTTGGACTCACATGATCAAAGCTTTTAGTACTAGACAGGGACTCCAATGTGATAAGCAGTTTCTGATGGATCGATATTTCTGCTTGATGAAAAAACATGATGACATCAGCAGTATACTCGGTCATAGTGAATTTTCATGGGATGAAAACCTACAAACAATAGTTGCTGAGAATGAAATTTGGGATGCATACATTAAGGTTTTGCTTCTCTTCCTTAACAATGTTCTTTGTTTGATATCATCTTTAAGTTGCCTCTAGTGTTACTTAAGTTAGTGTTCTTGCACTCCTTTCCCATTCCAAGTACCCCATTTTGTTGATTAGAGGTGTCTGCCTGTATTAGGGGCTTATAATAGAATAGTTAATAATCATTGTTTCCTCAAAATCCTATGATTGTAACTCGTTGCTGAATGATATTAGCAGGATCACCCTGATGCCATCTCGTATAAAAACATATGCTTATATGTTTTCCATGATTTGTGCAAGATTTTCGGAAACAAAGTAATGAGAGTATCTGATGCAAGGGTGAATGCTCTGGAACAGTTTCAGTTAATGGAAGCAAACGATATCACCATTGAAATGGACATGGACGGAACATCTGGAAACTTGATTGTGATTAGCAACGTTGATATATCAGACCAGAATACAAACAAGGCAAGGGAAATGGATACAGATGGCTCATATGGGAATTTGGTTGTGAGTGGCACTAATGAAATATCCTACCAAGATCAGAAAAGGCGGAGTGAAATTGACATGGTTGCTGTTGGAACATCTGGAAATTTAGATGTGACTAGCAACAATGAAATATCAAACCAAGATACAGAAAGGCCAAGGGAAATGGATATGGATATAAAATGTGGTGATTCGGGCGTGACTTGCAACACTCGAACAATATCTCAAAATAAAGAAAGGCCTAACAAAATGGATACAAATGGAACATGTGGCAATTTGGTAATGAGTGGCAACACTAAAACAGCAACACACCATGTTAAAAGAAGGCCTAATACAATGCCACTAGACTCCAGACCCCCCAAAAAGGAGCTGAGAATGAAAGAAGCTCTGACTGAGATGGCTAGTGCTGTCAAGGCTCTGATGAACAAGAAAGATAGAAACACAAATACATCGTTTGAAAATGCTTTAAGTGCACTTCAGGCCATGCCTGACATAGATGAGGAGCTTGTAATGGATGCGTGTGATTTGTTGGAAGATGAGAGGAAGGCCAAGATATTTTTGGCCTTGGATATCTCTTTGCGAAAGAAGTGGTTGCTTAGAAAGCTTCGTCAACAAAAGCCACATGACTCAACTGTATACTAGTATATAGCTTAGATATGATTTTTTATGTTTTAACTTTTCATATAACTATCCACAGTGAACTGTGACTGTACAGTGCAACATAAAGCTCAGCCATATACCAACATTGAATTTTTTTTTCTTCTTGAAGCTGTAAATAACCATTCTGTTAGTCAGTGACATAGTTCTTGAAGTATCCGACTGTGACTATTCTTTTATTCTCTGTTTCTAAATTGTAAAACATTTTGTAACTAAATATTTATATTCAAGGTATTTGTAAAAACAATTTGAGTTATTAATGGAAAAAAAAATGCACCCGAATGAGTTTTGGGGTGTGTTATGAGCAAGGCAAGCCCGAATTTATATCGTCATTTTCCTCTCTCTATTATTCTTACATCCCATTCTAAATAATACTATGAATCTTGCTAAGTATTATACGATCTTACAGATGAAAGGTTCTTCTCCTGCTTGATTGTAATTAATTATTACATAAACCTTGCATGCCAAAGTTTTGAAAATTCGATAACAAAAAATATATAATGAAGTGGTCGACATTGTGTTATTTAAAAAGATTAATATACATTAATCTTCAAACATTACGATTGAATGAAAAGTAATATTCAGTCGTCTCATAAAATCCTATTAATCTTAAAATAGCACACTTCGTGATGATTTCGCAACATGCACTTGCTATCTCAACCATAATCATCTGTTCTAGGCTACAAGAACTAAGCCACGTTGGATTTGGACTTTCAAAATTAGCATGCAGTTGACGAAATGAACCATATAGGAAAATTTAATTCCATTCAACAGATTATAAAAACAACTCACAATTTTATGTACAGGACAAATATTTTAAGTAAGGCCAGTTTTCAAAACATAGAAAGTACCGGCTATTGATATTAGAAATATTTGCCAAGATCAACTGGAGTTTTTATGCCAAAACAACATACACACGGGCATAGCCCACGCAACACTAAGATTATAAACAAATTCTGCACTTCTTGGTTATATTTACACTAAATCGCTAGAAAATGGATAAATGAAGGGTGCCATATATCAATCAATGTGCCAGTTTCTTCAAATGTTGAAAGGTTCGTCTCTTGATCCACTGTCGATCATGTGGCGAGTAAGCTTGAATTGAATGATCATAACTGCAAATATAAAGCAAACATCACATTAGACTTGAGTTTAGGTATTATAAGATGCTACTTCGTTTTGAAAATTTTCCGGGAGATGGTCATAGCAAGTAAAGCTAGCATATAATGCCAAAATGCCATGATTTATTCATGCTTTTAATAAAAGGAGACCTTTATAATTGGGAGGAGAAGGGGGGGGGGGTTACTAACCTCTTTTTTCTTTTTTAAGATGGATGGGGGCAAATAGCATAATTCCTATCAAATTTTTCATCCATGATCTTAGATCACTTGATTACCAGTGAAAATTAATGAGAAGTCTCTATATTATCAGTTAAGCCAGCAGATGTATGATTCCATTATATTTTCCTTAGAAGTTATACAATTCAATGTGAATGTCAAAAGAAAGAAAACCAACAATTAAGTTTCTAGTTCAGGATCAAAACTAGGTGAAATGAGCAATCTGCTCAGTAAAATATTGTCTGGAACTGTAAAGTACAAAACATTGGTATATCTTCTCACATTTTATTTGGTTTTTTTTCCTTTCCTTTTTTCTAGGCTGAATATGCTTTTTCGATAAAGTTTTAAAAACATAGAGCTTTCTACTAATCTGTGTGAGCGTAATGTGTGCACATGACTTTAAGAGAAAGAGAAATACATCAAAGCACTCATGTCTGCAAGACCATCTATGAAGTTGTATAGATCCACAATGTCATAAGAGAGATTTCTGATGGCCGGATTTAACTCCTTCAGTTTCCTTTCATATAATGCACATATACCTGCATAAACAGAAGGTTCAGTTGCACATCACATAGTTTTACATTCAAAACCAGAGCATCTATAACAGGAGCACAACAAAACAAAAACATTACAGAAATACTAGTAATAATAATTAGGTCAAGTTTAAGCAAACTTCTAGAGAAATTTAGAGAAAAAAGTCACTATAAAAATTTTATAAAAATAATAAAATTCCGCTCTTAAGTTTGAAACATTTTATGTTTTTCAACTTTTTCAATAAATTTTTTCATTTAAATTTTCTAAAATTTGAAAAGATAAATTGTTTCTAACCTATGAAAAAAGTTTTATTAATTTTTTATATTACAATAATTTTTTCTCTTGTAACGACTTGTGTGTAAGTCTACTCAAATTGAGTTTTAAATCAATATTTAAAAAAACTGCAACGAAAATGGACAAACTAAGTTGAACATACCATCCATGGCCTGAGTAATTGATTCAAAATCCATAAATGTTCTAGTCGCTCGGTTTTGAGAGGTCTGCATCAGAATAATTGTGTGGCGATTGGCCTACACATGAGAAAACGAAATACACAATATAAAGTTACATTCAGAAAGGGTAATTCATAGAGATCAAAACACGCAGTTAATGTATAATCATAGCATGGAACGGAAACACAGAATAATTAGTCAATAGTTTGAAGTTTTTGTTCATGCTGGAAATTGATGATAAGTAATAAAATGATAAAATTGGAAAACCAAAGTAAGATGAATAAAAATTAGTTAGTTGGAGAAAGTGTAACCATGGAAAGAAGAAGATGGCAGGAACTGAGTGTGAGAGAGGAACAAAGATTGTGATCAACTTCTTCCTTCGTTGCAGCGACGCAAGGTACCACGCTCCAATACGCCAACCACCACTGCAATGCTTCCACGTCACCATTTAAATAATCTTACTTTTCCTTTTTCAATAATCTTTTTAATTTCAAAGAAAAATTCAAAAAATTACGCCTCTCTGTTATATTAAATGTCTTATTATTTTTTTTAAGTTAATTGTCACTTTTTAAATATTAAATATCTTGTTTCCATGTTAGTTCAAGTTTTGTATCAAGCGGGCTATTAAAAAATTAAAAATTTTAAAAATACATATTTACCTCAAATATAATTTTTTATTTTTTAATTATAAAAAGACAAACTATATATAACAATTATGGTGGCAATACCATGTTCAGCCAACTTATATTGGATTTTATTTAAATTTATTGTTGTGTTGCGGGTATTAAACGATATTAAGTTTTTGTTTTTTTGTTTTTTATGGTGTGAAAAATAACAGAGAGTTGTACATTAATAAATAATTTGCAAAAAACTTGTTGCTTTGATCCATTTTAGAACATAGCATAATCAGTTATTTTCCTTAGCATGCTTATTTCTCATCTTCCTAATCTTTTATGTTGGACTTAGCTTATTAGAGTAATTCGATGCACTATATGATATTTTAAGCACGTGCTATAATAGAAATGATATTAGATTTTCCAGAAGTTATTAGCGAAATTCATTTAAATATATTTAATTAGACCATAATATTTGCGTTAAAACTATAAAAGATTTAAATATATCTGTCTATTTATTAAATTAAATGGTATTTGTAATTATTTATAACTAGACATGAACTCGTGCCTTTCCGCAAATAAACATGTGAAAAATATACTCTTTCATAAATGAATTATTTTATTTATTATTTTGAGCTTACTATGATCATCATGTTCGAACGTTAGTTATAACAACAATCAAACATTTAATCTATCTAATCATTTAAAATTCAATTAACCTATCATACTTCCTTCATAGAAATTCGCACTTTTTAATTGTGTGTTTGAATTTGAGTTGTTTGCGTTTTGGACGCAGTTATGTTTAATATTAATCAAAGTAACTTTTGACCAATAAATATATGTTTATAGAAATCTCACTCAAAATCAGATCATGAAATCTTATTTAAGCAAGCTATTTTTCACCAAAAAGTTTAATAATCACAAAGTCAGTTATTTTTTGTATAATAAATATCCTTTTATTTAAATTAAATAGAAATTTAAGAATTACAAGTCTCAAGATTTAAAAATTTAGTGTAACTAATAGAAGTTAGTTTGAATAATAAGTGGTTTAGATACACTACTTGAATCAGATTCAAATTAAATCAAATAAAACAAAAAAAATTTAGAAATAAGTTTCGTATTAGTTAAATCAAACGTGATAAAAAAAAATAGTAATTTGAAATGGTTAAAAAATGTTCGTGTGGAATGAGAATGAGAAGAGATATATTAATTGGAGCAGAACAAATGTAACTTGTTAAAAAAATAAAAAAATAAAAAAAATTTAAAGAGAAGAAAAACCTGTGATGGTTAAAATTAATTTTGTTGATGTGACATGATATAACGAGAAAAAAAGCATGACAATTCTACATCACGTGTTGCAGTTTTTATAAATTAGATTATGTATAAAAATCTATCCATTCTATAAACATTTTCAAACTTTTATCATTCAAGTCAAATTACTTGCTTATCATTCTTCTCTCATTATTCATTAACTATATATATAAACCTAAAGTTTGTTCAATTTTTTGTAGAATTATATAATTATTTCAATATTTTTTCCAATGGGGGTTTTTTTTTTTTTCAAAAGCAATACACATGATTTATTTAACATGTTACGGGAATTAAAGTTTAAAATATTAGAACTTTAAAGGTAAGTTTTATCCAAAAATAGTGAGAACAATTATATTTAAGTCTGAGTTGTTCATTTATTTAAAATATCTTAAGTAATTTAGATTTCATACCATTTTACTAATACAGCCTTGGAATAGTTAAAGCAAGGATCGCTATCTTCAGTTTGTCTTTCACGTTGTATTTTATATTTAGAAAGGAAATGAACATGTATACAACTTAGTTGGGAGGATTTCAACATCACTAATACTGACACTAGTTATACATTATTTTTTTACCCTATAAACAGAAAGTAACGTTTGTTTAAATATTTAAATAAATGAGTAATGCAATTGCACTCTTCATTCACAAATATCTTCCGTGGGAATGGGATGCCATAGAAAAGCTTCATGTTTCATCAAGAAGTGGCAGATTCCCACTTTTTCAAAATTATTTAAAAAAGGGAATTGACGTGGAATTATATCTGCGCAAAAAGAGAAAATCTTAAATACACGTAGTGGGATATCATATCATACACTCAATGTTATGAGATACGTATATTATACGATTGTTGATGGCCACAAATATGGCCGTAGGAGACAGGTCAATATTGAGCTACCAACACACCCAGATAGAGCATCTTTTATTAAAAAAGAAAAGGGTTGAGCATGAGCTCAGAGATTTTCATAAAGATTCTGTGTGATATTACACAAGATTTGATGCAATGTATCATAGAGATTTTCAAATCTCCTCGACTAGCGCATGTAACACACAACTCGCACAAAATAGAAAAATATAAGCCCAAGTGAGGTGTATGTTGGCTTTGCAAGGGAATGTGAATATTTTTACATCCAAAAAATATCATGGTACAAATTTCAAGGTAGATCCTATACCCTTTTGTCAAAATTCTTTAGCTTAAAAAACCATACCTTACTAATTATGGAATAATATTACCAATTAAAGCAATTTATTAATATGACTATGTTTCCCTTGGAGCCAGAAAAAAAGCTTCCCACACATATGTTAGTAAACTATTTATTTATGATGTCTTTCCTTTGCCTGAACTTGCCCATACAATTGGTAAGATTGAAGGTGAACACTCTTACGGGGCAAAAAGGAGTTTATCTATTAAATTTTTTAAAAGTAAAAGACAAAACTGAACGCCTCATGTGATCATACTATTAATGTGGTATTATTATTTTTTATAATTAGCCATTCTCACAAGTCATACGCGAGGCTTTGAGGGGTTATTTACTCATTAGTTCGTGTTATTGCCAGATACATGATTTAAAAGTAATTTCTTTTAAATCATTTAATATATTCACATTCTTTTAGAATTTAATGATATTATATATTTTTTAATTTTATAATATTATATTTTTTTTAATTATATAACTCATTTTTGATTTGTTATATAATTACATAAATAAGAAAAAGGAAATAAATATCGAATACATTCTGTTAAAGAATAAAATTTAAGTGCAAATTTTTAAGTGTAGTTGATGTTATTTATTAAAAAAATAAAATTTTATTTTAAATTAATTTGTGATGACATTAAATATAATTTTTAATTAATAAAGAACATGAATAACACTTAAATAATATTACATAAATTTTATCCTTTATTACATCACATGTATATAAGATGTGAGTATAACTTGTCAAAATTATAATAATAAAAAATTGACAGCTATTGTTAACGATACCAAAACAAACCACACAGTAGAACGTGTGTTCGCAGGAGTTGTTTGCTTTTGGATGCTCACACGAGTCATGTTGTGAGGTTAAATTTTCGTCATCTTTTCTCATGTTAGTGAGGAAGACAGTGTCGTGTGAAATAAAAGGACATAAAAGGTAAATCAATAAACCTTATGTAAATACAACATAATTGACATATTATAATTTTATTTTGAATTTTGTTCTCTTACATTACAACATAATTGACATTGTCATGTTATTTAATAACATGAAAAAAAATGTTTTAATTGACATGTTTTCTTACTCGAGTTTTGGTGTGGAATCAAAAGGCCCAAGACTAATATCTATATAAAGTTTGTAGATGATAGTTAAAATAATTTTACACGTTAAAATTTGAATACAAAATTACAACACACGTGAATACAATAGACTGTAATCACCGCTAAATAAATCGACTTTGCACATATAAACACAATGGTATCTTATACTAATGTGTCAATCCTTTTGACTTAAAAAATTCATAATTTTAAGTAAATAGAAGTAATTTAATAAGATAAAAGATAGAGAAACAAAATAAAATGTTTTTCATAAAAAATAAATGTTTAAATTTAGTGAATTCAATATTTTAAAGTTATTAAGCTTAAATAAGAATATTCAAATAAAATAAAAATTGGGTTTAACGGATTCAAAATTACAAAGATAGAAAAACAAAACGTAGACATAAATCCTTCCACAACTTATTTATAATTTTTCATAGAATAAAGAATTGACATTTGCTCACCATCACATGCTAATAGATCCATTACTATCTAATATAATATTTTTCCTGAAAAATCTATAATCGCACGGTATCTTATTCTACAACAAGAAGATATCTTGCTATATTCTCTTATAATATATTTTAATAATTACCTTAATATTTATAAAAATATCAAATAAAAAATTAATTTTAAGAATTTAAAAATAGTATTATTTAATTAATAAAAATTAAATAAAAATATTATAAGAGAATTTAAAAAATAAGGGGTAAGTGAAGAATAATTTTATTCATGTATTTATTTTTAAAAAGTGTTTATTACATAACCAATGACATCATATATGAGTGATGGATTTTTATTTTTATATATATATTTTAAAAATGATCAGATCGTATCCGAACGCTGGAGTCAAATCCGGGGCATGGATATGCTTCAACGGTGTAAATGTAAGAGCAAGATAAGCAAAAAAATATCTGCTTTTTTCGAATTATTATTGTTATTATTATTATTATGAGTGTAATTATTTGAGAAACTGGATATTTATTTATTTATTTATTTTGCATATAATAGTTGAAAGAGAAAGAAGAAAATAGAGAAAGGGATAAGAACGAAAATAAAGAGAGAGAGGAAAATTGTGGTTACTGTGTGAACAGTGACCGTGAGTAAAATCCAGAACTCTCTTCTTTCTGATCACTTCAACCTCTCTTCATTTCTCATCAATCTTTCTTCAATTCGGTATGCTACTCTCTTATCTTCTTCTTCTTTTTCTTTTTAAAGAAAGAAAGATTCATTTTACTGCTCCTATTTTCATTGATCTTTTCTGCTGTTCTTGTTTCTCTTTTGCCCTCAAACTGTTAACTAATCGTTCACAATCAGAAATACTTGCATTTTTTTGTTTTAATGTTATTTTGGTATCACTGGTTCTTAAAATTCGTGGATTTGTTTAGAAATTCCTTTGTTGAATTAATATATAATTACTCTAATTTCTGCTTTAAAGTTATTGCACCGTGTTTAAATCCGTAAATTTTTTTTTTCAGTTCTTGTTCGTTCTTGTGCTGTTTACATTTTACGTTGTTTACTTGTCAATGATGGAGTTCTGTTTGTTGCCAATTGCTTTTTCCCCAAATATTATGTAGAATATTTCCTTTTTTAGTTGAACTTTCATGGCTCTTTTCAATTTTATTATATTTCATTTTCTATTGCAAACGATTAGTTCCTTCACCTATGTTACTTTTCTTTCAATTAATCCTTATTTAATGCCAATTTTCTTGAATCTTGCCAGTGAAGGAAAACAAAAAAATGTAAGTTTAGATAACTCTTTGGTGGCTGGACTCTTCTTTCTAGTTTCAGACTCGTAAACATTCCCCCATCAATATATTTCTTCCAGACTATAATTGGAATGCAGCATTACCAAAGTTCTTGGATTTTTCTCCAGCCAGTGTCTTTACTGTCTTGCACATTTTCTCTTAACTTCTGATACCATTCCAGTGTCTTCGCTTTCTTGACCAAACCAACCAGAAGCTTGTTCAACCAACCACTGTGCAGAAATTTTCTTGTTCAACCAACCACTATGTGCAGAAATTTGCTTGTTTAACCTCACACTTTGCTTTTGTTTCTTAAAACAATTAGATTTATTTGTTCGATTCTTGTATTACGATATTACTTTCCCCTGTTTATGCAGCATTTGCAATTACAAAGAATATTGTCAAAGATGCACTTTTTTCCTATTATTTCTTTTGGTGTAAGTCTTCTTTTATTTCCCTGCTTTTAAGAAATTAAAGTTAATGTGTATTTGTTTTAATTCAGGTTGGAATGGGAATATATCTCAGTACTCCCAAAACTGAAAAGTTTTCTGAAGATGGTGAAAATGACCGTCTTCGATATGGTTTATCATCCATGCAAGGGTGGCGTGCATCAATGGAAGATGCTGTAAGTAATCATTGAAAAAATTGTTAGTTTTTAGAAATTGAATGCCTTTTGCATATAAATACTAAATTTTAAAGTGAATAACTATAAACCACCAGTGTGGCAATGTCTAGTTAGTAGTAAGAAGTATCGTGGGGTGGTAAGGGTGTTATGCTATGCAGTATCTGTCAATATTGGATTCTGTCTACGCTTAAATTACTCCCATTTATTTGTTCATTTGTTTGGAATTTGGAAGGTAAAGTTTGTTGCAGCAGCATTTTTTGGCTTTCTTCCATTAGCCTTATATGGATTGGTAATTTGGTATTGATTTCATTAACATTGTGGATTGGATTCACGAGTTACCATTGAGTTTTTGACAAATGGTTTGTTGGAGAAACAAACAGAAGAGACCTTCTCTTCCAAGATTTAGATATCATGCTAGTGTTTACTTCTTGTGGTTAATAGATTTTCTCTTATTCTTCAATACTTTGATGCATGCATTTTTCAGGCCATTGTGAGTCATTCTTTTATGGTTTCTACACTCTATAATTATGATAGAAACAGATAAATATTTGCTAGCATATTCTTAGGAAGTTGAAAGTCCCAATATTGCTTGAGACTTATTCTACCTAGAATTGTTATCACTAGTATCTAGTGATAATAGTATATTTATGTAACACTCTGTTGATTTCATATACTGCATAATTGAGCTTAACTTATCATTTTGGGTGAGATGATGATGTTGTTAGGGAACTAGAAGATGTAGTTTTACTATGAAGCCCAGATACTTGGTACAACACTGGTACAATACAATATGGATTTTTAGATATGGGGATTTTGGAAATTGAAGATATAATATGGCCTAGATGGGTTAGCATGAATTCGAGTTTTAACTAGGTTGCAGTAAAATGTATAGGGAAAAAAAATGAAAGCTTCAACAAATTACCACAATCACAGTCTGATGCCCAAATAAAAGAGGAAGATAATGTTTCAATAGTGGAAATATTGTGAAATCCAGAGAAGAAACACTTGAAAGTCAGAACAGAACCAACATACATGGCTTATGCAGTTATGTTTATCTTGCTATGCAATCTACAACCAAAACAGGACTTGGTGCTGTGACTCAGTTTTGTGAGAAAGATCAGCTGCAATCTGTCACCACTACACTAGAAATGTGTTGCTTTTGCAAGTCCCAGAGGCATTGCTTTGTGCAGAAGTTTTTTTAGTGAGTGGAGGTGTTTTGTTTTGTGAGACCCACAAGAACTGTGAGCTCTAATTGTGGAAGACAAGACCCATGTTGTCCACAAGCCCTAGCATAGGTGATGATACCCTTGTTGCTGGTGGAAGACTCGATTGTCAAAATAGGTGAACATTGAAAGTTTGAAATAAACTGTGCAATATCAAATAAGCTGAGAGTTTTGCATCTGCTCAACCGTTTCTCATTCGTATCAGAGCACCAAATTATCTTTTAAACATAAGGAAAAGGAGATACTTTTTGGATACGTATCTGGAGGTATTTTATGCATATCAGTATCAGATGTGTCTGACATCAATACTTTGGCAAACTTGGAGTATGTGGACTTCATAGTAAATTTATCTTTTGTTTCAGTTTTTCAAAAGATTGGTCCAGTGAAATGCAATTTCAAGATTAAATGTGAACAGCATTTGATTCTGCTTTTAATTTTGTATTGTTTGATTCATTTCATTGATTTTGCCTGACTTAGATTTTGCTCTTAATAAATCCATCAATATGCTGTTGATTTTTTAATTATCATTTCTTTTGTTAGCATGCTGCATATACTGATCTGGATGAGTCAACTTCATTTTTTGGTGTATATGATGGTCATGGAGGTAAGATTTGAAAAGTTTTGGCTACTTTAATTTATGGCAGATTGCTATTTTTACTACTTCATTACAAATTAGAATTGTCTTCTGTCCATGCTAAGATGATTACTTTACTTTTTTCCATTTCATCTTTCTCTTTTGGATAGCATCTCACTCCCCTATTCCTGCCTCCTACATTGAACAAGATGTGTAGGATATGATATCTTATAAAAGATACCAGAAAGGAAAGGAAATAAGAAAAGAAAAAAAAACTGAGAAGCCCTATATTATCAAATAGAAAAGCCAAAACAACAATTCCTTCAAATCTCTCTGGATATTTGCAAGAGAAGAGACACTTCTGCAGAAACCATATGTTCTATGGTTTTGTCTTTTTAGTAAAGTTTATTTATTTTCTCTTGATAAGTAATAAAGTCAACCTTTGTGTGGCTTCTAGACATAGTTGATTTCAACATTTGATGCCTGGTTTAATTTTTAAGTAGATTCTAATATAATTAATTATGTTATAACTTAAGATAACTGTAAATGGACATGGATTCTAACTTGGCATGCATGAAGACTCTGTCACATTAATGTGTTACATCTCATCCCATTTATACCACTGTAAATTGTGTGCCCTGATTGTAGTTTTCAAAATTAAAAGGCTTTCATCTAAGTTAATTGATTTTTCTTCTGCGCTTCTAAATTGTGTCTGTGCTAATGTTATATTTATTGAAGTGTTTGTTTTCGTACATATCTTTTCAAACAAATAGATTCTGGTTGCTCCTTTCAAACCATTTTCTGGTAGAAGAAGTCAAGGTCCATTTATTCTTGCTTACTTAATCCCAAAATTTCAGGTAAGGTGGTTGCAAAGTTTTGTGCGAAGTTTCTTCACCAACAGGTCCTCAAAAGTGAAGAATACTTAGTTGGAGATATAGGAACCGCCCTTCAGAAAGCATTTTTAAGGTTAGATGTAAAAAGATGCCCACTTCTATATAAATGGCAGTTCCTCTGCTTGCATTCTGATTTTAAATGATAAAGTGCTTTCATGCTTGCATGGAGTTGAATTTTTGTACTATTTAAAACATTCCATTTGGATCATCCACTTAGATCTTGGTTTTGTAGTTTGTTATAGATAATTTTTTTTTCTTTAATGCACAAAGAAATGTTGTTGACAATGATCTCACTCAAAGTCACTTAGGGAATGTATTATGCATTTGAATAAATGGAAAAGTTTGACGAAATTATATGTATCTTTTTTAACAAGAAGTTGTAGCCCACTTGCTAGTTGCTGATAATGGTGTTGCATACTTGCATCCTCTTTAATTTAGTGCATCCTACTAAGCTTCATATTACAGAGCAGACATGATGGCATTATAGATCTTCTTTCCTGATCTGATTCAGAGAGAATAAAAAGTGACCACTGATTTCTTATCTGTCTCACCCAACACCCTCAAAACAAGGATCCAGAAATATAAAGTTATGAACTGGTGTGTTCAATACTATGCAGAATGGATGAGATGATGCGTGGTCAAAGGGGATGGAGGGAGTTATCAGTCTTGGGGGATAAGTTTAACAAGTTTACTGGGATGATAGAAGGGTTGATTTGGTCTCCACGAAGCAGTGATGGTAATTTCCAAGTTGATGATTGGGCTTTTGAGGAGGTAGGTGTGACATTTGAAGAAGGATACCTTAAATAATACTCTTCAGTGTCACTGCTTCATTGGATATACTTGGTAATTTGGTGCCTGGCATATGGCTTTAAGTAGAAATATCATTGGATAATAGCAATAAAATTTCTCTGCATTTTCCTAATTTGAACGTACTTATTGCAATCAGGGGCCTCACTCTGATTTTGCTGGACCTACTTCGGGAAGCACTGCCTGTGTTGCTGTTATTAGAAACAACCAACTTGTTGTTGCAAATGCTGGTGATTCACGTTGTGTAATATCTCGGAAGGGTCAGGTAACTTTTAGACTGAGAATTTTTGAACATTTATTATGCTTATTGCCTACACATATACACTTAAGAACAAATAATCACAAAATGTTGTTTTATATGTATAAATATTGTACACTTGCAAAATGTCTGGCTCTTTGTTTGGTGGGTCAAGTTTGTCCCTATTTTGGAGACACCATATTTTCAGTTTTTGTAAGTTACAGATCTTTTAAATAATTAAATGCATTATGACTGTTTTCTACAGGCATACAATTTGTCTAGAGACCACAAACCTGATCTTGAGATTGAGAAGGAGAGAATAGTAAAAGCTGGTGGTTTTATTCATGCAGGACGCGTTAATGGAAGTTTAAATCTTGCAAGAGCTATTGGTAATGTTACCTATAGGCCAATGAACTTCTTTAAAGAATAATCAAAGCTGCTTTTCTTTTTCATTCTCTTTTTCCAATTATAACTTGAGTAAACAGCTGGGCTGGGCCCCTGCTTCTTTTTGCTTAGGAAAATTCTTGAATTTTTATACCTGATGAATAAAATCACACAAATGGACAACTTTCTAATTTTTTTTGTATGCTTTATTTTGGTTCTTTACAAGACAAGGAGATTGGTTTCAATTCATCTAATTGAAGACTTCAAATTTGTGTATCTATCTGTTCTTGACAGTAATTTCTTTATGAAAATTCTTTATGTGGATTTTGAGGGGTGGGGTGGGATGGAAACAGGTTATAAAGTTTCCATTCTTTAATATGTTTCAATTTTTACCACAGGTGACATGGAATTTAAGCAGAATAAGTTTCTTTCTGCTGAAAAACAAATAGTAACTGCCAATCCAGACATAAACACTGTAAGTTTGTTACTGTAATTCAATTCAGCTAGCTGCCTCAATGATACAAAGTCGTGCCATCATTTCCATTTACTATAGTCTATATGGCAGAATCCATGATATAATGCATGGTTAGGGCTTATGGCTACTTTTAGGTATTCACTTTTAATTATTCATTTGTTGACTTATTTTGATATTTTGTTGTAGGTTGAGCTGTGTGATGAAGATGAATTTGTGGTGTTAGCTTGTGATGGGATATGGTATTCTTCTTATACTTCCCTGTCCCCATTTGATTCTGAATCTTGTCATACATTTGGAAGATGTCGGTCATTTACTTTATTAAAATATAAAAACCAATTGATTTTCATTCTAGGCATGCTGGACAGACAATATTATGTGTACTGTCTTCTGTGGGTGGGAAAAGTTTCTTGTTTCATGCCCACAAATGAGTAACTTACAGTAATCTCCTTTTAAATTTGTACATTGATACAAACACCTCTAGTTTCATAAATCATACAGAAGTACCCTATTTTCAGTTTTCATCAAACAAATGCCTTCAATTTAACTTTTTTAATATACATGTAAGCTGACAGTAACGAAGTGTGTGTCTGAAAATAGTAATTTGATTGTGTATTCCCTTCAGCTTCCTTTTTGAAAATAATAATTTATTGTCATTATTTCAGGGATTGCATGTCAAGTCAACAATTGGTAGATTTTGTTCATGAACTATTGCGCTCGGTGAGTTCTTATTATTTCTAACCCTTTAATAGTGAGATGATAAAGTATTAATTCAGTTAAGAAGTAGCTGTCATACTTGTCCCCAAATTATGCTTATTTATGTTATTTAATGGAGAAGAATTTGTGCCATTTATGCTTGTAGTAGTTGGAGAGAATTAGTATAGGATCTGTTACTCATGGTGGACAAGAGTCAAAGTGTTCTTTGTCACTAGATTTTACTCATTTTCTGGCATATCACTTAATGCACTAGAAATTGTTTATGATAAATTCAATAGATGACCGGTGGCCTTTCGTAATGGTCTGAAGGTTAATATTTTGTGCCTGAATTTTCTATTAATTATTTTATTGTATTATGGCTGTTATCTGGGCAATCGGCTGATCTACAAATATGTATCTGTGGCAGGAAACGAAACTTTCTGTAGTGTGCGAAAGAGTACTGGACCGGTGTTTGGCACCATCAACTGCTAATGGGGAGGGATGTGATAACATGACCATGATCTTGGTGCAGTTCAAAAAAACTGCTCAATCCAGTGCACCAGCAGAAGAGCAATCCTCTGAATCTGATACAACACTTGAGAGAAGTGAAAGTTAGTATGATTAACAGATCAAATATGTACTATATATTATATATATGTAGTGTGCACCAGTGGTTAGAATGCGTCTGAATGGTTATTACTTATTATCCTTTCATCTCACATTATATACACAACAGTTGTTCTGATTATCGTAAGAATATCAGTTTTCTCCCGTTTCTTGTCTCCCGTGTCTACTTTTCATTCTTAAAATCTGTTATGCGTATTCTACATGTGGCTCTCTAAATGTTTTTTGTTGCCGTAATAATCAACAATCTGCGAGGATGCCCCTTGCTTTGCAAAAAAGTGTTAATGCAAAAGAGAAGTCTAACCTGAAATGGGTGAGGTCATGTTGATTTAGAGTAATGTTTGCAACATGTGAAAGGCTTCACCTTTTGCTTTTATACCAACTATAAAGGAAATAGCAACGATATATTTCGTTATATATATATATATATTCCGAGTAATTTTTTTAAGTTAAAGCACTATATTGTAAATTGATTATTTAAAAAAATACATATATAGATCTTTTAAATAACTCATTCACAGCGTGGATTGAAGTGTGAAAAAAAGAATTGGTTCGTATTTCTTCTGAAGTTACAAGGTGATGCCCTTTTGATGGCGTACACTTAGTATCCAACGGTGACACGTCTATGATGAGGCAATCTTTCAGTTTGAGGCTGATGAGTCATCCATTGAGTGCATAGCAAATTCGAACTTGTGAGCAAGGTATTTATATTTATATTTAAGAAAAATATGAGGGCAACTTATTTCTCAGTTTTTATGGCACATAGTTTCGTATATTCCTATACTTATATTTCGTATACCATAAATCATTTGTGCCTTATTTCTTTAGTGAAACAGAATCTAACATGCTAACCGGAATTTAAAAAATATAATTAGTATTAAATTTCCTAGTTTAAACCATATCTTCCTTTCTTAAATTAATTTTACGGTTCATTTGATGCATGAAATTGAAATTGTGGATTAGAACTTTAATTTCAATTATGTATTAATTGGAATTGTCTCAAAATCATATTTCATATGAATAGATTGTGCAAAAAATAATAGTGCAAAGTGTAGTTCTACGCTAAATATTTTTTTTTTAAATACTTATATATTGGGTTGAGTATAAATATTCAATTCAGAAAACACTAGCAATAATGGAGATGAAGATAGTAGCGCAAATATAACTGTTAATAATAATTACAGTTATCAATGATAGCAGTATCGATGATATTTTCTATTTGATCGGAAAAACATTTTTTATTTTATTTTTCAAATAATTACCAAAATATAATCTAATTTTCACTTTATTTTCAAACTATTTTAACTCCCCAGTGCACTTTTAACAATAACATTCTCTTATTTCCTTCTGCCAAACGCAGATTTGCCAAGAAAATAAACTAAAACAAAAATTTAACAATATGTTTGATTTCTTTTTTAAAATAGTTTTTAATTTTTAAAAATAAAATGTGGTACTTGGCAATAAACTTTTGGAATGTTAGGGTTGTAGAAGCTCAAGCATTTTTATACAAATCTTGGTGTTAACTTTAGGTATCCGTATGTTTTATACATTTCATCGTTGGTTTAACTCTTGGCGTGGTGTGATCTCACGCCTCAATTTCTTTCTCCCCCTTTTTCCATTACACTTCCACCTCCTTTCTCTATTATCAGGCAAAAGCATATAGTAGTGAAATTCGTGCCTGCAATCACAAAATAAAATAAAAATTTAGCAATTCCAAGCAATATTAGTTGGTGCAAGGAACATGAAATATATTTAGACAAATCATACTTACATTACACCCTTGGAGATTTAATGAAACTATATCCAATACAATACCCCTTCATTTTTCACATTACTTTGCGTTACATGATCTGTATTACTGCACAAATCTGGGAATGTGTAAATGGGAAGGATATACGGTATTATATTGTTATATAAATTGAAAGAAATTTGTGTAGGATAAAAAAGAATACAAGAGGTATTATGTGAAATTTCATTAAATGTTAGGGGATATCTCAGTGTAATTTGTCCAATATATGGAACTCAGGTAGAAAAACTTACAGTCTTTTGGAAAGAATTGGTCCTTAAAAATCATGGATAGTACCACGAAAACAATTTTTACACAAATAATAGTTGTCACCATCAATCAGCAGGAATTTCCAGAATGAAGTGAATAATGTGCACAAAATCACATGCCAGCTGAGTACATATCTCATCTCTGAAATTGTTTAGGCAACAAGGCAGTGTCCCTGAAGAAACAACAATGATCAAAACAGAATAAACTGTAAAATCATATTTTTAGCAAAAATATATTATGTCATTCACAGTAAAATATCATAAAATTATTCATAGTAAAACGTTAATAATTACCTTAATGCCTCCCTTTTGAGATCAGGAACATAAGAAATGGTCCCATGACATAACTGTAAAATCAACATTTATTAGGCAACTGGGCAAATGTTTCTGCATTGGGGCTACACCCCACAACCATCATATTCTTGAAGACAGAAAAGGCTCGATCTTTATTTCCTGACACACTATGTCCACGAATGAGAGCATTATAAGTGAAGACATTAGGTTCAAGACCCATAAGTTGCAGTTGCTCGTACATCTTTCCGGCTTGCTCCACCATTCCAACATTTCCAAAATGGTAAATCAACGCATTGTAAGTATATAGATCAGGAGAAATTCCCCTATCCTTCATTTCACTTAAAAGAGAAAGAGCTTCCTCCAACCTACAGGATTTTCCAAGCCCGTTGATCATAAGATTGTAAGAAACTGTATCAGGATCAAGGCCAGTTAACTTCAGTTCCTTAAAGTAATGCACAGCATCATCAACTCTACCAGTCAAGCACAGACATTCTACAAGAATGGTATAAGACTTCAAGTCTGGCCTTATTCCTTCTTTAACCATCCTTTTGAACAAATCACAAGCAAAATCAATGTTACCTGCTTTCCCAAATCCATTGATGAGAATATTATAAATAGCACAGTTGGGCTTGCATTGATAGTCTGACATCTCCTCAAAAATTTTCATTGCTTCCTCTGATCTTCCAGCCTTCAAAAGACCGTCTAAAAGAGGGCCGTATGTACAAGGAGTGGGAGAGAAATCACCACTTACGAGTTCATAATATAAATCTAATGCCTTATCTAAGCTATTAGATTTCACAAGGGCAGAGATGATAATATTATGGGTTATAGCATTAGGCTTACATCCCCTAGAGAGCATCTCATTGTACAGTTCAAAAAGGTCATTAATCTTCTTAGATTTTCCATGAGCATCAAGCAACAAGTTGTAAGTGAAAATATTTGGGCAACAACCAGCATCCTTCATCTCTGCAAAAAGTTTTAAAGCTGTTTTGGTGTTATTACATCCAAGAAGCCCATCCATCAAGCAGTTATAGGATTCTGGGGTTGGATGAATTCCCAAAGTTTTGGTGAATTTGTCAAACAAATTTTGAGCATCAACAGCCTTGTTCCGCTTACAAAGGACTCTAATAAGAGGTAATATCACATCATCATGTTGGCAGATAGAGTTGCATGCGAATCTTTCCGCAAATGAAATGGCGTCTTCTATTTCTGCTTCAATTAGAATACATTCCATTAATTCTCCCCAGAATTGATTGCCAATTTGTAAACCTGACTGATGTACAAATTCCGTGACAATCTTGATTGCATCCTCAACCCTTCCATACTTTACAACACCAGGAAGGAGGGTGCACAAAGTTACAAGATCAGGAGAGAGAAATTTCTTCATCTGATGGTAAAACCAGAATGCATAACCAGTTCTGCCTCCTTTGAGCAAGCCATAGATGATAGTGTTATATGTCAGAACATCAGGGCTACAGTTCGTCATTGTCATTCTACAGAACATTTTCAAGGCCAAATCAACTGCATCATTCTTGCAAAGACAATCAAGGAGTGTGTTAAAAGTTATCGTGTTTGGAGGGCATCCAGACTCTTTCATACTCCCAAATAAATCAAGGGCCTTTAGGATTTTTCCCTCTTTCCCTAAACCAGTAAGTAAAATGTTGTATGTCACAACTGTAGGAGATAGCTTCAAATCCTTCAGTCTCCCAAACATTTTCCATGCCTCCTCAACTCGGTCAACCTTGTAAAGTGTGTCAATTAAAGAATTAACTATAATTATATCTGGTTCACACCCTTCACTTATCATCTCAGCCAAAAGTTTTATGGCTGTGTCTATTTTCCCTGCTTTGCTGTAGCACTTCATCATCATGTTATAGGTTACTGAATCTGGTGAAAGCCCACAATTGTGAAGATCGTTGAATATATCTTTTGCTTCTCCGATCCTACCCATTTCAGCAAGACTATATAAAGATGCATTACATGCTGCTATACTTGGCACAATGCCTCTCTTTTTCATTTTTTCAAAGGTGTCAAGCGCTTTTCCAGGATCACCAGTCTTTCCATAATAGTCAATGAAAAGAACATATGAATAAGCAGTAGGGTCAACTCCCAAAGATTCCATTTTGTTGAAAAGTTCTAATGCGTCATCTAATCTTCTCAGATTCAGAAGTCCAGAGATCAACGTGTTGTAAGTATGAAGATTTGGAAAAATTCCTTTCATTGTCATCACATCTAGCATAGAAAATGCCTGGTCAACCTGCCTGGACTTGCATAAAGCCTCAATAAGTATAGTGTAGGTAACTAAGTCAGGAGCATAACCATCAGCCTCCATCTCACTCCAGAATCTTTTCACCATTTCCAAGTCACCGTAGTTACTAAAGTGATCCATTAAAGTGATGTATGTTACCCGATCTGGCTTTTGACTGCTGTCTCTCATCTTTATGTATAATTCTTTGGCTTTATCAAGTTTCCCTGCAGCACAGAGCGCATCAATTAGAACGGTATAAGTGATAACATCAGGGCAACATCCTTCATCATCCATTTTTTTAAAAATCCCATATGCGTCATCAATTCTCCCTGCCCTCCCCAGAACTCTAATGCATATGGTATATGTGTAGATATTTGGCCTCAAACCCAAAGCTTTCATCTCTTCCAATAAATCCATAATGGTTCCAGTATCCCTTCTCCTCCCCAATGCTACCATCAACGCTGAGTATGTCTTCATGCTAGGCTTCATCTCCTCTGAGATCATTCTTTTGTAAACCTTCAAAGCCTCTCTACAAAAGCCTGGTTGAAGGAGGAAATGAATCAGTCCATTATATGAATACGCATTCAAGATGAACCCAGCTTGCCTCATCTTTCCAAGCGCAAATGGCGCTTGTCGAATCCCACCTTTAACCGAAAGAGCCTTAAAAATAATCAGGTATGTATTGGAACTCCTATTAATTACTTGTTTTTGCATCAAATCAAAGACAAAAACCATATCCTCAATCCTCCCATGAACCCTCAAGAACTCAAGCATGTAATTGCATGTTTCAGTGGTATGTACAAGATTAGGCAACTGGGAAACCGTCTTAAAGTAGGAAAGAGCAGAATTTGGATCTGAAATAGACTTCAGAACACCAATAACCTCTTCAGAAGACACTCTACTTTTGCCCTTGCCATTTACCACAACCACCTCGTGGCAACATTTTGTCTCAAAGGCACGAAGACCCACTTGCCTTTTTCCATGTTTCTTCCAATTTATCAAAGACCCATTTGGCAAGGTCTTCATTTTGACAAAACTGGTTCCTCCTAAGAACCCATTATTGTTTAGAACATAGACACTGGTATCAGACAAAGCACCACAATATGACACACTGCTGCAACACATGTTTGAGGAACACAGTACTAATACGGCCATAGAGTCCAGCAACAATAATAAAAATAAACAAAAGGAGAGATTGAAATTCAGAACAACCACATTGAAGGGTAGATGATAGTGTTTGAACCTGTTACCGCAATTGGGTATGCAAAGTGAGCAAACTTAACTTGAGACAGAGACGCACCCTATCATCAAAAAGCACATAGCTATGGTGTTAGTATTGCAACAAATTTCAGTTTCGGATAATTTTGGTACCAAACAAGATAGTACCATGCTGATGTTCCGGTAAGGAACCGGTTTACCCTTGTGAGGTGACAGGTGAGGATACAAATGCGCCGTTATCGCGTTATATTTTTAATAATGTCATGCTTTTTTTTTTATCAGATTCTTATAACATAAATTTATGATATCTAAATTAAAAAGTTCACATGTATTATTTATTGATAAATGATAATAATATGTTGAACATACATTTTTTTGTCAATTTTTTAAAATAATAAATATATTTAATTAAACTTTTAACAAAATAGTATTTTAATCTTTTATTTTATTTTAATTTGATTTCGTTTCTAACTTAGTATTTGGTATCGCGCTTATCAAAAATATATTTATAAGGATGTTACATTAGTTCATTAGAATCTTGCTTAAAACTAAATACCTCGTTAAAATTTGTCTTTTTAATGTGAAAATTAGATCATCCAATCCGGCTCCTTTATGATCCTTCTCTTTACACCTTTACTATTGTTATAAAACTAGTGGTGGTAGAGTATCCTCTTAAACAAAGTTAAAAGGTCAAAATATTAATTTATATTTAAAATATTAGTATGATACATTGATTATAAAAAATATTAAATATGCATAAAATAAAAAATATATTGTATAAAATTAACCTTTATTAAAATATTGTTAAAAAAATTAATTTTTTAAAAATTATTTCAACCATAAAATACCTAATTAACACCTGTTGGATTTTGCAGGTGGAAGGATTTTATTACGATTAAACAAAGTTTAAGGTTATATTTGAATTAATGAAAGAAGATAAAATATAATAAAATTTTGTTTTTATTGTTTTGAAAGTGAAAAAAAGGTAATAATTATTTTATTTCTATGTTATCTTAAAAAAAACTAATTTTAAAGATTAGACCTATATAAATAATAAAATGCATAATAAAACTAATTCTGTTTAAAATATTATTTGCACACAGCAGGTTAGTATGTTTCAACGCAAATATACCACAAAATCTACGTATAAAGAAAGAAAAGAAAAATGAAGCCAAACCTATTCGTATTCGTCGCGGTTTAATGTAAAAAAGAAGGAAGGGTGGCTACTGGCTGCACCCAACAAGTCTCTGTTTTCTTCTATTTTGTAGAGAGAACAACACAAGCCCTAGCTAGTGAGTAGTGATACCAATTACAAGCTACTTTCTCTCCAACCTCTGATACTGAGTGATACAAAGAATGGTTAAAGGAAGTGAAAAGAGCGAGGGGAGTGCAGTTCCAGAATCGGCGATGGACGCGGTGAACACCACTCTCTCAAACCTTCACCAATTGCGAACCCACTTTCATGATTTCTTGTCTCTCTCCGACCCTCACCTCCTCTCCCAAATGCCCCCTATTCAACGCGCCCAATCCCTCTTTCTCCTCGCCAAAATCACTTCCACACTCCTTGCATGTAATCTCAAAATCACTTCTTTTTTATTTCGTTAATTCATTTTCGCGTTTTGATTCTACCCTTTTGTTTTCGCTCTCTCCAGTGAACTTACGGTGTAGTGGGGTCCACCCAGATGATCATCCCATCAAATCAGAACTTGTGGGTGTCTGCTAATTCTGTTTTTTCATTAACTTTTGGAAATACCTTAATTGTTGCTAGAAGTGCTTGATTTTTGTGTTACCAGGACAGGTTAGACTTGTACGAAGACAAACTCCAATGTTTGCTTGATTTGAGTGAAGGTATCTATATCTTTCTTTCTTTCTTTTCCTCAACAATGTGTTAACTTGTATTTGTTAGTTCCATTTGTGTAAGAGAAATGCTAGTAACAGACTCTTTGATATACTTTTTGTGATTGAGTTGTTTTTAAAAAGTCAAAGTGATTTTTAAAATTTGATAAATTTTGACGAGGAAGTGTTGATCTTTTTAAACTGGAGTAATCACAAAGGAGTACGTTGCTAGCAATTCTCTTTGTTGAATGGTCATGTTGAAAATGAAACATGGCGGGTATTTGGAAGTGCATGTTATTCATGTTTCAATTGTCTGCATTGGAGTGAATTTGGGCTTGTTTGTGTAGCTCCACTACGACCTTCTACTACTTTGAATTATCAGGCAGCTACGCGTTTCATAGAACATTCACTGCCGGACCTAACTCCAGGTGGGTGGTGAAGTGTTTTATTCCTTTCAGGGGTTTTTATATCTGGTCTCTTCCAATTTGATTTTGTGTATGTAAAGAAGAGTGGTTATTTTCTGCAGAGCAAAGGAAAAATATGAGGAACATAAGTAGAGGGGAGGGACACAAGATGAAGCATCAGGAACGGGCCGGTCAAAAGAGGAAGTATCAATCTTCTGAAAAACAATCTGTTCAAACTGCTGCCAAGGAATTTCTGGAGAAAGCGGCACGGGAGCTTCTTGGTGATAGTAATTGCGGTATTAAGGGACCATTACAAGTTGGCATCTCAGAGGATGCCGATGATGACGAACTACCTGTAGCCTAATTTTCTGGAATTCTGGTGAAGTTTCTTTCATATTCTCATTTACTCTATGAGTTTAATACTCCAACTTCCAAAAATGTATTTCTATTGTTGTAGTAACTGCAGTGCCAGGATGGTCTATATAGTTAGGGACTTTCTCTTATTGGCATTATAATAAATTCTGAACTGATGGTACATATAAGGGGATCTTTTGAATTTCTCAACCAGACTACTAGGCATATGAACCACCACCTCGGAATAATTGAACCATTGTGACCGCAACCACGATTTAAAACACTGTCTGTGCTCTAAAGCATTAGATGATTGGAGCAGTTAGATGCAAAAGAATTTGACTACTACTTCAATTTAGTGAATTTACTATTATTTAATAGTTGACATCCTTCGAGATCTATTAAATAAGCCTTTTTTATTTAATAAAGAATTGGTAGTATTAAATTTGAAATTATCACAGTTCAGAGAGTTGTTGGTAACTTGTAAATTGTAATACATGTAAAACTTGTTAAAATTTTAAATGCAGTCTATGGTATTGCAAATTAAACATGTGCAATTTTAATTTCAGATCTGCTCTACTGTTAAAACATGATTAGAATAAAATTCATTTCAGCTTACCAACTTGGTTAACACTTGTGGAGCATCGGGCTCATGGTTGTAAAAATTGAAAAAATATGCTGGAATAGAATATCAGTTTAACTATTAATGGTAAAACCCATAGTAGTCAATCCCAAGCCGACCTCAAAAATGCTATAGTAGAACCCATTATTTGACAAATGTGGGAAAGTTAACAATATTCCGCTGGATATAAGAGAGTTGTGATTAGAAAACCAAAATGTGAAAGGAATGCTACTTTTGCCTTTCTTTAGTGATGGTTCTTCCAATTCAACAATGTTAAGGATAGTGGATTAATATCTTTTATGTGTGAGTTGGGCATTTTGGTTATTAGTTGTTTGCGAAGGAAAGTTGATGTGAATGGAATTGTTGACGTAGAAATATAAATAGATAAGTCATCGTTTGGGCATAGCACCTATTAAAAGTCTGAAGAGGATAAAACAGTGTTAACTATGGAACTTATTTTTCAGTCCATCAATCTAGTTAAAATTGGAGGTAAGATACCTCCCCCTCCTGCTGTACTGCTATGGAAGTATTTTGGTGTCCTGTTTCTAGGATGCTGGAATTTAAGCATTTAACCATTAAAGCGTGATTTTACCAGTCATTTGCCTCATATATAGAAATATAGAACCATGCCTTGTTGGCCTTCCATCCAAGAAATTTTATGATACAAATTTACTGCTGCCATTTCAAACTGTAGAATCTTTCTTTGATGATACAAATGTTTTACTGGTAATGAAGCTTGTGTAATAAATTGAGTAAATTGCCAAATTAATAATTTCTTAAAAAAATATGGTGGGATTAAATTAGTCCAAAAAAGCAAAATTTTTCTGGCTCCTACAATGTTTTTAGAGTCAGTTCAAAATTCAAATTAGTCCTTGTAACGGTGCAAATTGTAAAAGACATCAAATTTTAATTACTTAACAAAATTTTAAGAACCAGTGGACATTTTATCTTTCAAGGACTAATTTACTCCATCAACTGTATATCAGTTCCAGTTTTGAAAGTGTGGCACTCCAACCTAATATTACTCTTCGTATCATTAAATAGAGTTGTTACAAAAAATGTGTTATCTTTGAGAGACAGAGTTGAGTATGTGTTACAAAAAATGTTATATCTTTGATGTATATTCTCCAACAGATATTAAGTTATAGCCAAATTTGCCAAAGACCAAACTTTGAAGTGTGGTTTCCAGAATGGTTGCAATCAGAAGTTTCTCAAAATTGGGGATTACTTCTGATTAAGTAGTTTAGCTGCATATGGCTTAGGCAATAAATAAACAATATATGAATCTGTTAGAAGTTTTCTGTGATTCATCCTTTGGATGGTAAATAACTCATTGAGAAAATGAAGTATATGCCACTTGCCATCATTGATTTATTAGAAAGTTTATGTGTTTGTTGGTGCAAGAACATCTTTTTGTATTAGTTTGTGCTTCTAAACATAATATGAATAAAATCAATTTAAATGCATGGAACATAACTGCTTGTGTACGATTGATTCCTTGGGATCTGTTCCAATTTTAGCCCACAAAATTGAAGTCAATCTTTGTTTTTGTAAATTTGACATGCGGAGTTGCAGATTTCAAAAATTCTAATCCCCTTCTGTGTTTTTGAGATTTTTATTATCTTGAAATTTTATTTTCACAGTAAACAAACAAGATGGAGCAGCTGTGTCCGTGAGGGAATATCTCCATTAGTGTTGTTGTTGATCTTCTTCAGGCATTTTGGCATGTTTATTTATGTCGACAAAATAGATGATACCGGCATCTTGGCGTGCATTTTCAGGAGACAAGCATGGTGTTTATTTTTTGTCGTTACAATGTATATTGCCACTTTTGGATGATGATTTTAAAAGGTGCGATTTTTTTTAAAAAGTCATTTTAAAAACCCATTTCGTCACTCATCACTCACGTGATTATGTGAAACTGAACAAGCTCAAATGATTTAAAATAAAAAATAAAAAAAATCGACGCATATCAAATTTTCACATGAATTTTGCAAATAAAGAATTATATAACAAACAAGACTCAAATTTTGCTAATGAGATGGGGTTGTGATTCATTTACATGAGAAAACCCACATACATAGCCAACATTCCAAGAACAAACACAATAACAGCTTGCAACGCCGTGGCACTGCTAGTAGGAGCAACTGCTGGTCCTTCTTCCAACTCTGCTGGAGAAGGTGCAGGAGAAATCCCTGTGTAACTGTGCCTTTGAGACATTACAATCACAATCACTTTTTGCCCCTTCTCACAGTGCCCCTTTGCCCCACTTATGAAGTAGTATGCTCCAGGATGGTCAAGCCTCACCTTAGTGTTGCCATCACTGTACTCTTTAATGGGCTTTGAAGAGCTGCAATTAGCATAATCTTCCTTTGTTACTTCCAAAACAGAGTCTTTTCCACTCTCATATTTCCATACTGCCAAATAAACAAAAAGAGAGGTGTTATTTATGGAAATCAACATATAACGACAGAGTTCCTTTTATTCCTTCTAACTTTTGGTTACTTATTTTCACTTTATTCTCTCTGAGAAAAAAGACATTTATATTATTTTTTAATACAAAATAATAAAAAATGGAAGTTTAAAAAAGTAGAACAAATTATTTGTTACAAAATTAAGAAAAACTGGAATAAGGATTTATATAACTAAAAATGGTTGAGTTTAAGAATTGAGTGTTGGTAGTTACCAAGATGATCGCCTACTCTGAAACGAGACCTTTCAGCCCATTGGTTGAGGGAATCTGCTTCAGAGGATGGAATCTTCCATGCATCAATTTTGCCTCCCACCAATAGTTCCTTAGCTGCAGAGAAACCGAAGAGAAGGAAAAGGAGCAAAAGAGAAGAGGCAACAGTTCTTGGAAAGACAGCCATTGTGTTTTTCGTTCTATGATAACTGAGAAGGGTGTGTGTAATTGTAAAAACTTTTACCTTTGCCACACACACGAGCTCAAAGCGGTGGTTTGCAGTGATGGGATTGCTCGAAGCTTTGTATATATGGTGATGAAGAGGGAAGAAAGTAGCCGTTGAGGCTTTGAAGACAGGACAATGCGTGGGGGCCACTGACTTCTCTAGGTACGGTGCCGTTGTTGTAACGGTTAAATTAACGGTAAAAATTAAAAATTAAAAAACAGGTTTAATATTAATGGACAATGAGAATGGAAATTCGAATGCATGATGCTGTTCACTGCAAATTGCAAATGCAAACTGTAGAAACACCAACTTCTCAATTTAACATCGAAAATGATTTTAATATGATTTTAGTTTCAATAAATGTAATTTTAATAATATTTAGTTTAAACTTTCATAAATTTATATTCTTTTTAAATAGTCTTATCATCGCTTAATGATAGATGCATGTTAAGTGTTTAATAAATAATAATAATATTTTCAATTTTATGAAACAAAATTAATAAAAAAATTAAATGATTAAATTTAATTATATTTATGAAGATTAAAATATTTTATTCAAGATACTAAAATATTTCAATTAATCAGGAGAGACAGAAGTACATTAGCAAAGCCAAAAAAAGTTACCAAAACTTGAACACACTAACAAATCTAAAATTGAATTGTACAAAACTAAACTAAAAAAAAAAAGCAACACATCACTTTCAAAAACTTACTTTTATATTTACTCTATTAATTCAAGAAAAAAAATGAACCATCATATAAATATTTTACAAAAATTGTTGCATACCCTGCAACATTTTCCATTGTTATTGAAAACAATTGAAATTCTATTTTCACAACAGATTTAGAAAAGGAAACTGGTAGGGATTCGCATAATTCGGCGTCGCATGTTCAGCTCCATTCCAGATATATTCAGGCAATCAAGCTCAGGAGTGCGACCTGCTCTTCAAGTTGATGATATTTCATTTCTACTGAGATAACTGCTCTAAGAATATAAAAACATCGGCCACAGAAAACGGCCAATTAAGACAGCATAACCAACCTAAATTTCTGTATTTAAACAAGAATCTTAGTTTGACAAAGGCAATTAAAATGACACTGAAACAAAAGAATCACTGTCGTCACAATTCAAAATTGTATAGAATAGGTTACATCTGAACAAGCTAGTACCTGAATTTCAAAATCCTTACACAAACTTTCTTTGTCCATTAAAAAGTATAGTAGATTAACCCAAACTGCGGACTGCTATAACTAATCAATTTTGACTGAGGAGTAGATGAGCCTTGTGAACCAAAAGCATGCATAAAATCCGATGGTACCGGTTACCACAAAAAATGCATAAGAAGCTATAAGCATGTACCCAAAGTATAATATCGCAGATACCAACTTTGTGATTTCAAGCTTGGTGAAGAAGTAGAAAGTAGCATAAAGAAAGAGGTAAAGGGCAGAGGAACCAGAGGTAAGGTATGACCGCCACCACCACAAGTAATCCTCACTGCACAACTGGAAGTAGCAGAGCACAATGGTTATTTCGGCACAAGTGACAATGAGGATGATGAAGACCAAAAAGAGGAAACCAAAGATGTAGTAAAACTGATTCAACCAAATGGACGTGAGGATGAAGAAAAGTTCAATGAAAACAGCTCCAAAGGGGAGTATTCCGCCAATCAGAACTGAGAAAACTGGGTTCATGTACCAAGCCTGCTCAGGGATCTGCCTTGGGATTTTGTTCGTCTTCACTGGATTCTCAATTGCAGGCTTCTTGAATCCAACATAGCTACCCACAAAAACAAGTGGAACCGAGATTCCAAACCATAAAAAGATCAGAGCAAACATTGTACCAAACGGCACAGCTCCAGATGATTTTTCACCCCATATGAGAGCATTTAATACAAAGAAAATGGCAGAGACAACTGCAGGGAACACAGTTGCAGTCCTGAGAGCAATTTTTTTCCATTCCGATCCTTTGAACATTTTGTACAAGCGAGTTGACGCGTACCCAGCAAAAATTCCCATGAAAACCCAAAGCAAGAGCATGGCTGTCATCAGCCCACCTCGGTTTGAAGGAGAGAGGAACCCAAGGACCGCAAATATCATGGTGACTAGTATCATCCCAGAAAATTGAACCCCAGTTCCAACATAAATACACAGCAAATCTGAGTTGTTGGGGGGCCTAAATACATCACCATGGACAAGCTTCCAACCTGTCTCCTCTTGGGCTTCTTCCTGGGTCTCAAGCTCATTGTACTTTGCAATGTCACGGTAGAGTGTCCGCAACATTATCATTGCCACCATGCCGGAAAGGAAGAGAACAATCATTAATGAGTTAACGATTGAAAACCAGTGGATTTGGTCATCATTCATTAGCAAATAGGCATCCCATCTTGAAGCCCACTTGACGTCACTCTCCTGAAGGTAACAGCAAAAGGTAAAGCAGATAATGAGAAATACAGCCCACAATCATATTGCATTATAACAACAAAAGAAGGAAGATGTTAAAGAAACAGAATCCTCTAGGAAGGAAGAAGAAAAAGAATTGCAATGAGAAGACAAAAATATAAAAATGCCCATTCATGCATGGGATTTTTAATATTTTATCTTCCTAACAATTAGCTCTCTTCTCTACTCACACTGTATGCCTTACCTTTTTGGCTCAGGTAAGCAAATAACCATTCTAAAGAATGAGGAAGAACATATTTACCATTTTATCATCTCCATAAACTCACCTGGAATTCAACATCATATGTGAAGATAATTTCCTTGTTCTCTTCAACCTCTTGGGGAGTGTTGGAGTTGACAACTGTGTGTTTAGCATGAGGGTCACAGGTTGTCAAACGAGTTGTTTTTCCATCCCACTTACCTTCATATTGATGTCTAACACTGCACATCAACATACAGTTCTGAAAAATCACTACTAAATACCACATAAGGATGAATCCATTAATAGGGCAACTGAATGCACAAGGAAACTACAATTGTGGAAAATTAAACAAAACAAATTAATGTGACAGTTAGGGCATGGAAATAGTGACCTGAATGGTGTAACCTCAAAGCCCACAATTCTGGCAGATTCAGTTAGCAAATCTTTATGATACTTGACAGTAAAAGCCAAATGGTTGTGAATAAAAAACTTCTCTTCCTTGCTCTGCATCCAGACAAAATAAGAAAAGAAACTAATTGGTATTCATAACAATAGCCATGGTGTTATAAAATAAGCAATTAAGCATACCCCACTATACTGTCCTTTGAGTCCAACATGGAAACCAAGCTGATAAACAGTCGAATCCTGTTCATTCCGTTTTATGGGAACAACTAGAGGAAGGTTGTCAAGGATCCTGTGCATGAAAGACCGAGCCACTGTAAGTTACAACCCCTCGAGGCTGAAAATAATTTATCAATTAATGGCATAACATACATGTTCACCCGATACTCATCACCGATCTTCTCTTTGAACTCCTTAGCAGTTTTAGCATCAAGGTTAAGATGACACACAATATTGCACATTTGTGGCTCACGCATTTTAAACTGCAAAATATCACTGAGTCAGAATCAGTTAATAACCATGAAAAAATTAAGGGAACTTAACATTTAAAAAAAACAACAACTAGGAAACGAAGACCACTCACATAGTTAATTAAGTCAATAAACTATTACTCATTAAAAACGATTACTCATTAACAACTCTTTGAACATGGTTAACAAATTCAGCGGTTAATTGTTCCTAAACTGAAAATATATGACCAAGAATTCCTTTCTTGTCATTATCTCAAAAATTAAGCAGCCATGAGTAAACATGTAAAACTGACCACATAGAGAGAATTTTCAATGCGGTCACCACGAAGCACTTCCCCAAGGTTTTCTGCACTATCCTGTATTTTTGGTGGGGCACAATAAGGAAGTGAATAATATGTATACGGTAGCTGGGTCTTTGTTGATGTTAATTTATTTACTTTCACTTGCAATGTATCTCCCTGCAGCAAAGAAATATGGAAAAAGTCAGTTAAGGATTTAGAAGTAAATCCATAATGAATTCTAATGTTCTTCACTTTGGCCAGATTAAGAGCATGACAAAAAGACAGGTACAGGTAATACAGGGGATACAAACAGTAGTCAAATAGATTGTTCCATCCTTTATAAGTGCCATTATAGTTGCTACGAAGATCGCAAAGTGTTATTATGCAAGAATTTCAACTATCCAAAAAAAACTGAACAAAATAGTCTTTATAATTAGAAACGACCGACAGGAAGGGAAGACTAGAAAAGTATAGGAATAAGATAGTAGTAAACAAAAGTAAAATGAAAGCAAATTTCAGATATTAAAAAAATACAAGACATAGCCCAAAAGGACACAGTTTTGATTGTTTACACGAAATAGTATATCACTGCAAACATCAGAAATTAACTTATCAATACAAAGATGTGCAATGAAGTAGAAGGTGCTACAGCAATACCCCTCTACAAAAAGTTCTATTCTACCAGCATTCTTGAAAGACATCGCCAAGTTTCACATAACAAAACACCAACAGCTATTCACTCTAAATACAGTAAACCACAGAACGCACGACAAGTAATAGAAATCAGAACTTAAACTTCGCAACCCTAAGTGTCTCGGAAAACAATAGACACAAGCATAAATTAGGAAAAAAGTTACAACCACCAACTTCTACGACGTTACCGAAAACGTTATTGATCAAAGCGATCTATAAAAATTATTTTAAAAAAAAAAGCATTCCGTATTTCCACACACTCCTAGCTCCTCTTTCAATTAGGAAATAAAAATATTTTCAAAATAAAAAAAAAGAAAACCCTAGTATCTATCACATCACATCCAATCCAACACAGATCTCACTTCTCAGATTCAAATTGACGCGTATAAGAGAGGGGAAACGGAAGGTCACCTTCTGGAAGTCCTGAGGAGCGACGCCAGGGAGGTAGAAGCAGTGAACGCTATGGATGAGAAGCAGAAGAACCGCAGAGAACGCGAGAGATCTCCAAAACGCCATGGCGTTCGAGATCCAAATCTACAAGTTCTATCGAATGCTTCTTGTCGTGAAGAGTTTTGAAGAAGAAGGAAGAAGATGCGTAGTCGCGACCAGAAAGAGAAGACTCGGTGCTGTTTTTCTCCGGTTACAATGGTACAGTTACTGCCTTCTACTTATATACGGTGTTGGATGACTTGAATCTGACCCAACGCGTTTTCTATTTTCTCTTCGGAGTCGAGGGCATAACGGGAAATAGGAAGGGACTATTGGATTAATCAGTAATTAAGGACTTCGAAATCAGATCTGAAGGATTGCAACGTCGAAATGTACTATTTTACCATTCCTTTCGGATATTACAAGTAATGTGGCAAATTTTTTTTAATATAACTCGATGGCCCAACAATTTTGGTATTGGTATCAACGATATTATTAGAATCCTAAGTTGCCGGATGTAATAAAAAATTAGTGACAAATTTTTGTATTAATTTTAATATTAAAGGGTAAATTTAAGTATTTTTTTAATACATTTTTAAGAAAAAATTGGGATTCTATTTTAAGACATGAAAAAAAACCATGGAGTTCAAAGAATATTTATAAAACACCTACTTTATCTCAACTTAATGAGACATTTAAGCATTGAAAATAATATCTTTTTTTTACTGAAAATAATTTTTATAATTTTAAGAGATATTTGATAGAAAATTATTTAAATTTTTAAAAAATAATAAACTAAAAATATTAAATTCTTATTTTTAATATCAATATTCTTAAAAATATTTTTTAGTTTATTTTAAAAAATCATGAGAGGTCAAAAAAATTAATATTCTCGTGAACGCAAATTTTTGTTATAATATAAACGTATATTTATATTTTATAAATATTTTTAAATCTAATTTTAGTTGTTATTTTTAATGTTAAAATATATCTTACATGTGTTAAATGCTTTTCAGAATGCTATATGTATACAAAGTTTACTAAAACTGTTTTAATATTATGATTATTTTAAATATTAATTTTTGAAAATATTAATACTTTTGTTATTTTTTAAATATTTTTAAATCTAATTTTAGTTTTTATTTTCTATTTTTTAATTATTAATTAATGATGTAATTAAAATTGTTAATTATTATAACGAGTACAAATATATTTAAAAAAAGTATTATTATTTTCAAATATTAAAATTTAAACCAACCATGATATTAAAACAGTTTTAGTAAACATTGTATGGCATTCTAAAAATTATTTAACGCATGTAAGATATATTTTTAACATTAAAAAATAAAAAATATTAAAAAGTGCATACATTAAACATTTTTAATATGATAAGCGCTTTAAAATTTAAAATACTTAAATTCAATTGAAGAAAAAAATCGTTCAAATTTGAAAATTATCAAAATAAAATTGACTTATTTTATTAGAATATTTTGTCTATGAACATATTTAAGGAATTGAAAAAACTCAAACAGATTCATATTTAATTACTTATCATCCATAATGTTCAAGTTCTCCTATGAACAAAATGATTAATTTCACATAATGTTTAATTGAAAATTGATTAACAAAATAAGAATAAAAAAAACTATTTTAAATAGTTTCCACATTACACTCCAAATTGTTTGTATCTAAATTAAAAGCTTCAAAGTTTTTGTTCTACTCACTCACACATTGCACTCCAAAGTATTGTGACAAACTTGCAATGTTCCAATACTGTGTGGTACTGCATCGATTAAATTACAAAAGAAAAAGCCAAATGCTTACAACAATAACACGTAAAAGCAACGTGAAAGGGCAGCAAGTGGCGGGGTACGTTGAATTTGGATGCAGTAAATTTGAAGACAAAACAAAATATGTTTTTTCAGACTTTCCTTTTATTTGAACTTGCTAGTTTTTTAAAACTAAAATGACATAAAATTATTTAAATTATTTGTATTTGCAATCTACCATTCGTTATTATCAACAGTTAATTTAACCTCTACGGTGCATGTTGCACTTTTGAAGAGTTAGATTCGAGTATAAGTATATTTAATATTTATGAAATATTATTTTTTAAAATATTTTTCTTTATTTAAATAAATATAATATTTTTTCTTCTTATTTTATTTCACTGAAATTTTATTTATTTTTTCACTCTATTTGTAATTCTCTTTCTTTTTTTTCACTCTAATCTTCAGTTCATCTTATCGGACTATTAAAGTAGATAATCTTATTGTAATAATATACTTATCGTGAAATTCTAAAAGTGCTCGAGTGCTGAGGTTGGATCGTCGCTTTTGTGAAAATGAAGTTTTACATGTAAAAGTAAATATTAAATTTTAAATAATTTATCTGTTATATTTTCATGAAACATGTTTTTGTCATTATTTAATATTTTTATATTAAAAAATGTAAATCACTCATTAAATTTTAAAATTTCTACATTAATTTATCTCTCCCGTGTATTAGTTTTGATTATTTTAATTTTTTTATGTTAAATTTTTCATCCCAAAGATTAATAAATTAGTATTTTTAAAGTCTTATTCAAATTAAATAATACTATCATAATACAAAAGATATTTGTCCGTAGTTTTTAAAAATATATACTTATTTGAGTTTTTACAAGAAAAAGACTTTAAAATCAAATGTTGAAATTTTAAAAAATATATTAAATTAATTATATAATTTTTTTAAAACTAAAAAATATTTTAATGTTTTAATGGCTATATATATTATTATTATTATTTTTAAGCTTAAACGAATGAATATTTAGTGTGTGTTTTATTTAATCTTGTTAGAAGATAATTGTCGTGTTTTTTTTCCCTATCTTTTAAAGATTTTTTTATTTCTTTAAAATATTAAATTCACAAACAAGCACTAAATCTTCATTTTATGTAAGTCAATATAGTAGCGACCCATTTTACCATAAAAAAAACTCTTCGGCAAGATACAACAAAAAATGTTTCATACTTAAAATTATATTATTTTAGAATATGTAATTTTTCACATAATTTACGAATCCTCATTTTTAATTTTGAGCACTTTTAAATTTTATTTATAAATGAAAATATTTTTAATATTTGTTTATTATATCAAGTGATTTTTTATTACATTAAACATTTATTTTTTAATTTAAATTTAAGTTTTTATAATTTAGCTTTTATTTTTTAAAAACAGACTTCTTTAATTTAACTTTATTTAATTTATAAAAACTATTCAATTTAATAATATTCATGTGTAATGATAAAAAAAAACATTAATATCAGCAAAAAAAAAACATTAATAAATTAATCAAGAGTAGTGTAATTCAGCTATTTTTAATTTAATAAGATGTGAAAATTTTACACATAATAAAATCTGAACATATGATATACGTGAATACAAATTTAAAAGATCACTTTTCATTTAACAAATCTCTTTGTATATGTCTTGGAGAAGCATCACTTACCAAGTCAAAATTTTCTGAATTTTGGTTGAGTGGTTCTTGTAACCAAGAGTGAAGACAAGAACTATGAAAGAATTGCGATATTACGTCATCAGGCAAAGGAAAATGTACATGTGACGACACAGATAGCATCAGCATCGTCCAAAGTAAAAAGATTAGAAAAGGATAGAGTGGAGAAATAGAATAAGGAGTAGGGTCAAAGGGGTCCAATCACACGTTTTAATGCCACCCTGTCTCTCACTCTTTCTTTTATACCTGCAACAATGCAAACTTGACTTGAGGTTTCAGCTTTCAACTCATAGCTCACATAAACAAACACCACTGTATTGAGATCGCAGATCACCATTCTTTCCTTTTGTGGAAATCACATTGTGTTTTGTTTTAAGATAACCATGAAGTTTATGAAGTTGGGTTCCAAGCCTGATTCTCTTCATGCTGAAGGAAAGTCTATCAGGTAAGTAATCACAACCTCTCTCTCTTTCTTCATTTTCTTTCCTTTTCTATCTTAATTATGTCCACTTTCCTCCACCCTTTAAGTTCATCAGCATTTAAGACTCATATCACGTGAATCTTATGAGTTTCATTTCATCATACATGCATTTAAGCTTAGTCAGCCACTACCACTCAAAAACTTGTTGCCTTCAAATTGAAACCAAGATTTGTCCACACACAGACTTTGTTAGAAATGATGTTAGCATTATTCTTAGTTCTATTGCTGGTAACAAAAGGGTGAGAGAAAGAGATAGTGAGATGGTAAGTGGTCCATCCTTTGAACTGTGATATTTTTCATGAGCTTGTGGTCCAACTATGGTAAAGTGATGTGGAGTACCCATCATCTCCAATTATGGCCAGGCATAAGCCTTTTTAATAAAACAATAGTAATATACCCAACGTATATGTTTTCTTTAGAGTAAGTATCCATTTTAATCTCTTAAATTATCGATCCCTTTAGTACCGGTATTTACAAAAAAAGTTTAATTTAATTCTTATTGATTTTACAAAATGTCAAAACGACAATGTAAAAAAATAAAAGGACTAAAATGAGTAAATTTGGAAAAATTAAAGCTAAAGTGATCGACACATACAATTTAATGTACGAAAATGGGTGTTTACTCATTTTTTAACTGATGAGTTTTTATAAATTATATGTCATGTCATGTCACCGGGGTACTCATTATTGTCACCTTGTGTACGTGGAAGTGGACAATAATGGGAATTGAAGATTAATCCTCTCACACGAGCTTTTGTCATGTGGAATAAAATAAAAGGTAGATACAAGAAATCTTGAATAAGGTCCCAGTGGACCCTGAGGAAATTTGCAAGGCCTGATTGGGGTGGAATTCATGCAAAAGGACGGTTTATTTCCAGGATAATAAGGTTAAAGAATTTCACTTAAGGGTAACTTAACCTGGTTTGGTGGCTTTTCTGCCTTTTCTAAAGCATGCTTGACAACGAAATGTCATCTGTCATGCATGTGTGCAACTAGGAGACAACTTTGGTTAATCAATCTTAATTTGGAAGTGCATCCAATTACATATTTTCTGCTTTGTAGGTTGAGGTTTCTTCCGGTGAAGATGTGACAGACAGTTGCTGCTGCTTTTTTTTTCCTCAGATTTTTTTCCGGGAAATAGATGGTTTTTCTGTGGAAAAAAAGCTATTATTCCTTAAAAAATAAGCCAATCCAAGTATGCAAAACTTGCCCAATATAGTATCTAGAAAAGGATTCTTTTTCGCTTCAGACATATAATCAGGTTTTGGCTTTGGGAGCTATTTCATTGCTGCAAAGATGAGAACAATGTGTTAGATTGGGATGAACAGCATGTATCTTATCTTAATTAAAATATTAGGCAGAAGGACCAGACTTCCTGGCATAATTTTAATCACTTATTCTATCATAAGTTGGCACTTGACACAAAGCTTGCAAAGATGACGTGGTTAATTATCCACACACACATGTATGAGTATTTGCTTGTGTGCGCACACTTGGCGGGGGGGCAGGGGTAATGTTTCAGTTATATCCAGTTTTGTTTCCCTTCCAAAAATTTGCCCTTTATAAGCTTAGTATGCCAAATTTAATTCTCATGCAGGTATGTGTCGTCTGAATTGGCAACAGATGTTACCATTAATGTTGGTGAAGTGAAGTTTTACCTTCACAAGGTACATAATTTTTTGGCATCTTAACTTTTGTCCTGTTAAGTACAAATAGTCATTATTTTATCTAATTGATCTAGTGATATGATGTGTAGGGTTACAAAATAATTTAGGTGCCTATTAAAGCACAAGCAAGTGGTAGTAATTTTGGGAACATAATTCAGTAGTACGAGCTTATAGAATCAAACTGTTTTAGTGTTTTTAACATTACTGGTTAAGTATGCAGTCTAAAATATGCAGTTTTGGGGAGACACAACTAGCTTTTCGCTTCCTCCCTTTGTTGTTTATTAATTTTGAGCTCTTATGAATTGCAGTTCCCTCTACTGTCTAAGAGCAGCCGCCTCCAGAAATTGGTATCACAAGCTAATGAAGAGAATTCTGATGATATTTACTTGGATGATTTCCCCGGAGGGCCTAAGGCCTTTGAAATATGTGCAAAATTCTGTTATGGAATGACTGTAACTCTCAATGCTTACAACGTTGTAGCTGCTCGTTGTGCTGCTGAGTACCTTAAGATGACTGAGGACGTTGATAGAGGAAACTTAGTTTTAAAGATTGAGGTGTTTCTCAACTCAAGTATCTTGCGTCGCTGGAAGGATTCTATAATTGTTCTCCAAACTTCTAAATCTCTTCTTCCATGGTCTGAGGATCTAAAGATCACTGGAAGATGCATAGATTCCATAGCTTCGAAAACTAGTGTAGACCCTGCATACATCACTTGGTCTTACACTTATAATAGGAAGCTAACTGAACCAGATAAAATTGTTGAGGACAAGTTGTCGTTTCTAGAGAAAATTGAGTCTGTTCCTAAGGATTGGTGGGTTGAAGATATATGTGAGCTGGACATTGATCTTTACAAACGAGTAATGGTTGCCGTGAAATCAAAGGGAAGAATGGATGGAGTAGTGATTGCAGAGGCTCTTAAAACCTATGCATTAAGATGGATACCTGATTCTGTTGATGCATTGGTTTCTGATGCCAATGCATCAAGGAACAAATCTGTGGTAGAGACAATAGTCTGTTTATTGCCATGTGATAATGTCGTGGGTTGTTTGTGTAGTTTCTTGCTGAAGCTTTTGAGAGTGGCCATACTAGTTGGAGCATGTGAGTCATCGAGAGAAGAATTGATGAAGAGCATTAGCCTAAAATTGCATGAAGCTTGTGTCAAAGATTTATTGATTCCAGCAAGGTCTCCCCAGATTACCACATATGATGTTCATTTGGTACAAGGTCTTCTGAATCGATACATGGATCATGAGATGGGAGGCTGCAGTGTAGAGGTTGCTGAGGACAAAGATAGAGGAAAAGAAAAGTATATTTTGGCACATAGATCCTTGTTGAATGTTGGCAAGTTGGTGGATGGTTATCTTGGAGAAATTGCGCATGATCCTAATCTCAGTCTCTCTAGTTTTGTTGATTTGTCACAATCAATTCCAAGTTTTGCAAGATCAGATCACAACGGTCTGTACAGAGCTATTGACATCTATTTGAAGGTAGAATTTTGTTTATGCTCCATAGTTTTATTGGCTATTCTTGCTGTGTTCTTACCATCTGATTATTGTGTCACTTACTTGTGGTTTAGAAGTAAATATAAAGCGTACGCTGCCAATATGAACTTTCAGTTGATTGCGACGCATTTTTCACTGTTTCTATCGTTATTGTCCTGGAGAAAATGACGTGTTTTGGATAACTTGACGGTTGGTGCTGTCACAATGTCCTGTTATTGTTATTTATTAATTTACATTTGATTTATTATTTTTTTTGTACTTTCTCATATGAATCCTTTTACACTGTTAAGATTCTGTAGCAGTTTCTACTGGCACACTAATCTACTACTACTTAATAGCTATATATTTTGTTATATAATGACTAGATAACTTTCCTCGAAATGGGAGGTTCCTCAGTTGAAATTTATTCTCAGCCTTTCATTGATATAATCAGAATGATTTCTCATGTTTTACATGCAGCCTTACCAAATTGATGACATTTATTTTACTATTTAACTTAATTCTTTTGTCTTCAGGAGCACCCAGACTTGACAAAAGCTGAAAGGAAGAAACTATGTGGACTAATGGATGTTCGGAAATTGACAGTAGATGCTTCCATGCATGCTGCACAGAATGAACGCCTTCCTCTTCGAGTTGTAGTACAAGTTCTCTTCTTTGATCAGGTCAGAGGTTCTGCCAGTTTTCATGCACTTGGTAACAACAATTCACTTGATCATCCTTCACACACACTGATGAATGGAGATGTGGAATGTGAGAAAACAGTGGAAGATAGCTGCCAATCCCTGAAGAACCATATGAGTCATTTGAGGATTAAAGATGAAGGGTTGCATAAAAATGGGAAACTGAGTAAGAAGAATAACAAAAACAGCAAAAGTGGCATTCAGTTGCTGCCGTCCCGATCGAGGAGAATCTTTGATAAGCTATGGAGTATGAGAAAAGGACAAGGAGAGAATAGGAGCTCCGAAACTTCAGCAAGTTCTGGTAGCCCATCTTCTTTTGGCCATGGAGATGGCAAATCATCTAGTTTATCTTTGAGACACCAGAGGCATTCTATCTCTTAAGGAGTTGGTAGATTATTGGAACAGGTGAGGGTGAGGGGGATTCAAATTTCTTTCTATCAAGTGTAAAGTGGTATTTGGCTGTTACAGTTATATTTGCATTTTGCTGTGCATGCACAGAATGAGGAAAAAGGTTCTTTAAAGCCTTGCATTAAATTGTTATGCAGTTTTTGTTGTGTGTCTTATGTAGGTATTTTGCTTTCATGTATAAGACCTTCCATAGTACAGAATGTTCACTGGGTCAGGGATATGTAGGTTCTGTTCGGACAACTTAATTGCAGCAAGAATTCATTGCTTTTTCTGCACATTCTTCTCATCTTAAAAAGGAATTGATCATTGCGAAGGGAAATGAGTTGGGTTAGGCTAAAGTTTAAGTTTCTAAGTCTAGTTTGTTTCTCAATTATAAAATTCGGTGTGACTTATTTATTTGGTGTAAAGTTTTAGTACTTTTGTAATATCTTTTCCCTTGTATACAACTTTCTTTCTTAGGTAACTGTTTTTTAATTCAAGATATTTTAAATTAGGAGAAAAAAAGGCAAAAAATAATATTTTGGTTCTCTAATTTTATTTTATGTTTGATTTGATCTCTTATTATTATTATTTTATTTCATTTTAATCTTTTAACTTTTAAATGCCAATCAAATAGGTCATTTTTTCATTATTATTTACGTTGAAGTATGTTAACTATTATTTTTGCTTTTTTCTCTTAGTTACTATCTTTCATAGTCATTTTCTTCAACTACCACACAACACAACCGACATAAATATCTTCAGCAAAAATCATATTAATAACTTTGAAATTTGTAATAGCAAAGTACTGTAACTAAAATTAATATTTTAAAGTAAAAAAAAATTATTATATCTATAGTTACTTTAAACATATTTACGCACAACCTGAACATGGCTGGCAACATCCAACAACGAAAAGGAATTCGGAAGAAGCATAACGTAAAAAAATGATACTTTATTATCATCATCTTTATTTTTATTATTTTTGCTTTGATAGTGTCTGGGCCTAGGCTTGCATTGGATTCAATTATAACGGATCCTCCAACTTTAAACAATAATATGAATCCGGCAATGGAGACAATGACAATTAATTAGCACTAATTAATAGGATTTCAGCAAAACCGTATATTCCAAGAATATTCTGTATGCTCGCGGCTCAAAATTTGCTTCACTTTGACTTTATCAAAAGTCAACTTAGATAGTAGTTGCATTGCAAATGGTTGAAATGAACAAGTTGTAATATAAATGCTAAATTTTTTTTGCCTTTTCTGTTATCTTAGTCACTAAAGGGCGTCGCTAAATCATGAGACACACTCCGAGGAGGAGTGTCCACTTTGTTCATTATATATTGTTGTTATTGTTAGTTAATGTTTGTGAATCAAAGTTATCCTCTTCCCACTGTAAAGCATGGCTAGTGCAATCCATCCCCACCAATATGCCCCACCTATCTCATGTTCCTGGTGTCCTCTCTACAGGTAAGTAATTGTAATAATAATAAAGTTTCTATTATTTGAATATCTGAAAATTGATGTCATATATGACTTCATATAATTGTTTCTATTTCTTGCTTTATATCTTTTTTAGATATATGCATTTGAAAAATACACTCTAAAATTCACTAGAAGTTGTTGAAGAAACATTTTGGATAACAACAATAGTAATAGTGATATATATATATATATATGCTGCTACTATACTCATTCATAATTGGGTTGTAGGGGATGTGCTTCAGTGGATGGCAGCAAACTCCACCAAGAGACTCCATATAATTGCTCAGTACTGGCAGCTGCTAGCTTCCCCCAATGATCCTCGCTCTGGAGATTATGGTTACTCTCAAAATCAGATGCACGAATTTGGTGCCAATCAAGGTGCTGCAGTTTATCAAGCATTAGATGATGCTGCTGACCGTGATGTTAGTATCAGGTGCGTTTCAATTTGGCTCACCGTGTTAATGTTTAATGGTTATTAGGGTTTGTTTTGAAGAGCTTGTGAACAACTTGTGCAAAACAGTTTATAACTTCTATAAGTTGTTTTTAGCTTATTTTAATAAATTTATCGGTATAACTTATTAAAATAAACTGTTTTTAATTTATCTCAATAAATTTCATTGTTAAATTTATAGCATAAATCATTATTTTAAAATAATTATTGAATAAGTGTTTAAATAAGTTGTGTATTTAAGTGCACCTTTAGACTTAAAATTTAATGGTGGATGATACCAGTTTGACAATCATTTAAAAAATCAATTAACTTAGAAATGGGGTTTGTTGAAGATGTATGCATGCTTGTGTTTATGATATATAGGCAAGGTAATAGCAACCTTTTGTTATGCTTTTTAAATGGAGATTGAGTGATGTAGGTTATTGTCCCACTCTGGAGTGTATCCAACATTTACCTTGGAGCCATCCAAACTTGCTTATGGAAGGCCAAATGTTGAGAATGTAACCTTGCTACTAAAAGATTGGTGGGGCTCGGGCATTGTCCATGCCAAAGTTTGGATATCAGATAGTAAGGATGTATATATTGGATCTGCAAACAATGACTGGAAATCCCTCACGCAAGTAATTTCATACCATCTTTTATTTTTACAACTTTACATTTTTATGTTTATAACTTCTCTTCATTTTACGCATCCTTTATCTGTTCAATACATGAAACTTGTCTCATTATTTATCACTTGCTGGCTCCAGGTCAAGGAACTTGGAATATATTTTTCTGGTTGTCCTGAAATAGCTAAAAAGGTTGAGGTATACTTCAACAATTTATGGACACTGGCATCTCTTAATTCTTCAGCATATACAAAAATAGTGTTAGATCAACAGTGGCAAGTTGAAAGAAAGGTTCCTTGCTGGTCACATTTCGTTGCTCCTAGAGAGAGGTGCATGTAAGTCCAGGCCTTGTGATAAAAATAAGTTTACTGTTTCTCTTCAAGAAATTCCTACTTGGTGTGATTTTCTACCTTGATTATATCATTTTCTATTGTTTCTTTGAAATTTCCCTAAAAAGTTCTAAAGATTTATGTTCTACAAAATTTCCTTCCAGACAATGGTTCACATGGGCATAAGGGCGTATGCTAACATAATTGTAACAGTTGGTCTTTATGTGGATTTTAAATGTGAAATAAAAGTTAGTCTTAGGCATGATCATGAACATGAGAGACTGGATACAACATGGTGAATGCTTTAGCAAACTTTAAAAAGCATGCACATGAACTTATTTAACTTTACATCAACAAGCATTAAGAATAGATGATAGTAAACTAGGCATCAGGAAAAATTATTCTTGCAGTTTGAATTTTATACTGTATTTAATTATGCATCCACAGGTCACCTCTTCCTCAATATTTGGAGACTCCTCATGTTGCAGGATATCCTATTCAGTCTGACCCTTATATGTTTGAAGCTTCAATTCAAACTCCAGGGAATAACTATTCAACAAATCTCTCCCAAGTCAGCTATCTCTCCTTTACACCCCCAGAGGTAACATTCATTTTTAGCAATTTTCTGGGTAATACACATCGTGGAACCTAGGCATCAGAAATGGGTTGACTTACAATTTTTTAATTGTGCTACTACCGCATGCTTGAGGATCAAATTGTGTTCAAATCTGCTGATAATTGCCTAGCATCATTAAGATTAGCAGAGAAATCTCTAAGCCATTATTTATGTTTCCAAATTCTTATGCGAACCAATCATGTTGTTTGAATCTGCAGAAACAGCTTCCTCACAGTCATGGTTCGTATGGTCCTTCATTTTTCCATTGCATCCCATGTAATGATGCATGTGAAACAGACTAGTCCTAGGATGTTCAGTGGATTAGTCATAAAAATTTGGTCCACCCTTTAAAATTGGTTTGGTTAAGATCTAAATCAGCAAATGTCTAAAAAGGTGAAAAACAAATCACCTTGCCTTGCTATTTTTTGTAATTTTGTTTTTAAGTTTCGCATAGACTACAAATATGGCTATAGTTTTGCAATCTTCACCTTACGAGTTATCTTTTGGGTTGAGTTAGGTTTTAGTCAAATTTAAGATGGTGTTAGAACTTATCGTACATTAGAGCTAGTTTTAAAGTAAATTGTAGTGCTTATACCCCAAAACCTGATGGGTGAAGCTTATGCAGCCATCCATCCACCTGATATAGAAGTGAGTCCAAGTTGTTGCCTTGTTGTCTGCAAGCATATGTGATGACTACTTTGCGTGGTACATAATAACATTGTGTCTTCGAAATTTAGAAATGTCCCTATTGCATTAGCTGAAATTTTTTGCTAATATTATTGTTTTTCAAAGAGAAAAGTATCTTATAGTAAGATTGCACTCTGATCTTGGACATGTAAAATTCCCAATCTTCATCTAGTATTATTGGTTGCTGCAGCTATCATTTGACAACTATCAAGCTGATGAACAGGCGTGGATAGACACAATTAAATCTGTTGGAATGAGGGAGACCGTTAGAATCAGTACCATGGACTGGCTGGGTCAGTCACAATTTATGGACCAAACAATTTACTGGTCATCCCTATCCTCTGCAATATCACAGGTAAGTTCCTAGTGTTCTGGCTTTCTGCGTTTCCTTCACTTGTTTGCTCTCTTTGTTTTTCCTCCTTTAAATTTTTATCTTTTCAGTAAACCATTAACACTAACAGACAGAGGCATCCTAAATTTCATAGAAGGCAAAGCATAGTATTTGATGAATTCATTCAATGTTGTCTGGTACCATTTTATGTCACCAGTGCCGCACTCTTTTCTCTCTAGTTGCCCTGCCACCTCACACATCTCAAATTGTTGGAAGCTTTGAAATTCATTTTTATCATATATGTTACATTTTCTTACAAAGTTGCACCAAACAGATTGTGTTTTCCAAGCATGCAACAGTGAAGTTATTGGTGGCATATTGGGCACACTCCATCAATAACACAGATGAGTACCTGAAGTCTCTCCTCTACACCAACAATCTATGCACTTCCTCAACATACAACAAATGTTCTGGGAAAGTTGAGATAAAATATTACGTGGTTCCAGGTTTCAACATGACAGGCCCTGCGATTCAGAGTGGAACTAGAACAGGAAATATATACCCGGATTTTACAAGAGTCAATCATGGAAAATATGCACTTAGTGATGTAAGGGCCCACATTGGGACCAGCAATCTTGTGTGGGACTACTTCTACACAACAGCAGGTGTCAGCTTTGGGACATACAACACTGCCGTTCTCTCTCAACTAACACAAATTTTTGATGCGGATTGGAACTCAACCTATGCTGTTCCATTTGAAGAGCTGGAGAGAGGTCATACACAAAGTTCAGTCTAATTGTTTTATATTTCTTCTTTCAAATGGCTGATATTCACCTCTAAAAAAATTAAAATAAATAAAGCCAATGTACGTTAAAATTAAAAGGGGGAAAATAGTTATTTGTTATTTAACAAAATTGCCATTTCTACTTTAATAAAGTAGAAAAATCTCGACGTAGAAAAAAGTTAAAATTTACTATACAAAGAGAATAAAGACATAGTACATGAACATGAAAATGTCAAGTGGCAACAACGAATCACTTTGGTGGTAATAATTTGTTAAAGAGATCAGTGGCTTTTTTGTTTTAGAATTAAATAAATTAATTTTGAATTATTAAATGTGGTTGAGATTTCTATCTAAAATAATCTCAAATATAAATTTTATATCAATGAAAACTAATAGAGACAATAAACATGCATAATGCCAATCTTGAAACTAAATCACTTATTTTGACATCTTTAACTAAAATTTATTAATCATTTCTACCGTGTGCTCACAAGCACGTTCATTTGATAGATAATGTAAAAAATAATAAAAATAAATAAAATATAATAAATTTATCTTAATCTTTCTTTATTATAGATTTTAACCTATAAAAAACTTTAGTTAAAAATAAATATTTTATTAAACATTAAACTTAATATATATATAAGTAATAGGACAAGATCTTTTTGCATAAATTTAAAAATTCTTGTATTCAAGTTAAACTTTTCATTTAACTTATATCTAATAATCAATGAAGTAATAAATTATTATCTGTTAAATATAAATTAAATAAAAGACTCAAAAAATATAAAAAAATTTAAATTTATATTACTGAAAAAAGATTATTTTTTCGTGTCTATATATATATATATATATATATATTCTTATTCAATTGTCATGTTTTATAATTTCTTATAATATCATATCCATCATACCGAAATATAAAAAATAGCATTTAAAAGAAGGGACAGGAAAGAGAAGGATAACTAGGTACGAGGTCACCGCGATTCAGTATGAGCTCTAATCCATTCGTGAATATTTTGATCTTTGGGACAGGAGCTTTTGAAGATAATGGAAATTCCTATTTAAAAAATTAAAAGGGAAAAAAGAGAAGTAACAACATTGAAGTCAAATTCAGGATATCATGCATTATTCCTAACTGGGATTCGAGGAAACATACACGAATCGAACCGATATCTACACTGTGTTCACAAAGCTTAGGGGAATGAACAGGAGAACAGACTAGTTACAAAGTGGTTCTCTAACAAAGTTGGGTTTCAAATTTAAGATTTATACCCATGCTAAAAAGCTCCTGGCATAATAATTTTGCTCCGTACGGGACATTGGCCACCACAATGTCATCAGCAGATTCACAGTGGCGGCAATAAGGCCCTCGTATTTTCCGGCCACCTGACACAGGCCGTAAGATCACATTTGCAGCATTTTTGCATTTGCTGCAGATGTGAATCTGAGAGGAATCACTAAGTGTAAAGAGGCGTTCATACAAGTTGGCTGATGCACCATGGGCTATCAAGCAATCACGCTCCATTTCTCCGAATTTGATACCTCCAAATCGTTTTCTATCAGCTACAGGCTGTCGGGTCAACGGGTGCACTGGACCAGTGTTCCTGAATTTCACTTTGTCTTCAGACATATGATGTAGACGTTGGTAAAACGTTGGCCCCATAAAAATGAGTGATCGGACCATCTCACCAGTCCTCCCATTGTATACCCTCTCATTTCCCCATCTTGAAAACCCAGCTCTGCCATATTCTCAAAAGGAACACTAGTAAGGGATAGTAAAGCAAGAAAAACAAAATACATGAAAACTTAAAAGAGAAATTAGGAAAAATAATTCTTCCTAATCTTAAAGCAGGACTAGAGCAAAGGCAAGAGACCCTTCTACAACTTGGAAGACATTATTGGCCAATTAAAAAAGTCATAGTCAGACAGCGAGCAAGAGCAGAAGTTGATTGCATATTCCTCCTCTAAAGAATGGTCCCACACCATATACATCACAAAGTAATGCAAACTGCATTTCAAGTAAACTGAACAACATGATCAAACTGTACCTGTGAAGTTGGTCAGTAATGGCGTCAATAGAAGGAGTGGAGAAAGGAGTAGCATGTCTCAGTGAACCACCACAAGCAATCCCCTTTCCTAAAGCTGCCTCTAGAAGTTGCCCAGGTGTTTGTCGTGAGGGAAATGCATGTGGATTAATGACAATATCCGGAACAATTCCTTGTCTTGTGAAAGGAAAATTTTCCTGAGACTCCAGAAATCCCAAAACACCCTTTTGTCCGTGCATACTGGAGAACTTGTCCCCAAGAACTGGACTTCGCACCTGCAATATTATTAAAATAAGAGAGTTTCCCCGTGATCAAATTCCATTTAACCAAAACAAAGTTAGCTTTTAGTTGTACAACATAAAACATCAATGTTCAGATGATGTACAGATTAGTACATTTCCATGCCCATCTCCAAATGCATGTATGAATGTACTGGTGCATGCAGTATGTTGGGTTCAGTGCACTAATTCTTAAAAGTCCATGCACAAGGCAATAAACATCTTCATTAATATAGTATTGGATTCCCCAGTTACCTGTCTTAATGAAACCACAGCAAAATTTTTTCCCTCATCATTTGAAGACAGCACAACCTTTTGAACATAACCCTTTTCAGTGTGTTTTAACTTTACACTATGGTCTGCTCCAGAATCAGCACCACGCCCAATAATAATATCACCACTTTGCAAGTTTGCCCCAACATATGGAAAGCCATCATCATCAAGGCTATCAACTCGACCAATTTTACTTTGTACCTTTCCAAAATTTACAATGTCTTCAGGTTTTCGCTTCTTCTCCGAAGATTCCTTATTTTCAATTTCGGCTTTGTAACTCCTTATGTGCTCAGATCTGAACATTCCACGCTGCAAAGAAGCACGGTTCATTACCAGGGAATCCTCTTGATTGTATCCCAGATGTACATTGACTGCCACAATTGCGTTCTGCCCATTATAGAATTCTGCCTTTGGAAGTATATTATCTTTTTTACCCAGTGGATATCCGGGTTGTCCTAGACAATCAGAAGTCATCGAATGAAAAAGGGGCTTTTGGGGATAGTGTAACTGGTGAGACAGAGTATCAACTCTAATGTCTGGGTTTGTTGTAGAAAAGCCAATAGCCTGTGAAGAGTGCTTCTGAGACTGGTAGAGTACTCTCCTAGCATGGTCATGATTAGCAAATGGTACAAGTGAACAGCTTAAACCCAATAAGAATGACATATCAAGCTCGCAGTGTGTGTACTTTACAGAACGTTTTCCCTCTTTTCCAAATAAATACTGGACACCCCAGGCCGTACAGCAGTCTTCCTCTTCTTCAGGTCCAATCAGCTCAATCGCACCATTATCCAATAGGGCCTCGAAAGAGTAACGCTCTGATTTAAACCCTTTAATTTTGAGTAGATTACAAACTACCAAAAGTGGACGTAGAATCCTTCCTGCATCAGAGAATATGCGCACTTCATGTTGAGATTGATCTCTCTTGATTTCCACCTACAACAGAAAATAGTTATCACTAGATTCAAAAGAAGATCAACCAACTCATACCAATATATTGCAAATGCTGCAGTATATATATATATAGAAGACGACTTTGGAAGAATGGTAGAAAACAACCTCATGCAAACAATAAAGTTCCCCAAACCTGATATGACAGCTAGCTATTGATGCATATATAAATAGAAAGACAACTGAAAATCCAATGGATAGACCAATCTTTGATAGAGGAAAGGGAAGCATAAATGACAAATTGATTCAGAAGTAGGATGACTGGAAACAATAACCTCACTCACTGAGGAAAGGAAATCCAGTTAATCCAATCGTGTGAAGCAAATGTAGTGTTTTCCATATGTTAGTCATTAACAATCATAATCCTCATAACAATACAAACCAAACTATAAAATTATTGGCCATTATGGACTAAGCTTCCAAATATTTAAGCCATAACTATATTATTTTATAGTTAATATATCATCTGCTCTGCAGGCTGACATGCCTTGAGCAGTTAAACCTGTCAACCTTTACTACATTTGACATCGTATGGCTCAAATTAAGTATAACAAAATCCATTTCCCGCAAGGCTGGATCCACAACAGGGCTCAAATGAAAAGAATGTTTCTATAAAACATAAACTACAACTGGTATAGCATGCAAAACTAACTTCAACTGGGAGATCAAAGCTGAACCTGATGAGGCAATTCGTTTCTTCTTCTTTTACTTCGTAGCTCTGCCACGAATGAACTGGAATCAGGACAAACCCCAACCCAATCCCCATTTAGGAAGACTTTGTCCTTGTTGCCAAGATAAGTGGAAGTATCATCTACAAGCTCTTCCATTCCACAATCAAACAATTGAGGCATTATAGATTCAGATATATCAGTGCTTACTAGTCCTGTGACAGCCAAATTTTTTACTAGTCCACAATTTTCACCATCCGGGGTAGAGAGAAAACAAACCTTGCCCCAGTGGGAAGGATGCCTGCAACCACAAACTTCCACTATAATAAATGAAAGCAAATAGAAAAGGGAAAAAAAAAAGAGCCATAGGGAGCTGAGATAGGCAACTATTTTAGTTGTCTAATACACCACCCACGCCATGACTGGAAAAGGAAAAATATATGTTCATAAAGAACTTAAGTAGACAAAAATTAAAGTGACATACGGGTATCTAGCATCCCCAACTTTTCCCGTATACTGAACCTGCTGTCTTGTTCTTCTTAGCTCGGCCATGGTTTGTAAGGGATTAGTGCGCCCAACATTTGCAACCACACCCGAGATCCTTTCCAACCTCTTATATGGATGTGACCATGCTCCAGTCGAAAATGCTCTTTGCAAACCATTTGTAATTATTGAAGCATCGAGATAGTGCTCAATAGGGCGTACATCACGATCTCCATAAAGGTCTCTCTGCAAAGCCTTTGCCATTCGCTTCCTAGCATGTGCAATGTGCACTTTTAGCTCGCGCTCAAGCAGCTCACTAGCCAATTCAAGCCTCTTATTTCGAAAATCATCCCTGTTATCACATTTTCTGCGGCCAGTATAAGCCAGTAAGAGACCCTTCACCATATACGCAAGGAAGCGTGCCTTTCTATTCAAGCCTCTAATGCCAGGAAAGACATATGTGCTAAGGCACTCGTCAATAGACTCTGAAGGTGGAAATTGGACACCTTTAACATGTTCCTCTAAATAATTAAGTGCGTTCCTCCCTTTCCGAAAGGCTTCAAATTTCTCATCAGCGTCACGAACGGATGCAGAGAGAATATTCTGAATTCTGGCATCATCATTGCCACAATCAATTAGATCTATAACCTCTTTGTCAGACGACAAACCAAGAGCAAAAAAGAGTATCCATACAGGAACCTCAACAGACAAAAAATATACAGTAAGTATTTTGTCTCCGTGCTTAACTTCTTCAATCCTGGAATTCCCTACCAGCTTAATGACCATCCTATTTCTCTTCATCTGTGACTTGCACGCAATCATCCAATATGGAGTACTTAAAACCCATAGCCTCTTTAAATAGAGTTGTTCCTGTGCAATAAAAGTCTGCAACAATTTTCCACATAAAACAAATTCATATCAGTAACCCAAAAAAAAAAAAAAGGAATATACCACAAAGACACAATAAGGATTAAAGACCTACAAAATCAAAACCCAAGAACACAAATACAGCCTAAAAATTGTCCCCCCCAAAAAGAAGACAAATACAACAACCAGGACAGAAAAGCATTAATTAAGCCAACCTTCTCAGCACCCTTGATCAAAAAGTAACCTCCATGGTCAAATTCACAATCATCCTTTTCAGCCCCTTTCATCCAACATAGATCAGACTTGACCATAACAGGCAACCTCCCAATAATGATTTCCCTATTATCCTCCTTGAGAACCTCTCTATCAAGATATTCCTCTTTACCCGTCTTAAATTTATCACTCCGAACCTTCTTTGGAACATACACCTAAAAAACAACACACACACAAGCCACACACTTCAAATCATCAGAAAATACACACAGAAATCCACATTGCACAAAAATCACCAGCACTCAAATTCTTCTTCTTTCTGACCTGAACTTGAACATTGATTTTCATTTTGGAAGAATAAGTCATCCTCTGAAGGCGAGCGTGCCTAGGAAGCATCTTAAACTCTTGAGCATTCCCTTCACCGCCCCAGAACTTAGGCTTATCGAGGGTTACCTTCCCGAACTTAACAGAAGCGTAACGGTAGTGTTCGTTGTCTCCTTTTTTGGAAGGATCGAATCCAGGCGTAACAATGAGGTCCCCGAAGGAATCGAAGGAACTCTGAAGGCCAGTGGAGATGAAATAGTTGTAGGAATTGATCTGGTGACTGATCAAACCGTATTGATCAAAGAACAACATCGAAGCCTTCTTGCAGAAATACCTAACCATATCTTCTCCCAACTCTTCGAGAATTTCAGCATTGGTGGGTTCGAGGTCGAGCTCGTCGTCGTCGATGTCCATGCCGTTTGTTCCAGGGTTTGTTCCAGCCATGGTTCCGTCCGTGCTGGAACCAACGTGACCCATTGCGTTCGATGATCAATGGGAAATTAGGGTTTTAGGTTAGGGTTCTGCAATCTGCAACTGGGAGAGTGTGAGTGGGAGTGGGAGTGGGAGTGGGAGTGGGAATGTGAATGTGACCGTGACTGAGAATGCAAACTGTTCAATTTCCATGAGGTTTATTTGTAGGGAGGGGTATATATGGTAATGTATCCACTCTGTACTATTGACTCTGTACTACTGACTTTGTCCTACGTTAGTTGAACTTCCAAATCTTGTCGCTCATCTGTTGAAGAATGAAATGGAAACCGAAAAGACGCATGTGTCCTCGCGCGGGGACTATTGGACCCTGGTTTAATTAATAGATGTAATAAGAGTTTCGATATTTGTCATTTTAATAATTAATTATATAAAATAAGCTTCAAGTTTAATTATATTTTTTAAAGAATATTAATTGTACATATTTAATTCTCATAATTATCTAAATTAATTCTCTTATCTTGAATTTTTATTTTTTTCATTAAATAATAAAAATATGACATAATACTAATGTGTACTACTTCTATTCTTATTTATTTGTCTATAAAGATAAAATATTTACATAGATTAAAACATTAAATCATTTTATTATAAATATTTGATTAATTCTTAATTTTTTTAGTGAAAAATGTTTTCTAATAATTCTAATAAAATATTCAAAATTTTAATAGTAGATTTTTTTAATCAATCATTTTAATATTTCTTAATTCAATCATTTTACTGTTTTCATTTTTAATTGAATAAGTTTGACCTATATGTATTGAAACTTAAATTTTAAAAAATATATTTTCTTTCTGACATTTCAATAAATGTTTCAATTTAAAGTATTTTTAAATAGATGTTATTTACTATTTAAGTCAAACATTTAATTCAACAAAGATTTTTGTATTGTCAAATTTAATTATAACAAAAATTTGTAAGTATAATTAAACTGATAGTAATATTTTTCAATAAAATTTATTAATATAAAAGGCATATATTTAATACACTCGCATATATTGCATTTAATAAATTGAAAAAATATGTTATATTCATTGATTATAAGACTTAATATTATGATGTAGACAAAATTATCGATTGAATTCAACACTCATTCTTTCAAATTAAAACAGTTTCCTAATAAAAAAAAATTATAATATCTTTAAACTTGTAAATATTATATTTTATGTCAATAATATACTTTTTAAAAATCATCTATATGGATGTCAATTAAATTAAGACCCAGTAAATATGTCTAGAAATGAAGTTGTAGGGTAAAAAAAGAGGAGTATTCTTTTATTTTTAATAAAAAATTTCTAATCTAATAATTTTATAAAATAAAAAATGATAGGTTAGCATATACCTTTATTTAGGTTTTACAAATTCATTCTTTGTATAATATTACACTCGTGTTGAGAACTGAAATCTTCAATTTTTCCTTTCTAAGCTGAATGCCAATTTCAAGCAAGAAAAAAAGATTGAAATCTAGTCTCAATTTGCAGAGTTGATTTGCAAGAATAAAACTATTTAATCCCTTCTTTGCATGATATTATGCGAATAGTTATACAAACATAAGAAATTAATAACAATAATTTGGCATAAACGACCACATAAGAAATTAATCATTTGAACACTGAAATGGCTTCAATGGAGGCGACGTAGTAAGTACTCGACTTCAACATTTTTAGTGAGGGGTATTATCCATTTCTGGTACAAGCCAGAAGCTACTGATGGATCAACCTTGTATTTGTTACTCTCTACATCACGATCAAGACTCACTTCTTGACCAAACACCATGGCCTTCTTCTCAACCCTCTTCACCACCATCTTTTCAACGCTTTCAGATGTCAACAATTTCGTCAATGCCTTTCTATCCTACAAAACCATAAACGTTTTGATTTTTACATATAGACCAAGAAGATTATTGTATGGACAAAATTTAATTATAATATCATAAGTCTTTTTACCTTATTTTCTAATTAAAATTAGAGTTTCATATTAGTAATAAATAAATGTCAACATTATAAGTCTGTATACATTATCAAAGTAAAATTTTAATCTTAATTAAAAAATAGTACCAATAGCATTTATACTGCACTTTATTCTTATAATATTTAAAAAATGATCATAGTATAAAAATAGAAAAATGATGCCAACACTCAACAAGCAACACCCACTATTTAGCAAAAATAAAATAATCTAATCTTGTTGACCTCAAAAGATAAAGATATAAAACTTAGCTAGTAAACTCTTCAGTCACTAGCCATTATGATGATTAAGAAGGAAAGCATTATATATACCCGAGCACGAATTAAAGGCTCATAATCTTTAGGAGATGCCCTGAATTTCGCCTCAGCTACAAACTTTCCGTAATGAATTCTTCTAGAGATGGCCTGCAGATATTTTATGGAATAAAGATAAACTGTTTCAAGTCATAACCAACAATAGTTTAGGCCAAAATAAAACTTGAAACCGCTTTGACTTGGAGTTGATTGCAAACACTGTCCTGCATAACTTCACCTATTAACATAAACATAAGATAATTTCCACTGGAAATTTTACCTGCAATAATGCAAGATCACTAGCTGCAGTTTGTGCATAGTTGCCATCATCACTGGAAGCTACAAACATTGGAAGCAGCTCATCAAAATACATTTTCCAAATAGACTTGTTTATGTTAATCAAAGCTCCTACAGGCTGCAAAAACTGAAGACAAATTTTAAATGGGATATTTTTTATCCATCTATGGATTGTGACAAACCATGCAACAATTATGCTGAATTACCTGTGAGAAGTTATAATGTGGCACCATCGAGGGTGGTAAATTATCTGGGAAGAAAGGATTTTCTTCAGGATTAATGTATCTACCTGCCTGTAACATACCATATCATCAAATCATGCATAATTAAAAGCGAAAAAGGAACATGCCACGGATCCCAACAACCAAAGCTTGTTAGCACAAATACTATGCTAAATATAAATAACTGATTTGAAATAATAATAATTAAAAGCCAAGTATCATAAGGTACAAAGCCAGTTGACAAGACTTCACTGTCCCAACGTCACTTGATAAATGTGGCAAGGCAAACACTTTTAATAAAGAAATTTGACATACCCAAATAAAACAAGATATGGAATTAAGGAGAGTAACTACCTTAGCTTGAATGGCCTCATTATTCTGAACAAGGAAGTCAAGCAATGAGGCATTAAAGTGGGGAATGGAAGTGTAATTTTGATGGTAGGTGGGAGAATTTATTGGGAACCTTGCTCTCTCAATCAAACCAAATATGATGGTGTCTTCTTGTCTAACCAAAGATGCTCTCGCTGAATCTAGTGTATATTCATTCTTGGACTTTGCTTTCACCATCTTGTAGCTATCATAACAAGTTGCAAACATAAGAAGCAGCATCAGGAACCGAAGCATCTTGTTGTTGTTTAAAGACTACAAAAATTACAAAACAAATGGAGGAGAACACTGAAATATATAGCAGGAAAGTAATGCCTTATATCAGTATCTCTGCTTAAGATGGCATGGCCAATTCAACGGTCAACGCTGCCAATTTGGGATCATAATAACTCCGTATCTCTATTTGTTTGGCATTAGAAAACGAAAAGTTACTGTATTATGGAAAAGTCAAAATTACCTTATGCATTTGTAATCTTTTGTGACTATTGGAATGGGATTGAACATAATTAAACTCTGCGGTTTTCCAAAAGGTAAAAAGAAGAGTAATATTATTCATATAACCACTTTTTATAGTCTTTCTCTACTATATTAAATAGAACAACTTATGTATTGTGTTTTAGGCGTTATTAGTGTTGTTTGTTAATTAAAATTACATTTTTATTCTAATAAAATATTTATATTTAATATTATCATAAATTATTAAGATAAAATTTTAATTTTAATAACTAAACAACCTCAATAGCACCTAAACAATTGTACCCAATATATGTCTTATTAATTATTGTCATTTTCACATTTTCTTTTTCTTTTAACTTTATCATCCTACTTATTTTTTTTCAATAATCTTTTCATTACTGTTAATTTTTAAAGATTTCCTACCATTTTATAAAATAAATATAAAAATTAAGATTTTTATTTAATAAGTAGAAGATTTTATTAAAAAAAGTAGAAAGTTTTTTTCATATACAAATCTATGTATTCATATAATTTATCGTATCGCATCAGGGTCCCAGACTGCACGAACCCCTCCTATCCTCCATACGTACAGTGAAGCTTTTGGTTGGTGTAGTGCTCACGTGAAAATGAAACGTTTCATTAATATGAACCATTTGAACGTGATAATATATTGAAACCTTTTTTGTTTGAAAAGGAAAAACGGCAGAAATCGTCGATGTGACTGCGGAATACTTCATCTGTGTTTTAGATCTGGATGGTTTCCAATTTAGGCAGGCCCTCTAGTTTATTTTTCAGTTAAGTGAAAATAAATTATTTTTGTTTAAAATTATGATAAAATAGCTTAAGCAAATTTTTATAAAATAAATAATTTAAGCAAAAAAAAAAAAAGTCTTAAACAAAAAATAAATAGAAAATTTTAATTTTTATTCAATCTTTTTTTTTTCTTTCTTAACTTAACATTTCTTCCTCAACCTCCATATTCAATTCATTTAACTTCCATATTCAACTTTATTCTTTTTCTTATACCTAACTCTTTTTTTTTTCTTAACTTTCTTTTCTTTCAACTTCGTACTTAACTCATCTTTTTCTCTTCTTATTCTCACCTCATTCAATATTTATCTCTCTCTTTTCTCCATACTCAATTCTTGGAGGAGAGAAGTTAAATATGAGGTTGAAAGAAAAGAGAGTTAGAAGGAAAAGAGAAGAATTAGGTATAAGAGAAATAAGAAAGTTAAATATGAAGGTTAAAGGAGTTGAATATGAAAGTTGAAGAAGAAATGTTAAGTTAAGGGAGAAAGAAAAAAAAATTGAGTAAAAATTAAAACTCTCTGTCTATTTTTAGCTTAAGCTTATTATTTTCTGTTTAAACCTTTTTTTGTGCTTAAACTATTCGTTTTATAAAAATTGACTCAAGTCATTTTGTCATAATTTTAAACAAAATTAACTCATTTTTGTTTAAGCAAATTTTTTCGTTTAAAATGAAAAATGAACTAAAGGTCCAATTTAGACAAAAATTGGAAACTATCCATATCCCTGTTTTTTCCTTCTTTTTGATGAATACTTCAAATTCAACTCATTTATTACATTTTATGGAGAAAGAATAAAACTTAAATGTAATTCTTTAAGTATTATTAGTATTGTTCATAATTAAAATATTTATTTTAATAATTTATGAGAAAATTAAATATAATTTTTTTTAAAACAATATTTTAATTTAAATTAATATATAACACCTAAAAAATAACACACAAATTTTACTTTTAGAGAAACAAAAAGAGTAGCATTTCCCAGATCTATTCTATTAGAAAAGAACAGAGTATGGTATTTTTTTTAGGGTTGATTAAAAATATACAAAACAGATGTGATAAGCTTTTTCTAACAAAATTGGAAGTTTGTCACGCGTAATTAAGACGTACATCATACTTAATTCTATTCTCTCATTGGTAATCATCAAAGCCATTGAAATCATCCTCCAACGCATTATTTACTCCAGAGGACTAAACAGAAAAATAGACCCAAAATAAAACAAAAAAGCAACAGCTCATTAAACTGCACTTGCTAATAACAACATTTTGGTAACTCAATCGACTACAGTCTTTCAAAAAAAGCTATCCTACAACCTGACTCAACTTCAAAACAATCTCAGGATCAAGTGGAAAAGTAAACCGAGAAGTTTCTGGAACATGTTGTGAGATAAGTCGTGCAGTGTCTTTCCACCAAGTAACCTCTATCTCTTTCTCAATAAGCTTTTGCGTGGTACATTCTAATGCAGACTCCAGCTCTGTTATCCGTTCTTGCAGTCTTGCCTCAAGCAATTCATGCAATCTTCTCTCCAGTTCAACTGGAGGGACACCAAATGATACATCAGAACTTGCTCCTTGAGGTTCCATTAAACTTGAACTGTGGCTTTTAGCTTGAGCATCCTTAACCGTTACCTGTCAATTCCCATTTTCAGCCATTTTGAAATATAACTAATAACCAAAAATGTAGTCATATAATTTTACTAACATGCAAAGAGGGGACAACTTAAAATCAGTTGCACAAGCAGACAATGAAAAGCAGCACATAGCCGCAAATTAACAATTGGAAATTTCGTAATTTGTGTCAGCCAAGAGTAGCCTCCTTTTCTAGAATCATCACTTGGTAGTAATAGGACTTCACAGTGAAGCTTCACCTAGATGTTGCATTTCAACTGATTGAGGAAACTATACCCACCCCAATTGGTATTTGAAAAGTTCATACATCTAACGATATCTGCCCAAAAGTAATTAAGAAATAGCAAACTCATACTCATACCAGATTCACATTGGACTAACCAAGTAATAGTTTCCTAAATGTATTATGGATATGTTGGTTGACTTGTCCTCAGAACAAATAACAGAAGAAAATGACTTAATTGGTTGAGTAATGCATGCATAAAATTGTTCATCGCTTATCGGAATCAGGAAAGGATATAATCAATAACAATCTACCTCAACATCGATTCTCTCTTGTTGGGCATCTTCAAATGCAGCTTCTCCATCCAAATACATCTGCAACCGTTGCAACTCAACCTCAAATTCTGCCTGTAGCTCATTTATTTCTTCAGCACATTCATCTTGTTCACTAATGTTACATTCTAGAAACCCATTATGGACCACATTCCCTTCTGACTCTGGTCGAATATATGGTGTGTGTGAATGAACAGAAAGATGACTATTAGAACTTGAAACTTCTTGAATATCAGTTATAGAAAAGGCAAGAGCATCACTATGTTTCAATGGCTTAAAAAGCGCATCTTTATTTTGCAGTTCCCCTTTCACATTTTGGAGAAGCATTTCCATTTCTTTCCGCAGTTCAACCATCTTGCCAACCTCATTTTTACTAGCTGCAATCAGATACAGCAAACCACAACCAACTCCAAGCTTAAAAGATGTATCATTCTCATGTAACAATCCTGCAGAACATCATCAACATTCAACAACATCATATAGTTAACTACAGAGACAAGAAAAAAATGAAAACTAATAGCCAGAAAAATTAGCAGAAGTGAAAATGTGGAGAGAAAGAAAGGAGGAAAGCCGGTGAACAGGTTAAACTCCTAGCATATTCAGATTGTGATGAATCAGAATCGCACAGTACTCCACAGACATTGAATCTACTACATGGTTAACCAGTTTTCAGAATCCAGCAAATCTAAACACTGTCCAGTATTAACACTACAAAGAACTTGCAATTCGAATATAGAAGTTACGTTTAAGACACTGGCGAAGCATAATTACGAATCACATAGGAATTAAGCACACGCAGTAACAGTTAGGTATCTTTTTTAATTGAAGTTAAGATTATGAAACTGGATAAACTAAATCAAATTGCGTAGAACCAGAGCTTCTCACTTGACTCGTCGCTACATTTTAGTTTATTCGTCAGCGTATCCGAATCACTAGCCTCGTTCTGCCGCCGTCGCAGAACTCGTAGTTCCTTGTTCGATCTCAGCGCCGCCAGCAACCAAGCGACAAGCCGCCGAGGGGAAAAGCAATTGGTAGACGGAGAACCGTGTTTCATCGGCGGCGTTTCTTGGACGGCGTCCATGCAATCGGCGGCGTCGTGGCCTTCGTCGGCCAGAAGAATATCGGCGACGCGCAAACGGCGGCGATGGGCGGAGTGGGAGTCGTTGAAGGGACGGAGAGATTTAAAGAAGAAGTATTTCATAGCATTAAATTCGATTATGATAATCATAATAAATAAATAAATAAATAAAATGGTGACGATAATGAGCGATTCAACTTCAGGAGAGCCTATTTTGGAATTTGGAGGGAAAACGTGGGTTCTTGCTTTTCTTCCCCCTCTTTCTCTCTCCTCTCTATATTCTATTTATTTAAAATGAAGATGAAGTTGGGATCATAATCACATTGATACCTACTTTTTATTTTAGAAATCTAAGAGTGTGGTGTGATAGAATTTGGAATTAGTGTGTTGAAAAAAAAGTACCCTTTCAACACCAACCCCAATTCAGGATTAAATTGAGCATGTTATTTGAAACCATAAAAGTGCCTACTTGGTTAAGAGCTAAACCTTGTGCATTGCTCCTACAACGTTATTGATCCCCAAAAAAAATGTAAAATGAATCAAATAAATAAGCTAATCGAGAATATTAAAAGAAAAAAGAACACGATGATTTGTGATACTTATTTGGATTGTATTGCATTAAATCTATGTTAATGTGTCGTTTACTATTCCTTCAACAAAACTCGGTTTTAATCTATTGTGTATGTATAAGGAAAATTAATTGCACTTTGATATTCAATACTATAATATTTATTAAATATTTATATAATTAACTTAAATAATATTATTAAACATTATACTTTTAATTATAATATATTTATTAGGTATGTGTTTTTTAAATTGTTATAATTTATTAGAATAAATTATTCCTAAATAAAAAAGTAATCATTAAAATTTTAATGTATAAAATTTTGTACTAAAAAGGTTTATTGTTTAGTAAAATTTATTTTATAAACATTTATTAAAAATAAAAAATCCCAAATATTTTTTTTTAAATAAAAGCTAGATAAAAAAATATAATATACTAAATGCATATTAATATAAATTTAAGTATTTAATTTTTTACATTTTAAAAAATTAATATAGAATCCTAATATATTGACAAAGTAATAAATAATATTTTTTATACTATCAATACGTTTTAATTAGATCCTTATCTTTATATTGTATTATATAAAAAATAAAAAAAAATCATCAAAAGAGATAAAATATTTTATTATCGAGAAAAATGAGAAATATACAATTTATATTAAAAATATTATTTATAATAAAGCATACAATAAAATATTTAGTTATAAATTAAATCCCCGTCAATATACGGATGTTGGTTTAAGTATGGGTAGTTTGGTCAGATTTAATCTATTTAAAATAAAAATATGTAAAATAACAAAGTGAGTATTCATGGTTGATTTGAGTTTTAATATTTATTATATATAACAAGATTTTAAATTTAATATTTAGTTAACGAAAATGTGCTATTGATGTATAATATAATAAGCGATGATCCTTTTTCTTGTGAAAAACATAATCTATTAACTATGTCATTTATATTTGTGTTGGTTGATGAAATCTTTATAGAAAGATATGAAATATAACCTTTATAAATATAATACTATTATCGTAAACTCTCCTTTATAATACTTGTTTTCGTTGGATGTTACAAGCATTTACATACGTCCAAAGTAATAAAACATGTGAATATTAAAAGAAGTAAATGAAACTTTAAAAAAAGTCAAATAAAAAAAAATGTGAAACCAATTATTGTGAGACACTTGGCTTGATTCGACTTATTGACCCTCAATTAATTAAAAAAAAGGTAAACTAATAAAATATTTTTTTAAAAGTAAATTAACCTATATATTTTTAATCTTTTAAAAATTTAAAATATATAACTTAATTTTATTTTAAAAAATTCATTTTTTTTATATAAATATTATATCTAAATTAAGTCATATCAAAGTTTGACCTATTCCCATTTTAATAATACAAAATTAAAAAAAAATTATTTTTAAAAGTAAAATATTTTAATAAATTAACCTAGAAGTACTATATTTCTATATTTAATTTGATAGTAATTAATATTCCCGTGACTTTTATTTACTGTTCGCTGCAGACATATGATACCGTATTGTGCAATAAGTGTCACAGCTACTTGTAAAATGCAAACAAATTTTGAAGTTAATTTGAAAAAATAATAAATTTTTATCAATTATTTTTTATTTTTTTTACTTTTGAACATTTAGAACACACACTTTATCAATTATTTATTATTTTTTTACTTTTAAACATTTAGAACACAAAGAAAAATATTTGAGTTTTAAGTTACAAAAATTGATTAATTTTATAAATTTATACCATTTAAAATAGAAGTTAATTAGCAAATTTTTATACAATTCAAACTAAAGAACTACAGTGCAATTGAAGCAAAAGTTTAGTCCAATTAGACAAAATTTTTAGAGAAATTTTTACAAAAAACAAATAAAATTTATTTAAAATTTAAAAGATAAATTACTTCTAAATCATAAGAAAAGTTTTATTAATTATAATTTATGCATTAAATCTACATTTATCGATCTTGTAATGTAAATTCAAACGTAGTGTAGAACATACACTACGCTAAAAATGAATTTTTGGAACGCTAACTTAAAAAGTGGTTAGTAAAACTGCTTTATAATTATATATTTAGAGAGTGGTTCTCTATTAACCGCTCTCTAAAGTCATTATTGGAGAGCAGTTAATAAAGAACCGTTCTCTAAAGTCATTAAAGTCGTTTATAAATGAAACACGCTTAACGCATATATTTCTTCTTCTTAACTAATAAAATTGGTCTCTTTTATTGTAAGTTCTATTCGTCTTCTCTACCTTCTTATGTTCTCTTCATCTTTTATGTTAGTCTGCTCTCTTCGTCTTCTCTTATTAACAAATTGATTTTTTTTTACATCTGTAGGTACCTCTTCATCCTGTTCTCTTCATCTTCTTTACGCTAACAAATATTTTTTTTTTCATATTTGTAAGTACTTCTTCATTCTCTGTTACTCTCTTCATATTTCTGCGCTAACAAATTATTTTTTTTCACGTCTGTAGGTACTTTTTTATTCTTTATTTCTTTTTTCTTCTCTTTGATAACGGTAAATCATCCATTCTCTTATTTTTTTTCTTTTTTTCTCTCTTTTAACATTAGAAATCATCCTATCAATTTGTTCTTCTTTTTTTTTTTTCTGTTTGATTCATGCAGATATAGATTGTTTGGTTAACACCAAATATATAAACTCAAGATTCAATTTTGATTTGTGATAAAAATGAAAAAAACTCACAAAGAAATCAATTTCAAATTTTAATTTAAACGTAATAATAAATTAATTTTACTTTGTAATAGAAAACTAAAAAAAATCAATTTCAAATTTCAGATTTGCAGTCTATATTTATACTTTAGAGAGCAGTTGTGTGAGAAACTGTTTTTCAATCTTAACTTTTGAGAGCTGTTGTTTAACCACTATCTTATATATAACATATCAGATAGCGCAAGATTTTAGAACAGTTTTAAACATTCTCTAATTTAAAATATAACTGCTTTCAGATCTTCATTCTGGTGTAGTGATAGATTACTTAACATCTGAAAATAGTCATTGAATCGCGATATATTAATTTTAATTATCAATTATAATGTTTTTGTTTTAGTTAAAATTGTCATTTTTTCGTAAATCTAAGAGGGCTTGGTTAGAATACATGCTGTTTATCTACTCATCCCTTTATTAACACATGATATCTAAAACTAGAAGTGTTTCTCCAGGTTTTATAAACTGCAAAGAGGTTGACATAAAAAAAAAGCCAATCTAATTTACTCTATCATTTAATAATAAAGAAGCATTTCTCATTTGACCCATCAATATTTCTATTTGATAAGAACTTTGAGATCCATACCACATCATTAGAAACTAATTGATAAAATACTTGAAAGAACCAAACCACACCGTAAGATACCAAATGATAAAAACCTTAGAAGAACTGTAGAACAAAAGTTAGCCATCATAATAGAAGAATATATGGCTTTATAAACTCTACTAGAATTCCATATACTTCATATGTTAAAATCAAATAATGCCTTACAATTTGATTCTCACACTATTTTAATTCTTCGGTTTCTTCAAACACATATTTGCTGAGTGGTGGAGGCTCTAGGCAAATGTGAATTCACTTCACTTCACTTCACACTTGGGATTCTGGAAGACCCAAATTCAGGTTGAGACCCAGTTGCTTACTCTCATTTTTGATGGAGTGAACAACTGCTTTAGCTAATGGTATGGTGAAGTCCGGTTCCTTGATTAGAGAACCAACATTTTCTTCAATTTTACTTTGGTTGCCACGGGCATTTTGTTGCTGCTTATGATCTTCACAAAGTCTTATATCTGTTTGAGCCCAACGACAAAGATTAAGGTCCATGTTCATCGTATCTTTGTTTTTAGGCATGATTGTCATGGGTAAATTATTAGCCATCACTGAGCTTTGGGGTGTAGAGGATGATGGCTGATGTAATTCACCAAAAACACCATGGTTGTGCGTTCCTTCGTAAGTTGCAACAAGAATAGACCTATCCAGTATGCTTCTTTGCACCTACCACATGCAATTGCAAAACGGTTTTAAATTTGACCACAATTTTGGTTCATCAACTTACGAATATATATACGCACATTAAACACCATGATAAAACAAAGGGGTTTGATAATCAATCAAATTTATTCATTATGAGACTTCAGACTTGTCTGCTAAATATTTCACTTCTTGATCAGTCACACACACACACACAAATGATAATCAATCAAATATAAATACCCTTTTTTTGACGGGGCAACTGGGAGCCATGGAGCATTTGTAATAAGCTCGAGGAGAAGCATTGTCTTTGGTAACCTTCTGTCCATACTTCTTCCACTGATACCCATCTTTAACAGTCTAAATTATCAAAGTAAAATTTGTGTAAATGTATATGAAGTTCAAGATAGAATTTGAACATCAATTAATTAATGGCCATACCAAACTATTATCCTCGGGGTGGGTTCTGACAAAGATTTGTGATAGCTTTTGTGCTTGGGAAAACTCGGGTATTGCTCTATAGTGTGTGTCCAAGTAAGATCCTATTCCACTTTGGTTTGACTTCATGATACCCACTTGTGCTGCATTATTGATCTCTTTAAGATGAGACTGAAGCTTTTCGCATTTGCTGTTCAGAGCTTCCAGCATCAGTCTAAGAGTACGGTTCTCCTCTTTCACATGTTGCAGCTTCGCTTCAAACATTTCCTCCTGAACAAATTACAATTATTATAATCTTATAAAATGAGTGCACAATTTCATCCTTAAAGGTGGTCATGAGGTTTCATATTCAATATAAGCAAAACATAGCCATGAAGTACATATTTGGAAATACGCTAGAACAACTAAAGACATAAATCTAACATAAAAACTGCAACTAACAACGTTAAAATAACAATACTAAAAGTTGATTTACCTTTACCTTTAGCCTTTCATCCATTATGGCACCTAGGTTGAAGTTGAATGAGATTCAATATATTAATTATCACAGCTAGAACAATCTGTGTACTTATTCTTAATTACTTGAAAGGGTGGGAGACCCTGTATATATATGTTATTCGAATGGAATATAAAGGATAAAAGGTGACGGAGAATTTCAACTTATACATAAGTGGATGATGGAGTTTTTGGCTGTTAATGAGTATCTTAAATTGTTCTTTGTATTCACCCACGTGAAAAGGGAGCTGCACGGGTTGAATCTAACATCTTAGTTCTTTTCAGTGATAACCGTTCAATTCAACGCCACGTGTTGAGCAAAACCCTATTGATGTGATACACAATTAGAAATAGAATTATTAGTTTGAACAATCTTTTCTAATTTTACAACGTATTGAGGATGATGTCATCTTCGATGACATAGACGCAGCTAGCACTTCCATTTTGGAACCAAAGTTACTTTGCTAACTTTAATTTTTTGCAATTTCGTCACTACGCGAACCCGTGTCCTTAGCTCAAAAGCCAGGAAAAACAAAACATTATCGTGTTTTTGCTTTGTTTATTTTTTTATTTTTAGTGGATATATTGTTATTACTACTACTACTAAAGTATTTGTTAAAATTTTGTAAATAAAATTTAGTAATTTTATATTTTTTTTTATAAGCTCCTAAATATAAAAAACAAGAAAAAAAAGTTATAACATTTTTATAATTTTAATAAAACCTATAGATGATGAAATAAAATAAAATACAAATTAAATTTATCCTTAGAATTTGAGATAAATATTAAAAATTATTAACAACAAAGTTTTTAACACTTTCCTAACATATTATTTATTATTGTCTAAAAATTTATCTGAACTCACAAAATTGATAGTTAAGTTTATTAAAAAGTATGAGACTTATGTTATTTTGTAATCTAAATAAATTTTAATCTATAATAAAGTGTGTATTAACAAAATGTGTTAGAAAATATACTCTTACACAACATAATTAATAGATGGTGGATTTCTTCAAACATTTTATGAAAACTTAATTTATAACATTTTGTTAAGAGAAGTTATCCTTACTTTTGTGATCTTTTTACTTCGAAAGAGAGAAACATATTACTAGCTTTTCTTGATATGTATTTTTCTGATAATTATTTTACAAAAATATTAAAATAACTAAAAATTGCATTCTTTTTTTTAAAGATTCCAATATATATGATAGATTTGAATGTTATACCTCGTAAAACCTATTATTTAAAAGTTTTTAAAGGTAAAATGAGTCATGATTCCAACAAGCCTGTTTAGTGATCAATCGATGATTTGTGTATTAAATTTAACTATACAGTAGATTGTGTGCATAAGAAAACTGTACAATGATCAATATATTTTTATATAACCAAAACACAATATATACTTAATTATGAATTTTACGATATTGATTTGATAAGAAATTTACATAATTTACAACGATGACAAATTTAATTTAAATCCATAAATTGTATAATATAAATGATTCTGCCATGTACTTTGACTTTTGAGATAATCATTGGTTTGGAGTTCGTGTTAAGAAGATAAGGGGGTTTGAATTACACTCCTCGTGTTAAAAAAAGTATATACGAGAAGAGCATATTCCAAAAAGACTTAATTTATTAAAGAGTTTGGTGTATAATAAAACATCAATCATTATAATTTAAATTTAAATATATTTTTAACTTATTATCATCACTCAAATGATATCGATAAATATTGGAGGATAGGACACCTCCAACCCTCCACTAACTCTCACACATCATATTCATTGACCAACCAAGCGGGACATGGTTCACCCTAATTTATCTATAAAATCTTAGGATATGCTAATACTACCAAATATAGCAAGGAAGTGAAAGGTGCCTTATTCATAATCAAAAACTAATTCAGAACAAAACATACATTGCAGCAGACGTTAAAGCTGCACATTCATGCAAGTCAAAGCAATAATGCGACTTTGATTTGAAGATGAAGTGTTAAAGCTGCACATTCATGCAAGCCAAAGCAAGAGTGCCACTTTGATTTGAACTTTAAGTTCTTAATGGTCCCAGCAGGTCAATGTGTGTGTAGGGTTCACCTGCAATATTGCATCGCACGCGCATTTTACTTGGTCTCAGATCACTCTTTGAACAAAATAAATATTTCTTGACCCAAAATAAAGTAAAATAAATACTTAATTGCATTTTTTTTTCATCTCTACAATTAGTTTGTTTCGATTTTTTTTAGCTAATTAAGTTTTTTTACTTTTAAAATTGCATAAATTTAGTTCTTTATTGATCTTTTTTTCGTAAAACTCTTAAATTATAGTTTTTACTCAAAATATTTGCAAAATAAATTGATTAATTTTAAAATTATTAACTAATTAAAATATTAAATTTTACTCAATAAATAAAAGAAATTTTGATTTTCATATACAAAGAATTTAATTGAAATATAATAAAATTTTACAATGTCAATTTATTAAAAATTATTTTGAACATGATTGTTATTATAATTTCTAATTCTTAATCAAGAACGCTTTCAAAATAAATCAAGAGTGTTTTAAAAGATTAAAAGCTTGTTTGTTTTTTGTTTTTAAAAATAATTTTTTTGAAAGTAAAAAATAAAACTTATTTATTAACATGAGTTCTTAAAAACTATTTTTAAAAATAATCTTTTATAATTATTTTTTTAGCATAATACATAATAAAATTTGCATGAACTTATTAGTTTTAAAGATTAAACTAATAAATAAGTTTTCTTTTTTATTTTTTAAAATGCAATTTTAAAAAAAAAATTTACATAATAAATTTATTAAAAAATATTTCTAACATGACTTTTAAAACAATCAACTTATATATATTTTATGATTTCTAATTCTTAAGCAATAACACTTTCAAAAGAAATCAAGAATGTTTTAGAAGATTAAGAGATTGTTTATTTCGTTATGGGTTTTCAAGTTTTAAAAATTAATTTTTAAAATAAAAATAAAACTTATGTTAATGAATAAATTTGTTTGTTTTTTAAAAATAGAAAAAAATAAGTTCTAACTTTTACACTATGTCAAGTGACTTTTTTATATTTTATATTAATATTAATTTGAATGTTGAAAAAAATTTATATATAATTTATGAATATGAATTATAAAACACAAAATTTTTTAGGCATTAATTTTTTTTATTATGACTAGTATTTTTTTCATATTATATATTTATTTTTAAATTTATTTATAATTTATTATTGATAATTTTAGTATTCACTTTTGTTAAAAAATATTAATTTAAAAATAATAATACAATACATTTTAATTTAATGATAAGGTCAACCTTTTCATTTATGTGATAATTTATGGTCAAATACATAAGAAATATTTAATTACACTACCAGTATGTTTTATTAAGTTTTTGTTATATTTATCTCTCATTTTTGTTTTTTTTTTCTTTAAATTTTTTTTTCATTTCTTATACAATAAAATCAAATAGGTTGAAGACTCATCATTACCCAAACAAAAAGGTGGCTTAAAAACATAAAAAGATAATTTGTCAATAATTGTATGAAGAGACAAAAAATAATTGTTTTAAAGTAAGTAGAAGATGAACTTAATTTTTATAAAGAAAAAAAAAAGAGGGGGGGAATTCAAAGTATAAAAAGTTAGTCAATTACGAATACTGCTTGCTATTTGGTACGGCACTAATTGCTTTGGACCATCCCAATGATGGGTGGCGTAGTGCACATATATGTGGATACCTTTTTTTCAGTGTACGAAGGGGATGAGTTCTGTGGTGTGTCTTAATTGCATAATGATGATATTTTACATTCTTTCCTAGAATGTATGAAATAGATATCAAATATTGAGATATGATGAATGATGTGGTAACAAAAATAAATATAAAAATACTATTTTTAATAACTATTATATTTTATCCAATTTTTATATATTTTTTAGTTTCTTATTATTTTTTATTATATCATTAGATTAAATTAATTTTTAAGTCTCTATGATTTTTTTTATCCTCGTGAATTCTTACAATTTTGAATTTTTTAATTGAATCCTTAACAATTAACATTACTGTATATTTGCTAAGTATCAATGATTTTATTTTATTTTTTGTTTTTAGTATCAATGATTTTTATCCTTGTATAACGTAGTAACTTATATATATATAATTATCTTTTATAAATATTTTTAAGATTTTAAATCATATTATTTCAAAGAGTTATCTTTAATCTTTAATTATTATTACTATATTTGGAATTTGTATATTATTTAAAACTGTTTAAAATAAAAAAATTAAATATCTTTTATTGATTTAATATGATAAATAATTTATATAAAGTTAGTATAAAATCTTTAATACGTAATGAAAGAAGTTAGACTTTAAATTTAATATTGTTGTAAAAAAAATATTTAAGAGTTTTCAAAATTTTATGACTAATTCGAAATCTCTTTTTGTATGCTTTCTAATTCATCACCTAGTAAGAATGGAATTTAAGAGTTTTAGAAAAATACTGATAAAAAAAATTAATAAATAAGAAATATCATGTCACTGATATTTAAAGGAGATATAATAATATTAATTGTTAACAAGTAATTAAAAGTAATTATAGAGGCAAACAAATTATTTTAACCTGTCATTTATTGTATTTTAATTATTTTTATATTATTTCTTACTCTTCCACCCAAATTAATTGAATGGATGTAAATGAAACATTTTCACATTCTTAATTGGACTCAAAGAATGCAAAAATGTTATCCTGTTGGCATGGGGAAGGGATGAAACTTGGGTAACAAGTTAGTCTAAAACAAAAGCATGCCCATATCAACTGTGATGAAACTTTATGTAAATCACTCAAAAATAAGAGACGAGAGGGAAGAATGGTTAACCAATCACATCAACAATTTGCATAGCAGTAAATTTCCTTTTGCTTCAGCCATGAATTTTCGATTAAAAAAAACAACTTTAAACGAGAATCTGGAAATTGAAGATAAATCTAGCATTAAAAGTTAAAATTACAGCAAAATTTAAATTAGACAAGGGTGTGTATATATATTCTTCTTCACTTACTTAGTTTATTTTACTATCATTTAAATTAAATAAAAAATTCAGATTAAATATAAAAATTAATTTACATTAAAAAAATTATATATCTTAAAAGAAATTTCTCTCTATGTTCATTTTCTTGACGGTGTATTATTTATGTTTTTGTTGAAATTTGTGATTGAATTAAGCCACTTCTCTCTTGTAATTTTTTTTAATTAATTTTAGTATAAGGGGCTCGAATGCTTTTGTTGGGTCAAATTAGGAGAGCTGAAATATTTTTACTGCTGTTCTCTCTTTTTCCAAAATAAACAAACAACATATAAATAAAATAAATGTTTTCTTTTTTAAATATGAAATATTATTCATATATTTGTGTTGAGTTTAATTATTCATAAATTTAGAGCTGTTAAAAATTTGGCTCAATTCTAATCCTAGCCCTAGCCCATGTAGGTTAGGATAAAAAAGTCCTAATTGATAAGTCTATAGGGCTAAAAGCACGCAGGGCTAGGATTAGGGTTAAGATTTTATGGGCCAAAAAAAATTATACATTCATAAAAAATTAAATTTAAAAAAAATTGATATAAATTGTGATAATTATTAGAATATCTAATAAAAATATTTATTTCATAGAACTTTTTATTATAAACTTGTAGTCCAATAAAATTACTTAAAAAATGAAAAATAAAATTTATATAATAATAAATATTTATAATGATTATTGTTATTAAATAAAATTAATAAAAATAAAGATTATTATATAATTTTAATAATTTAATTAAATTAAAAATAATATCTCATGGTTATCTTGTTCATTTTAATATGTAAGGAGTTATGTTCTTAATTATGTCTCAACCTTAATCATATACAGCATTGAGTAATATTCTCACATACATATATATATATACAGCATTGAAAGTAATATTCTCACATATATATATATATATGTACATATATATAGATGTACATACATACATTAAAAATATAATCTTTAATTATATTTATATATTGATAAATATTAATTAGATTATACGTTAAAAACTTTTTTTCTCCTTTCTATTAGCATATGGTTTTTGTTTACTATACCTTAAAAGTCCTTTTTTTTTACTTCCATAATTTTTTTAAGGTCAAAGTGTTTGTTAATATTAAATGTTAAATTTAAAAATTTACGGCTTAACAATTTGTTATAAAACATGAAATTGATTAATTTAATTGTTAACTTAAAATTTTTATAAGTAAATTAAATTTATAAAATTTTATGTATAAATAAAATTAATAATACTTTATTATATTAATTTATTTTAACAAATATTGTATTTTTTAAATATAAATAAATATCAAAATAACAAACTAAAAAATGTTTAAATTATATGAATATGAAATTATTATAAAATAAGTCAATAGTTAATTTAGTCAATCTTGTATTTTATAAAATATTATTAAAATATAAGTATTTATGCGTTAATAAATCTCAACTTATTTCTTAAAATTAATTTTTTTGTTAAAATTTAATTTTATCAGTAAATAAATATTAATAAATTTATAATTTGACATAAATTATGATTTTAAAAAAATATTAAATAAATATTCAATTAATTTATGTATTTCATTATATAAAAAAAAGTATATATCAACATGCACTTAAGTTCAAAGGGTAAGTTTATTTATCCGGCTAAAATATATACATTGTTGGGTTTATTAATTTTGAGTCTAATTGAATTTTGACCCAACACAAACACATTTAATATATAGTTGGCTTGAGATGCACCAACATGCACATTTAGTTATTTAAAAGGAATAATTTAATTTAATTTTATAATATAATTATATTTGATATTATTTTTATGATAAAATTTTAATATATTAAATAAAAAGTTATTTTAAAATTATTTTTTATATTTTAAATATAATTTTTAATTTATTTAAATAAAATAATTTAATAAATATTATAAAATAATAATATAATAATTATTACTTATTTTATAAAATAAGTGAGTAGACCACTCTAACTCTGATCTTAGTCCACTATTTTTTTTATTTTAGAGCTTAGAGCTAATATAAATTTACTAATTATAGAACTTTAAAAAAAATAGGGCTATATAAAAGATCAATAGAATAAGGCTTAGACTTTGACCTTTTTTTACAGCTCTACAAAAATTGATGTCCTCAACGGTGATTGTGATACAGATAAATAATAGAATTACGAGAACAATGAATAAGTTTTGAAAAATAAATTACGATAAAATATTATTTATAATTTTTTAAATTTTAATTAAAATAATCGTTAAAAGAAGATAAGTTAATATAGTCTTCGAAACTAAGAATACAGAGAAAGAGTGAATCATAATTTTAACTGGTTTTTTTAAAAAAATTTCTTTAATGATGTAATATAATTAGACTCATTGGACTTAAACTTGAGATTAAACTGAATCAATTTTTTATCAGTTGATATACGTGTATATTGGTATTTATTTTTTATCCAAAAATAATTATAAAAATTAAGTTTATTACTTGAACAATTAAATATTAATATTATATAATTATTTTTATCTTTCCTATATATATGTATTTACATCTCAAATATATTAAAAACTTCAAGGACCCAAAAGTTGTGAAAAAATATGTATCTTGTAAAGGATATCTTAAAAATGCATTATGTGGTTGGTAGAAACTTTTAAGCTGCATAAAATCATGAGCAATTAGTCAGTGTTCCACTTTGTAAGATACAAGAAAATAAGTTACTTTCTTTTTTGTCAAAATAAATTAGTTAATTAAGTTGCTTTATGATCTGCTTTCTTTTGTTTAACGACAGCAAAATCTAATCGTGTCTCTGCTTTAACATTATTATAATTTGATTTTATTGACCATAACAATGCAACCTTTAAATTATTCGGTGTGGCAATTTGTGTATTATATATATTTAATGGAATCTGAATCTGTATTATAACTTCACACTATCAAGTTCAATATATTTATTTTAAGTTTTAATTTTATTAATTTGTATGCACACAGTTCAAAAATATATGTCAAAATAAAAAAAAGCATTTTATCAAAGTAAAATAAAATAAATAACGTTTTGTCGTCCTAAATTTGTACTTAAAAACATTTTCTTATCCAGCATTGCTCTTTTCAGTCTAGGATTCTTTGTAGAACCAAGGCAGCCAGGTTGTAGCAACCTGCAACCATTTATTAGGACTTCTTGGAGTGTAATTTCCAGTCGGTCAATGAACTTCATCATAATTTTTTGCATTTATTAAAAAGAGAAACAGAAAGAGAAAAAATAAAAAATATGAGATAAATAATTAATATAATAGAGAGAGAAATAGTGTTATAAAAATACTATATAAATGACATGACTCTTGTAAATATAGCTTCATCTCCTTTAAAATCACTAGTCGGCTACTCTTTGAAGTTTGTAAAATTTGAAATTGTATAGTGCTTTTATTTTCTTTTTGTTATAATAGTGTTTTATTTTTATTATTATAGCATCATATTTATATAATATGGAATATTGCTGAATATGTTTTTTAATATCTATAAATATATTATATGATGTTCGTATCTTAGTTTTTTTAAAAGATAAGTACTTCTTGCACAGAATGTTTTCACACTAATCCTCATAATTGATTGAAAAGTGAATTTAATTAAAGAGAGTACGGTTAAATTATATGTATTTATCTTATTTTATTACTTCAAAAGGAAGTAACACGCGAGAATAGCCCGTGTAAAAAAATAGAAAAATAGTAATTTCAGTTATTAAAATTAAATTTAAACACTTAAAAGTAGTATATTTTTATAAAAAGAATATTTATCACACTTTTATAATTTTAATATAATAAATAAATATATACAATATCTCAATAAAGCATTTATTCGTACGATATAAATATTACCGGACAATGACATGCTCATGATCATTCTCATGCTGTTTATAATATTAATAACTAAGCAAAATAACAAAATTCAGTGTAATACATATGTTAATTATTCAAGGCTTTCCCGTAGAAGCATGGTCTAGAATTCTTCCTGAGATGGCATTAGCAAGAGCTGCTGTAAAATTAGGATCTCTTGTCAAAGAAGTAGCCATTTGTTGAACTATAAACTTCTGGATAGATGACTTTTGAGCATTGATGTCAACCAATTTTGACTGGACCAAGTCAAGCGTTACGGTTGGACCTGTATTCCGATTCATTGGAGAGGGTAAGGGTGATGAAGAGGGAACTGAAACTGAACACGTTTCACTTTGGCTTGAACTCACTGATATTTCTGCTTGCTGAAGTGCATGGTTGTGTTCCCCTTCGTAAGTTGTCACCAATATAGTTGGGTCTTCTACACTTCTTTGCACCTAATAACATACGGTATAAAAGGATATCAAATTTTGGCCTTGTTAATTTCTTAATGCCTAAATCTTAATCAAGACTCAAAATAGTTAATGTTTGATTAATATAAAGAGATTGGTACTACACCACTAATCTTAATTACCTTCTTCTTCACTGGGCAGCTTGGGGCATACGAGCACTTGAAGTAAGCCCTAGGAGAAGGGTTATCTCTGGTTACTTTCTGACCATATTTTCTCCACTGATATCCATCCCTCACATACTTCAATACCCATAAAAAGATTAAACATCCTCAGTTAGTACTTTGTGCCTGCAAAAGTTTACTTGTAATATATATACCCCCAAAAACTATACCATCACATAACATTGATCATCAAATTACGGGTCAATGGTATTTTTACAGATTGAAATTCTTGATGGCATACGCCAGCTATTGTCAATGTGTTTATAAGATCAGATCATGTTGAAAAAATAAACTCCAAAAGTTAACAACTTAACAATATATTGATTGCACAATTTAAAAAAAAAGACTAATTCAGTCATATTATACTAGCCCACGTGGGATATATATCTTAACAGTGCAACTCAAACTTGTTAGTATATAATCAACCCAAATCATAACAGTAGCAGATGGATCTTAAAACACCAAATACAATTACTATGTATAGTAATAATTAACTTGATACTTAAGAACTTACTAAGCTAGTATCAGATGCATCCGTCCGTACAAAAACTTTAGAAACCTTTGGCGAAGTGTTATGCTTGGGCCTCTTGAAATGTTCTTCCTCAGTAGTAGTGCTGCACTCTGCATAGGCGTTAATACCAAACAGATTTACACAATTCTCACTCTCGACCTTTCTTTTCATCGATGGTGTCGCTTCTTTTTCAAAATTGGTGTCCCTCAGTTGGCTGAATTGATTGAAATGCTTTTGCAAAGCAAGATAGTTCTCACACATCTGGTTCAGCGTTTCAGTTAACCACTTGTTCTCACTACTTAGACGCTGCAACTCTTCGATCATAACCTCCGCCTGACAAAAAAAAAATCAATGTTATTATATATATGCATTTTAGCAATTCAGTGACATGAGAGAAAAACAAGGTATCTAATATTACATATAATTATTTAATATATATATATATATACACGTATCTGAAAAATACTTTCTAGCTAGAACACAAAGAGACATGCTTTAGTATCGCTTCCTAGATGTAGAACAAACATTTCTCTTATATATAATATGCTTAATTAGGTCTAGACCAAATCGAAGAAAAAAGATTTAAACGTTGGCGTTATATATGTATACATACTAACCGCAACGTCCATGTGAGTAGAAGGAATAACGTTAAGGTTGAGAGAAGTGTCGACGCATGTTGTTTCCATAGAAGAATGATTTGCTTCTGACTTACACGACAGAAGGAATGAGAGAAACTAAATTCGTTGGTTGAGGCTAATCAAAGCGAGTGAAGAGATAGTTTAATATATTTTGGATTAAAACGAATGAGATGAAACCTAGCAGGTGACATATATATATATATATAGAAAGAAAGAAATCAGAAAAGAGTTGAGACTTTCATTATTATTTGTTAGGAAAGCAGCACGAAAATGCGGGCGAGAAAACAGTTTCATATTCACTGTCGTCATTTCCGGGTTGTCTATAGTTTATTTATTTCGAGTATGCATTTAAGAAACGGACGCGCATTCGACACAGAAAAAAGACAAACAAAATTATACATATGTTTTAACACCATTTTTTTTAACGTGAGTGGTGAGGACACATATTAAAAAAAATTAATAAATAACATTTTTTATAAAAAAAAAAAAGGTATTTCACATTATTAAAACAGTAAATTTTGTCATATGATGTAGTTTTTAATTAAAAAAAAACTATTATATATAAATTTTTATTGTATCGTGTATTTTCAACTTAATAATTTTTTGACCATTATATTTTACATGACAACTAATATATATTTTTATTTTTTTACTAAAGATATTATAAATACACTTTAAAATAAAAACAAAAAATATATTTTTCTTAGATATAATATATATTCTATTCACATACAATGAGTTCTATTATTGATTTATCAATACTTTGTAAAGTTTGTTAAAGGAATGTGAATGCTAATTTTAAATATTTTTCTAATTTTTTTAAGAATAATTTTATTTAAATACACTAACTATATAAAGATTTTTAATATTATTATTTAATTAAAGATTATTATATCAAGAATAAATATTAATTTATATAATAATTAATATAAAAACCATATCTTCGATTTATTTAATTGATTGATAACGTAAAAATTTGTACAGTAACAGTTCACTGAAATTAAACTATTTTTAACAGTATAACTAATTTTAAAATAAAAAGTTCTTATAAAATAATAAATGTATCATATAAATATTTTAACTTTGAAAAAAAAACCACAATAAATATGTTTTAAGTATATATGGTAAATAATATTCTTTAAAAATAGCATATGATAATTATTTTAAAGCAGAATTCAAGAGCAGGCACAATTCATATGTGTCTATATATGTGGATGAAAGGTTTCCTATAAAAATATCAACGTCCTCACAGAAGAAAAAGAAATCTTTACTTGAAGGAAAGCATGAACAAGATTTTCACCCAATGGTCAATCTCATATTTTGATATAAAGAAAAAGGCAAGTGGATGGTTTAGGTCTTTAGGATTTGGATTTTTCCCATTGACTGAAACTTTATCTCATTGACTTGGGTGGATGCATTAATGAGTGGTTGCGTTTCCGTGTGAGCTTTCTCTGTTCAGCAGCTATTTTAAATTCCAACGAAAATACAAATATGCAGTGTACTTTCTTAGTCTTCTTCATTACTGACCGTCCCCTGTAACGCTTTCTTCGTTACGAACCCAAGTCTATGGCTTATCTTGGACTTTTTGTTACTCCTTTTTCTTTTGTACGATCTTAATCTTTTCTGGGTTTCTATATTTTGTTTCGATTTGAGTTTAGGATCACTCATAATTCATTTCTTATGATTAGTCAATAAATTATTTAAATATTTTCTTAATAATCTTACGATTTATGTTATTATATCAACGGTTCTGAATCACTTGTCTTTCTCATTGCTAGTTAATGACTTTTATTACAAATTTTGAATTTTATATACATTTTTTTTATTTTTTTAATCATAATTTTTTATAAAAGGATAATTTTTTAACATGTGTTTAAGCAATAAAAATTTTATAGTAAATTTTATTAAGAATCTCAAATCCATACTAAATTTTATTTCAATGCTGAATTTAAATGTAAAATAATATTTATTATGTATAAAAAAACCACTACTAAATTTAATGCATTAATTTATTTACTAAATTTAACTTTCTTTTTTTTTAAATTTGTTAACGTATGCCCTTTAGAAAATCCGATAAAAGAAGTTACTTCTAATTAAGCCCAACAGTTTCATTGAAATTTGAGGCCATAGAAAAATAGTTTCATTGAATTCCAGAAGTTATCCCCCCGGAAAAGGGATACATTGGCATGGGCACGAGATGCTCCTTTGTCATGAAACAGATAAATGTGTGATATTTTTATTTCAGTAATTAGAAATTGCTAAAAGAGTGTAATTTGCAATTTATAAACATTAGAAATTTGATATTTTCTTCACAAGCCTCAAGGATGTCATTATTTAAGTATTTGCGAAAAAAGGCACAAGTGTTCAAGGTGCTCTATATTTAGGTGGCTTCTAAGTTATGCATTATTTTTATACCCAGAAAACAAATCTATACTACACTATTTACGTGTCATGTACTGTCACAGACTGAAAATGGTGAAGCTCACCTCCCCTCCCCCTTTTATAATTTTGTAGTGAAATGTATTTCACTTCATGGATGTATATATATAATTAGATAATTGCCATACTTGACTTTATGTATAAATAAGAAATTTTTATGGTTCCTGTAATTAATGGCACTCAACCGCCCCATTTAATAAGATAATTTTGATTATTAAGTTTACGTAGGAATTTTTGTTTTAATAGTACTGTCAAATAAGCAGAAACTTTATTAATTAAATAAAGATACTGTGAAATTTTTCATAAAATAAAGACTTAAATTAATCAAATCTAGTTTTTTTTTTTAAAATAGAGTAATTCGAGCACATCCACCTTTTAAAAAACTAAAGGCATTAATAATTTAATATAGACATGCAATTTTTTGAATATCAGAAATAGGATCTTTTTTTCGTCACACCATCCTATGAAGCATTTGATTACGGTGGGTGGAACAGTTGACTATGTATAAAACCGTGCAAACTCAACAACATTCAACTATTATTGATTTAAGAAAAGATTTACATGTGATTAAAATTGGTCAGTTCCAGTTCCTCAGAATGCTTTTGTCAGTACACAAATTCAACTGAAGCAATATATATATCACAAACTCACATCTTTTTAATTATTCATCATTTCCTGTAACCTAAGCCTGTCTCACCCGTTCAAGAAGCCACCCAATGACGACCACCAAAGCGTTGTTGCTATAGTTGTGAGTCGAAGTAACCTAAACAATGCAGTCTTCCTTCGTCATTTGTAACTGTATAGGAACACACTAATTTTTGACCCTATGCGAGGCATGGTGGTTTCCATGTATGCTGTTCTAACTCTTTGCATGGTGGCTTCAATGTGTGTATTTATTTGCATGATGGTTGTGCCTGTAAAATGATAAGTAGTGACTAATGGTAGTGCAACTTTGGAGTGGTTTTTAATTTTTGGGTGTTGTGATAGATTGATGGTACGGTGGCTAAATGCTAAAGTATTTCTAATGGGTGACAATGGTTCAAGGATGCTATGACAATGAATTTTCTATTTGCAGGTATAGTAATTGTGGTTTTGTGAGGCTGTAACTATGCACAACGTCAATTGCTATCCAATTCAAAAATTTCAACCCGAAACCAATCAAATCCCACCAATGCACAACCCTATATTTAATTTTTTTTCAAACTTCATACTAAACATATAATGCATTTTGTTCTTTTTCAATATTCTTATCACTGTCGTTATAAATTGTCTTCAATAGTGAACTTTTTAATGTTTAAATAGCAAAAAAAGCTTCATCTTAAAATATAAAAATTAGTTTTAATTGAATTATTTTTCACTGGTAAACAAGGTTCAGAATTTCGCTTTGAGAATATCATCAAAGTATTCCTACTAATACATTGCTTATTGCAAATATTAGTGTCAAATAACTATTAATTATGAATTTATTTTGATGTTTGACAAGTGTTATACATCTATATATATTATTGCAATCACATTTTGTTTGCTTTTTATATTCGAGTATTCTAAAAGGTAAGATATAATTTAATGTATTTTATCATACACTAAACTGTTGATTTTCTTATTAATAATTAGTACTTGATGTTTAAGGTTTCAAAATGTGTCCCAAACCCTAAAGAAAAAAAATCTTAATTTTTTTCAGTGGTTGAAAAATATAAACTAAAAATAAGCATCACAACGACAAGGACTCCTCCATTAATAGAAGCATACACGAATGAGTAATGGATGATGAGCAATGTGAATGTTGAATAGATTCAGATGCGAGGTATCGGAAGGTGCGATAGCTCCAATTCACACACAGACGGCACTAACGATGAAATTGAAGTCGGCAATAGATATGAAGAACACTTCTAGAAACGCTAGCGTGCGGCTAATCCGTGAAGAAAAAGACGCAACATACGCGCAAATTGAAGGAAAATGAGATCCTCTTATTTTCAATTTAAAAGGAAATTTGACTCATAACGGACCTTGACTTGAACACCACAACCCAACCATTTGGATGCCCCAAAACTCAAACTTTGCGACTCACTAATTAATTCAGACGTAGAGCTTAAGTTTCTGAACTTTTCCGCTTCTAACTTTTAACACACACGCTACACGCTTTAGATTTTCGTCTTTATCGCGTTTTCTCTTTAATCTCTTTTGCTTCTTTGTTTTCTTATACGGTTTGGTTGAGATGGTATTAATTAATTATGGATTTAATATTTTGAAAATGTCATAAATCTCCTCTTAATAGTTTAAGTTTTTGAAATAATCCATCATTGCTATGATATCATCGATTCATCATAACAATTTATAAACAAGTGACATAAAACCGCATTCACAAATATCTTACCCTTTATAGTAATTGGTTCTTGACACTAGAACTGTTTTTCAATATCTAGTTGATAAAATAATACGTAATCGTTTGATAATTTATTAACACTGTTTATTAATACATTAACAATTTATTAAGACTTCACAGTAATTTGTTACTTTCTAGACGCATTAGTTTCTTTTTCTTTTTGGTCAACAGTAAGATGCATTAGTTAAACACCTGTTTTTCGAGTGCATTAGCATTTGCGCAGTCAATTTCCTTCAATTATATGACATCCTAGTTCGCAACAAAGGAAAGAGAAAGAAGTGAAAAGTTAGGACTGCTTGGTTTAAAATTTGTTTATTTTTAATTATAAAATTATCATTATTTTAT